GTTCGCCGCTAGTCGCCGAGAGGCGGCGTTCTAGATTGCGCTACTCTGCTCCGAAGGAGCTATATAGTGCTCTAGATTGCATATGCCCCAGCTCCTGTATCTCCTGTGTTGGAGATGGATGCATCAGAATATGCTATGGTGTGTGTCTGAAAGGGGGGATTGTGATGGACAGCTTGCGCCCTCCTGCGACCGTCGTTGAGGCCCGGGGACATGCAGCGAGGCACAGGGGCGAAGCGCGGATTTAAGGGGTAGGTATTAGTGATGCAAAACTATCGATAAATTGACTATCGATACTATCGATAGTTTTTCCAAAACTATCGATAGTGTCCCAGAACTATCGATAGTCGACTATCGATAGTACTATCGATAGTTTTTCGATAGTCGACTATCGATAGTTTTTCGATAGTCGACTATCGATAGTTTTTCGATAGTCGACTATCGACGGTTTTTTACTATACTGGCGACTAACGATACTATCGCTAGTGCTATCGATAGTCTTGCACCACTATAGTCCGTTACAACTCAAGAAGGCAGGTCGAGGGTAAGATGAGCCGGGGAGGAGGAAGCAGACGGAACACTAAAGAGAGAAGGAGGTTTCCCCCTCTCTTCTCCAGCGGTTCGTCTGCTTCCTCCACCCCGGCCCGTCTTGCCCTCGCCCTACCGTTCGCCTCCCCCTTCTTCTTTTTTCGCCCTAACCCCCATGTTCGTCATCACTGAAAGCTGAACCAAAGTTGGGATGGTAAGTGCCTGGGCTAGTTGGTGCCCCGTTTGAAAAAAATATTAAAGCGATAAATAGACAAGAGGGAGCGACGCAAACTACCAGTGTCGCAAAACTATCCATAGTAAACTGTCGACAGTACTATTGATAGGTTTACGATAGTCGACTATCGATAGTTTTCCGATAGTCGATTAACGATAGTTTTCTGATAGTCGACTATCGATAGTTTTCCGATAGTTTTTCGATAGTCGACTATCAGTACTATCGATAGTTTTCCGATAGTCGACTATCGATAGTACTATCGATAGTTTTCCGATAGTCGACTATCGATAGTACTATCGATAGTTTTTCGATAGTCGACTATCGATAGTACTATCGATAGTTTTTCGATAGTCGACTATCGATAGTACTATCGATAGTTTTTTTCACTATCGATAGTCAGATTTCTGGCGACTATCGATACTATCGATAGTACTATCGATAGTTTTGCACCACTAGTAGGTATATGTAAGGGAAGGTCTATGGGGGAAAGTCCTGCCTGCTCCAGGATCCATCTACCCTGCGGTGTTCCTGAGAGGCGGGCTATCTGCCGATCTCGCTGCAGGTGCAAAAGAGAGGTGAGGGGGAGAAAGAGGCCTGTTCCGTATAGTTTTTGGTTGGAGGTGGAGATGGGAAGGTTTAAAGAGGCCTTGTATAATGTGTTTAATGCTGCTGAGAGTTTGTTGATTTGTTGTTGTGTCAGTGTGACATATGGTATAGAATAGAGAATTTTACTAAGGGCTAACGCATGAACCAGGTGACTCGCCTGCTTCTCGTGGAGACCCGCGTGCTTTTTGACCACTCTGCGTACCAGGGAGGTAACCGAGTGGCATGTGTTTACGACTGAAACGACGTTGGCTTGCTTGATGTGATCTTTCCCGTAAATGCATGCTTAGAATTTTACATGTAGAGACTTTCGGGGTGGGGTGCTGACCGATGTGTAAAGATATGTGCTGGTTAACAGATCGCTGATATTGAGTATGTGATAGAAGAAGCAGTTCCGATTTTTCTGGGGCAGGTTCAAGGCCTGCTTGTTCAAGATATTCAGCTATAATGTCCAGTCCCTGCTGCAGAGTCGATTCCACTTCCCCTGGTGACCCGTGAGTGCACCAGAGGGTGAGGTCGTCCGCGTAGAAGATGTGTGAGAGTTGGGGGACTTGTTGGAGGCGATAGGCCAGCTGGGCCATGCCGAGATTAAATAGAGTAGGAGACAGCACCGCCCCTTGTGGGGTGCCGCGTGTGAGCGAGATCGGCGGGGGCGTCTCAGCCTCAATACGAAAACTGGCTGTGCGGTCTTTAAGGAAGTTCAGGATGTAAGTGTCAGCCTGTTTCTCGGACTGAGGCGAGTATGTGATCGTGGCCAATGCCATCGAATGCTTTACGAACGTCTACAGTGACAAGGGCGTGGACTTGAGCAGATGGTGGGGAAAGAAAAGTGTGTTGAAGAAGGAGAAAGAGGTCTAAACGGCCCTAAGAAGGGCCGTTTAGACCGTTTAGACCGCTGCCGGTCCGGAACCTAAATGACGTGACGACATGGAGATTAGAAGGGTAGGAGGGGGCATGACGTCAGCCGGGTAGACTCCACAAGCCAAGCTCCCTTGACGCCTCGCCTACCGGACGGAGTCACGGAGCTACTTGCTTGCTTCACGTCTAGCCTTCGATCTGATAAAACCTACCGGACGGAGCGCGCGCAAGCCTGCAAGAAATCTTACTACAATCAACCATCCATCTCGCACGTGACATGTCATCTGGGGATCACGTTGGGCACAACATCGTTTAAACTTTTTATGACTAGGCGACTAGGCTTCACACATATTGCAACTAGGATGGATGGATGGATGAATACGGCTGAGCCCTTTGGATCGGGCGGTAGCTTACGCCACCTAGCCATTTTGTTTTACCAGTAGTAGCGCAATCTAGAACGCCGCCTTTCGGCGACTAGCGGCGAACGCCCGGAGGTTCCAACTGCGGTCAGAAATGCATAGAGAACGTGAGAAAATCGTTGTTTCTTCAGTATTGTGGGAATGTACGGAATGGCAATCGTTTTTGACATAATAATGGAACATTTTAGAATAATTTGCGCTAAGTTTTGTGCCACCCAAGGACCTGACTTTTTTTTTTTTTTTTTTTAAATTGCTTGAGCGGCATCATGCAGCAGACGACACGGCGACGTCACACCATTCACGTGACCCGCTCCGGCCAACCCGAAAAGCCCATCTCCGCTGCGAGCAAACATCGTCTGCTTCAAACGCCATTGCCTTGGAAATTGCCTTCTCAAAATTTGCACACGCATCCGATATTATTAAAACTTTGATAAAGTGTTTAGTGCTTTACTAAATTCACGACAGACTAGTTTTGAAAAGTGTGAACTCGCCGCTCATTTTTTAATCAGCCGTGTTGTATCGATCTCCATGTATTCTCCCATAGGGCGGGCCGCCTCCTGGAACCCTTAGTACCACGTGACTCGCGCCGAGCCGCTCTGTCGGCCATGTTGTCGGCAAAACACGCGGATCAAAGGATTGCGCTGCTCTGCTCCGTAGGTGCTCTAATTGCAACGTGCTCCCTTCCCTTGCGTGACAAGCTCTTGACAAGCGGTTGGTGCATGAGGCGTCTTAGTGCACGCAAGCGGGCGACGGGCTCAGTGCAGCTCAGCGCACCTGCGCAAGGCATAGAGTTATTATAATGTACGCTAGAGGTTCAACTGGCGCTAGTGTCTATGCAACTTCCGTGACGCAAATTGAAGCAGACAGCAACCAGTCTACTTTTGCGGTGCTCCTGTGCATTCCTATGGGAAAACGCGCGTGCATTTTTCCTCTTCGCCAGAAAATAACACGGAACACTTTGGTTATTTGGGTCGTACCGAATAGTATGTACCTTGATTAACACTGTGAAAGTGTAATTGCTTTAGTTAGCGCATTTTTCTTCATCAGTGAACGATGTTTAACTTCGCTACATTTCAGTCGCAAACGTGTGTTCCGCAGCAGGTGTGTAAAAACAAGCGACGATTCAAAGCAAAATTACAAGCGAAACGACTATAGAGTGGGTTCAAAGCTCGCCAGCATTCCGGTGACGATTGTATATTGATAATATGCCAGTCCTGTCACTATATGAAAATGATCCCGTCGTGCATGAGCGGATAAAACCTTCAAAACGTAGATAATAAAGTCCGTGGGCTATGAAAGGTCTCTCTTCGTATTGTTTTCTCTGCCGGGCAGCTTTTATCGCGCACTTGTTCTCAAAGATATCGAGCGCGCGGGTGGTATTTTGAACGTAGAACCAGCAGCTTCGCTCAGGGCAGAAAGAATAAAGCGGTACTTACTTATTTAAAATCGGAATAGATTACGTGGCCTTCAATTTATTTTGATCGTACATGCACTGCGAGTTACTGATCCAGTGTTGCTGCGTAGTTCTTGCCGCCGCTCTTCATTTTTCAGATGTCCTCCGTTCGTTTGGCATGTATATCCCCCATGCTGGAAATCGCCGACGCCGCGTTCGCGCTAACAGTGTCCGACAGTGCACATAAATACACGTACGAAGCCGTTTTAGCACCGTTTTTAATGCGATGAATTCGAAAGAAAAACGCCGTAATTGACCAATTCTTTCGTCGGCCTGACTGAGAAATGTTCCAAACTACCTAGTACGTACGAATTATTTGGCATATTTGCTCTTATGATCGAGCGCAGGGAGAAAATGCACTCACTTTTTCCCATAGAAATGCATTACCGGAAGTCAATTTTCGACTGGTTGCTGTCTGCTTCAATTTGCGTCAGCACACTAGCGCCACTTGAACCTCTAGCGTACATTATAATAACTCTATGGCGCAAGGTGCCATCGCACGGCGTCGTAAACACTGGCCGTGAACAACTGGTATGGTCCTCAATAAAAATGTACAAATATCGTGTTTTCTTTTTACTTGTGGTTATCATTTATATTTTTGCTATGAATTTACTTCACGGTATCAGCTAACTCCTAATTGTAATACACAACAACTAGATGTCGCGCGTCACCGTCTATTTCAACAAAACTTGTTATTGTGATATCCAGTTAATAAATGTGTCCTCCCCGCTGCTCGGCTGCTCCTCGCGTCTCACAGTGGTCGCGTCGGTCGTTCCGTGTCCGGACGATTCGAGTGAAGCCTATCGGGCCGGCGAACTATGGCTGCTGAGGCGTTGTCGTTATAAACACACTCGAGATAAGCCGGCTTCGAAAACACGCGTCGTTGAACCCGCCCGACGTGAGTATTCCCGTGTTCCTTTCACCGCGATCAGAGTTCCCGCTGACGGGCACGCTGGAAGCTAGTTCATGGTCGCGCGAGCTTGTGCTCTTTTTGCGCTTATTTGTGTCCTCCTGGGGAAACGCCCATCGGAATTTTTTTTTTCTTCGGCCAAACCGCACAGTGTTTAGGTCGTTCGCCGGACGTAGATCGGTATTTCTGCCTGCCGAAGCGCGCAACGAGCCCAGCCCTTGCATGCAGCTGTAGCTTTGGCTTCAGGAGCACCCTCTTCGCCCTGCGGTCATGCATTGCCGCTAGCGTGAGTAAAAGGCCCGATTCACCCGTCAGTAGGAAAAAGCACGGGGAAGGGTGACCGTGTTCGTGTCGCAAGCGTAACCCGAAACGCTCCGAATTTAGTGTCCCGCTGTGTTCCGGGCTTTCAAATTCCGATTATCTACGCAAAAAAAGAAAACTCGTCCTCGCGAATGGAGTTCAGCGAACAAGTTCTTGTTGCAACCGGGAAAGAAACAAGAAAAAAATGGTGACCGCGCGTGCTCTGAAGTAGGTTGGTTCGATCTCGAATCAGACGCAGTGTACAAGTTCCAGAAAAATTAGATTTTTTTTTTTTTCTTTTTCGAAGGCGTTTATGATTTTTCTGATGTTTGCATCTCCACCTCGTAAAGAGGGGGGCCACAATCACAAGCGTGCGGTTTTCGAACGAGCCTCACCCGCGCGAGCGCTCTTGTTGTGCGAAATTTCACGCCGGTGCAGAAGTCTCGTCCTTGAAGCCTTCACTGTGTAGTTGCTACGGAACTATCTGACTTCGGTTTAGTTTAGCGTAGGTACGAACCTCGGTCCAACTGCTCGTATTGCGGAAGCGTCTTTGAAGGTCGGGACCTCACGCTTCTAGCCTCTTTTGCGTACCTCGTGAGGCGAAGAGACTATACATTTACGGAATGTCTATTTAAAAGGTACCGCACTACATAGCGAAGCCTAATAGCTCGAGTCTTGGGCTTTTGATTTTCCTTTGGTCGCATGAGTGCTCGAGTGGCGTGGCTGAACCGGAAATTCCGCTAGCGCACCACAGTCGGGGTTTGCTCTATGCGAGCAGTGAGTCAGATGCCACATGTCGCAGTTCACCTGTTTATCCGCAAACGCGCAGTTCACCTGCTCTTTTCCTCAAACGCGCATTCGTTGCCGCAGGATGCAGCTCAGCAGCCGAGCAAAGCACCTCCTCCACTGCTGCCTTTGCGTGGGACTCATCCTCATCGTCGAAGTGTTCACCGGTGGCATCCACCTGTGGAAGTTCAGCTATGATGAAGTGGATCCTGTGCGCCAGTACGGCTGGCCCTGGACGATATTCCTCTACCTGATGCGTCTGCTGACAGTGCTGGCACTGCCGCAGTGCATCTGCAACTGCCTCGGCCTGCTGTTGTACAACGCCTTCCCGGAGAAGGTCCGCCTCAAGGGCTCCCCGCTCCTGGCACCGTTCGTCTGCATCCGCGTCGTGACCCGTGGCGACTATGCTGACCTGGTCCGGGGCAACGTGGCACGGAACATCGAGACGTGCGCAGACGTCGGCCTGGAGAACTTTATTGTGGAGGTTGTGACGGACAAGGCACTGGGGCTGGCGAAGCATCCTCGCATCCGCGAGGTCGTGGTCCCCACGACGTACCGGCCCAAGAGCGGGGCCCTCTTCAAGGCCCGCGCGCTCCAGTACTGCCTCGAAGACGACGTGAACATCCTGAGCGACGACGACTGGATTGTTCACCTGGACGAAGAGACGCTCCTGACGGAAGACTCGTTGCGCGGCATCCTCAACTTCGCATTCGACGGGCGCCATGCCTTCGGCCAGGGACTCATCACATACGCCAACGAACGGGTGGTCAACTGGGTGACGACGCTCGCAGATAGCTTCCGGGTGGCAGACGACATGGGCAAGCTCCGCTTCCAGTTCTGGGCCTTCCACCGGCCGCTCTTCGGCTGGAAGGGTTCCTACGTCGTGGCGCGGGCCGGCGCCGAGCGCCGGGTGTCCTTCGACCACGGCCTCGACGGGTCCGTCGCCGAAGACTGCTTCTTCAGCATGGTGGCCTTCCGCGAGGGCTACACATTCGACTTCATCCCCGGTGAGATGTGGGAGAAGAGTCCCTTCTCCTTCTGGGACTTCCTGCAACAGCGGAAACGGTGGATGCAGGGGATCTTCCTCGTCGTGCACAGCGGGGCCATCCCAATCCGCCACAAGTTCCTGCTGTCGCTCGCGCTCTACTCGTGGGCCACCATCCCGCTCAGCACGTCCAACCTCGTGCTCGCCGCGCTCTGGCCGATTCCGTGCCCAACCCCGCTCAACTTCCTGTGTGCCTTTGTGGGTGCCATGAACATCTACATGTATGTCTTCGGAGTCATCAAATCCTTCAGCCTGTACCGCCTGGGCCCCGTGCGCTTTCTGCTCTGCCTCCTCGGGGCGGTGTCTACCATCCCTTTCAACGTGGTCATTGAGAACATCGCCGTGCTCTGGGGCTGCTTCGGCCACAAGTACCGCTTCTATGTGGTTGCAAAGCAGCTGGCAAACCCCATCAACGTCTGACGCCCCTCGTCCCGTACCCACGTTCCGACGTACACATTCTCCTTTATCTCCCCCTATACTTAGAATGATTGTTAGCGTGCACTAAGTTATTGTTCCGCCGACCCCGAAACCACTTTCCCTGCTTGTGCGATTTACCATTAACACTGTCTTGTCGCGGTAACGATGCCGGGAGCAGACGTCGACGAGGCACGGATATTACGCTGGGCTGGCTGGTTCAGCCCGAGTTCTACGAACACGCACACATACACACACGCACGTGCCAGGGACGAATGCCGTCCTGTCCAAAGAGTAGGCACATCCAATGAGAAGTTTTCCCTGCACCTTTTTTTTTAAGGTGCAGAAACAGCTGTAGGCAAAAAAGAGCACAAGCACTTGTTTTGGCTTGGGTAAAGAACAGGCTGCATTCTTTCGAAAGCCGCGCAGTTCTTCAGGGGGCTGTTTTTTTGTTTGTCGTGCAGACAGACGATTTGAGGGCATTTGAACGAGTTAATGCTCAAGGTGGCCATAATGGAACCCCAGAGTTTTGACAGTTGACTTTGTGTGCCAGACTGATTGGAAAAGTTCATCTTACAACTTTTTTCTATGTTTAAAGCTTTGTTTTGGTGTGCATGCACGTTAGCCTGGTTGCTAAGTTAGATAACCGGGCCTAACTTTATCGTCGTTTTAATAATGATTTGTTCGAATAAATGCCTAAAGCAATACAGCTTGCTTTTTTTTTTTTATGACTTGCACCTATATTTTAGTTTGAGATTTGAATGTTGGAGGCAGGAAATAAAGAAAAATATACTGTTTGAACGATAATGTAATATTAGCCCAACTTGGATACCCTTCGACTACATTCAGGCCGGTTTGGGAAGAGGAACCCCAGAGATGTAATTGAGCTACCTTTTGGGACCTTCCCTCTCGATTGTAATCTGGTGAGTTGACACAAGACATGGATCTGACAATAAAGCCTAGTAGATTGCCAAGTTGCAGTTTGTTGCTAGAGGTCACTGCCTTTCCCACAAAACAATTTCATGTGGACGCTTCACCTTTGCTATGCTGAACTTCCTTAGTACAGCTCTGCATACTAGCTCTTTCATGGGCTCGCCCTTCAGTATTGCATCCGAGATTTTTCTATCAGTAGCAATGTTTAGTTGGTACATGATACAAGGAAGATAAAAACCACAAAAAAAAGATCAACTAGACTAGGCCTTGACCCCATCTCTTCTGTGCAGTTTGATTTTCCTTGCATTTTGCCACTCTTGGACCCCAGATCAACAATTTGAATACTAGCTCTAGCTATCATTTGTGTGGCATCTCTGCATTTTCGTGCACTCAAAACAATTGTAAGTTTCAAAAAATATTTTAAAACCTTTCCCTCCGCCCCTTTTTTTTATCATATATATTCCTCGAAATGTCAAATATGTCTGCGGCCGTCGTTTTGGACGTTTGCCTCCCAAAATCAACTGAGGGAATTTGGCGTGCGACAGCACCCAAAATTCCAGTTACGTGGTTAACTTTTCTGCAGTTCAGTAGGCTGACACAGCCTTTGAGACACTGAGGCAGCTACGCTGATAGGGAAAAAGATTGCTTGAATCTATGGCATCCGGCAGATTCCCAGTGTGGTCAAAAACTGGGTTTTCGTGCACCAATGTAGCAGAAGCATTTTCCGCAGTTAAGCACACACAAGCAGCAATAGAGCAGGTAAAACCTTAACCACCAATAACCAGAGTTCATAATGGCCTGTTAAGCATTGCGAGAAATCATATGAACTTTATCACAACAAAACTGACGTTACCGGCTGCAGAAACTAGAAAATGCTTTGTCTCGACTACAGCCCTGGCCAGCTAAGAAACTGTGTGGTATATTGTTCAGAACTTGTCTATCAGTTTGCTGCTCTGTTACACACTTTGCAACGTTATACCACCCAGGCATGCAAGCATGCTTTAGAGTTTACTTCTTCCTTTTCCACATCACCTAGCTATAAGTGATGAATGTCGCGTAGGGCTTTGGCTGGGACTCCTGTTCGATTCGCGGGTCCCAGCCGAAAGATGATGCAGCGCTTGTGCTACGCTCGTTTGTTGCAAGAGTGTGTCGGGAAGTGGCTCGAAGCAAGCCATAAACACATTCTGTATCAAAACAAGGTTATGCAAGAGCAATTATTTATTAACAAAAGTCGTTTGAGTTAATTTCAACATTTTTCAACCATTTTTGTCACCGTAGTAGTTTCCTCCGCTAAGTGTGCAAACGCATGTGGTCTTGGGTTATTCGGCCGGGACTACGCAGCCACCGGCACGCAATACCATACGTACTAGACGCGGCAAGGGCGACCTGTCGAGACCATACTCCGTTCAACTCCAACCCGACAGTGCGATGGGAGCTTCGTGCCTGTCACACCAGTCATACTTCTCTTTCACCACGTGATCGTGCTCCCACCCCCACCAAAGCTCACAGGGCGGGTCTAGGTGACGAGAGGAAGGCACTCGATCAGTCCGGCGAGCACACAGCTTTCATCGTACAGTCGGCTCTGGAGTGAACGGAGTACGGCAAGGGCACTCACTGAGCCACCCCGGTGCACCACGCGTACGCGTTGTCGTACATCTTGGCCCATGGCGAAACGGCGAATTTCGTCCGCTTCCATTCTTGCGGCACGTAGGCCCACTGCCAGGGGAGAGAGCAGCGCTCAGGGTGCGGCATGACAGCCAGGTGGCGGCCATCGCGCGAGCACAGGGCCGCGACTCCCCGCGGGCTACCGTTGGGGTTGAGGGGATACTCGGTCGTGGGGGCACCCGCGTCGTTGACATAGCGCATGCCCACGAGCCGCTGCGACTCCATCTCGTCCAGAAGGGTGTCATGGCGGAACTCGAAGCGACCTGCGATCGAAACGCATTGAAGATTTCAGCCGGATACAAGCGCTGGCAAAGCCTCTCGATGAGTCTGTGCTCGTCTTACGAGCAGCATCGAATGCACAAAAGCACAAGCCCCGTTCCTCGTGCAGCCTTCGGAAGCAAATGGGGGCACGGCAACGAAACAAACGGCCTTCGGAAGCGAATGGCAGCGAGGCCTCGTGCAGGGCTCGTATTTTGCCCGTTCGCGCAATAATGCTCGGCGTCTGTATTTGTAAGAAGCGTGGATCTTATCGAGAAACTCTAAGTGTTGGGCCTAGTGAGAGCCACTGTAGATAATCTATGTACAAAAATACTAAACAAAAAAATTTTTTTTTTTTTAGTGCCTGGATAGAAAGCATGTGTTGCAGAAAACGTTATCTACACAAAAATATATTTTTTGAACGCATTTAAGTTGCGAGACTCATTTACGAGTAACGGGACATGCTTTTATTTCGTGTTTACGACAAACGTGTTCCGTCCAAGCACCTAATAAAAACCCATTTTGTCAGTTCGGCGTCTCTTCATCGACAATGTCGCATAGAATCGGTTGGAGCCACCAGATGTTCCTAGAGTACCGAAACTCCCCACCCTCATTTGAGAACAGCGGCGCAGCAGTCGCTGGTTTCGAAATGGTGGCCTTGTGTAACCAAGTCGGGGGGGAGGTGGCACGGAGCCTGCTAGCCAGCGGGCAAATAGACCAGCACACTGCTTTTAAGGCTAGATTACGGGCTAGTCAATATATGAAGCTCTAGCAAAAACCAACATGCCTATCACCTTTCGACCGGTCATAATTTATCAGCTGTTCAGAACATCCACGTAAACAGTTGGCTTTCTTTTTTCTGGTTTCGAGATAGCCGGCATTGGCCAATCAGGAAGTTTGATTCTCCAGTTGAAGTGGATGCCGTGGAATGCGGCACTCTAAAAATAATTCGGGTGCTTCGAGATATCGGCGTTACCCATTGTCACCGGCTTTTTCAGACATTGAATGAATCTTGGAAAGCTTTCGCCATGGACCAAACATTTCGTGACAATGCGAAATTTCTTTTCTTGTTGCCTTATTTCTCGCATTCTTTGTTAAAGATATGACCTCAATAGCGTCGTGCAAATATTCAGTTTTGAATGATGCACTATTCAATGTTTGCTTAGAGATGAGCTGCAATGTTTGTATTTTTCGAAGTGTTGATTGAGGCGGGTTATTCCCATTGAGCGCACTTCTTGCCGAGCATGCATGCACTGCGGAGAAGCAACACCTGCAGAAGCTAGAGCCGTATATTCGCGACTCCAGCAAAACGGACGCCACCAAGCGGGAAAACCGGGAACCAGCCGGTCCAGGTCGCTCCGCGCCCCTCCGCGTCTCTGGTGGCTTTCGCGGGCACGTGCTGTCGGCGCGGTGGCGAACAATGTAATTTGACGAGGGTCCGAAAGTTTGCATGAGTGTTCATTAGTGTGGTGAAGCCTCAGTAGATTGTTTCCTTCCATCGCGTGTTTGAAAGCCCGTTTACTCCGCAACAGACGGTCGCGTGCTTTCGATTTTCTGGATGGGGAGGATTCACGGAAAACCGTTTAGATTTCCTGTCTGTCTCGAATCACATTCAAAGTAACGACTACTTGGTGACTGATGAGTGGTTTCTTTATAAGGATGTAGAACAGTGGACTGAGGACGACAGACGAGGTGTTTCACTGGAGGGAACACCAACGTTGCAGTCAAGTGAATGGGAAGGTTCGACAGCTGCTTTTCTTGAGTTTGGTTGTGTTTGATTAGCCTCAAGTTTGTACCACCCACGCCGGTCGGTGCGTTGGCTATTCATCTTGGCTGCTTTTCGCCGAAAAAGCCTCTGAACCACACGGAAGGAGTTGGGCTGATTTCGCAATTACTTGATTCAGAAAAACCTGCTCGCTGCATATGATTAATGAGGGAAATTGTCTGCTTTCAAAAGGTGGAGGACGCGTCTCGCTAAGTTAGAAGCAGTCACGGCATTATGATCTATCGTGCCTCCAATATTTATATTATACCCCCGTCGAAGCCATCAGCAATATATGTCTACATTGCTCAGGTTTACCGGCCACAGAAAATGCTCATTTTCTCCTTTCAGGATTCGAGGTCAAGTTCAATGCAGAGAGGTTCTGCGTGAATCTGCGATGAAGACTCTCTTCAGTTCGTCCGCATTCGTCTCCGTGCTACCGGCTAGAACCATTTGGCTAAGTTTAAGTAGTATCTCTCTGTCTGTCAAATATTATTCAGCAGTTCATCTAATAGCTAGTCAACTAAGCTCATATTTCAACCCGAAGAATATACTAATATCGCTTTAGTGGGACGCAGTTCGTAATATAATACATAACCCGCTCGTCAAAATGAATTCTCGATTGCTACTAAAACCAGAATTGAAATAAGAGTATCAGCTGCGTTGTGGGGCGCCAGCGGGTTAAAATGCTCCTTGGCTCAAGAAGCGCTCACTCAATTTTCGTAATTTTCCTGCAGCCTGTGTTGTTGACCGCACAAAAGCTCGATTTCGTGGACAGATAAGTCGCATGGTCGAGGCATGCGAGTTTGCTGAAAATTGCTCTCGGTAGAACAATTCTGTGGTCATCGCTGCTTTCCTTATATGATCAAAACTGATTAAAGTCTATTACAGTCTCTCCGGAGCCCATAGTTTCGGTTTCGAACGAAATCTCCAAAACGAAAGTTTGACATGAAAAGAGCAAAAAACAACGGGAAAACAAAACTATGCTTTGCAAGCTTATGTGCACCGGCTACACGTAACCATCTCAGTTCAGATACCTATAAAATTTGGCAGTAAACAAAAGAACATCTGTTAAATTTAATGCGCCACTTGTTCAGGCAGCCCGGCCGAGCCGACGCGACCTGGACTCAGCCGCCATGTTTGTTTGGTGGTGGCGCCCCCTATAGGTCGCTGGAGTCGCGAATAGAGAGAGTTTGGTCAATGGAAGGAGTGGACAGAGCCAGGGCAAGCAGCAGACGCAGGTAGAGGGCTGGACATGCTCGCTTGGCCAACCAAAAGCCAAAATGCTGCCCTAGCGGTGCTAGCGAGAAACACTTTTAATAAGTGCGCTTAGAGTTAAATGTAGTATCGTGTACGTGGTGTTTCGACTATGATCATGCAAAAGAGTGTAAGAAACGTACGTGCCGTTCAAACTCTGTTTTGCTCAAACGGAGTCTGACCGCTCAAACAGCAGATGCCCTGCCCTTGGTGCCTGGCGTACAGATTACGTCAATTGTTCTGCCAGTCGCGCACGCTTTTGTAGTCTTCTGTATCTTTTTATGTCTTCCATCATTTTGCATGACACTTATCGAAACATCTTAAGCACCATATTTTCGGTCGCCACGAGTATTACTCTGATGCACTTATTAATGCAAAAGCATTAACTGTCCATGAAGCGAGCCAACATCATCAGTTTGAAGAGTGCCAAACTGCAGCCTAAATCCTTTCTCCAAGTGAAACCGGCTCCCAGTTTTGAAACCACGTGAAAAGCCTAGACAACGGCACCTAGTTCCCCTATCCCAAAAGGCGGAACAAAGCTGATGGATTTCGCCTTCAATCCCATTGGCTGGCGCGCGTCGACGAGACTGCCATTGGCCGCTGCACGCGTCAGTTTCAACGACCGCTGCCCCATGGCACTGCGTGTCCGTACCGTGAGCACGCCTCTAACACGAAGCGTCCAAGGTAAGAGTTGCGAGGAGGGCTGGAAGAGCGCTGCAAGGCTGATGCAAATACGCAGCTAACGAAACACGAGACCGGAAGAACGGCACGCATGCTTTCGCATTCACAACCTATAAGAAGTGCCTAGGTGTAGCTCGAGCCTTTTCATTTTGTTTCTCGCAACCACCGCCAGGTATTTTTCACTGCTTCTGGTTGGACGCATTCAAATTTGTGAAGATGCCCTGGAACACACCTAGTAGTGCACTTTCGGTCAATGGTGCCCACCTCATTTGCCTCCTATACTTCCCAACTATTAGGTACAGCTGGCCATGTCTATAGTCAAATTTTATGTCAAATGTGCCATTTACTTGGCATCCCAATGCAACTATTCTGAAATCACTGTTCATTGGGAACAACCTTCACAAATTCAGCAGAGTTTCTGTTTAAACAGGGTGCAGTGGTGGAAGGCCATAAAAAACTGTTCAAAAATCGTTTAGAAAATATTTGGGCAAAACAACTATTCACACTTTACTAGACTTTCACCATGTTTCAAATACTACCGCAAACCATTTGTCATCAAACTGGGCTTCCACAGTTCCCCAGTGTGTTCCCCAGGGTTCTCCAGGTTCCCCAGGGTTCCTCAGGGGTTACCCAAGCTCCAAAATTTCCTGAATCGTCCCTGCCCCCGAGTAAAGTGTTCTTATAGCTCGGGCACTATTTCGGAACATCTGAGCCATTGATTGATGTATTACTGTGCGTCAAAAGCAATCCCTAATATGGGCATATAGTTTCAAGGTCTGTAGGCTCCTGCACAATTTTATTGCATCAGTGCCAAGACTGGTAAATGTTCCTTGGTTATCAGTCTACAGAGATGGGTGTTCCTCGAATATCTAAAGTTTGAGAACCCTGGCTGTAAATGACTTAATTCTAGTGAAGAACTTCATTTCGTCAATTTCGCGACTCGAATAGTATAGCAAAAGACAGATCCCACCAGTGGCATAGCCAGGAATTTTTTGGGGGGCGGGGGGGGGGGGGCTGGGATGTTTATGACTTGGGGTGCAGAGAGGGGGACGCGGGGTCAAAATGTGTATATACAAGGTGTTCTACGTAACATTAGCCAAGCTTTAAAACTATTTTGGTATATTTTAGGAAGATAAAACCAAACAATTAAGTTTGTTCATTGTTTGGAGCAAGTCAAGCTATTTTTTGTAATTTGCCCCATTAACTAATTAATTAAGATTAATTAATTAACTTTTGAAATATTCAATTTAGAGCAAAAGTTCAAATGGCAAAGTTGTAAAGCATCCTCAGAAACATCCAATTCAATAGCTTTTATCAAGAAAACCTCACACGGTTATTTTTTTCTAGACTTCGAAAAAAAGCCAGCCAATTACGAAAAAAACGCGTGGCTTAGCGCTTGCACGCCTTGTATTGCAGCGCTCTCAGCCGTGGCTCGAATAACTAGGCCCGCATGCTGAATAGTGCACTGCTGACAAAGCACTGTAGACTGATTCACTTTTTTTTTACGCGAAAGCATTAGCTGCCTTATGGAGCGAGCGAGCTGACGTCATCAGTTTGAAGCGCGAAAACGGCTCCTAGTTTTCGCGAACCCCAATAGGAGCAATTCGCCTTCGGTTCCATTGGCTCGCGCGCGTCGACAGGGCTCCCATTAGCCGCTGCGCCATGGCCTCCGAGATCCCGAAGCGCGCAGGCGCTAGTACGCAACAGACAACAAAGGGAGCAGACGAGCGGCTTGCATGGTTTTGCATTCACAACTCATATGAAATGCTTAGGTGTACCTCAAGCTTTTTTTTTTTAATTTATGTTTTTTTTTTAAGTCCAGACAAAAGAATTGTGTTAAGGTTTCTTGATAAAAACCACTGAATTGGGACATTTCTGAGCATGCTCTACAACTTTGTCATTAAAACTTTTGCACTATATTGAATATTTCAAAAGTTAATGAACTAATCTTAATTAGTTAATTGGGCAAAATCCAAAAATAACCTGACTTTCTCCAAACAATGAACAACCTTATACCTTCGAATTCACGTGGAACACCCTGTATAGGGTCGGCTGGATTCTGGGGGGGGGGGGGGGGGGGGGGCTAAAGTTCCATAAGCTTCCCACTGGATCCCCCAAATATGCCTCCCCATATGGTACACCAAATAATTGGCATAACACCCAGATTTACAAAATTCCGTGCCCGCGAATTAATCCCGAAAACCATACTTCGCCGAATTCGCAAAATGTTGAATGCACGAAAATAAAGTGCTTCGCAGAATCGAGGCGGGATGCACGCAATAACAATTTATATTGGTAAATCCTCGAATCGCGTGCGTTGAGTCGATGCACCGGAAAACCGAAGGCATCCCTGCATGCTTTCCTCTGCTCTGCAGCTAACGTGCCACCTCATCACCGTGGCTCTAAATTTTCCAGCCCATCATACTTTATCATACTAAAATTTAAAGAATGTCACTTCCTAAAAAAAGAAAAAAAATGCACGAAAATATAATCTTGTCGTTTCCTGTGCACATTTCATTTCCTTTCAGTTCATTTATTATTCCCTCAGGGCTCGAATGCCCTGAGAGAAGACAAACGGAAACGAACCAACTGGCTGGAGCCATTAGCCACAGACATGTGCTTGAACTTGATGGCTCTGCATTTGAATGCTTACTTTGAAAAAAAAAAAAAAAAAAATGCTTTCAAACTTTTGTTTTATTTGGTGCCATCTGTGACGGAAATGAAAACAACCACAGGTGGTCGGTTTCCATTTTCCTCCTGGTGCATAAAGATAAAACTTTATCATTTCTGGAAAAGCGTTCCAGGTAAAGACACCTTTGTGAAAAGTCCCATTACACTCCAAATTAAAATGTTTCATTTTCTTACTTTTTGAAGAGGGGAGGCAGAGAAAAAAGCAAGTTGGATGTTGCTCAACAAGCCTTCACTCCCCCCATGGCAGAAGAAAGCAACATGAATATACGCAATAATTTGAAAAAAATTGGCAGCGACCTTTATTTTCAAAGTGCTACAATGCACGGAATGCAGTATTTAAAGGGAAACTCCGCTCAATTCCGAAGATTTCGGGATTGAGCGGAGTTGACATTGAGCGGGATTGAGCGGAAGATTTCAGGAAGAAACATTTAGACAGAACTGCGCCGTGATATTTGACGTGTGGTCTTCCTAGGCGATACTGAAAAGGACTGCATTGTTTTTTCAAAACCAGAAATGAAGCGGAGTTGCCCTTTAAGAAGGGATCTTTCTAAATTTGTTTATTTTATTTTAAACAGAATCTGTGCATAGGTCACATGACGTCACGTCAAGTGACATAAATTTTCCCGAAAAAACTTGGCGGGGAGACTGAATTAGCAAGGAACCTGAATTTGTCTGCACGTTCTGCGACGTCAGGCCATGGGATATCAGTTTTCCCATCAAACTTAGCAGGGACTCAATTGCTGCATAGTTCACGTAACATCAATTTTAATGCGAAAGCATTAACTATCCCATACAGTGAGCCGACTTCATCAGCTTGAAGTGCGAAGATGGCACCTAGTTTCCCTGATCCCAAAGGTCCCATTGGCTAGCGCATGGCGACAAGGCTCCTATTGGCCGCTGCGCGCGTCAGTTTCAACAACTGCCGCCAGATTGCGCCATGTGTCTGTGCCGCCAGCGCGCCGATAACACTAACTCCAGCAACTCCATGCCACTACTGGCCCCGCGCCGGTTAAAACGGACACGTTGGCGCGCTTGGAGGCTTCTGCTTGTCTCGCCGCTGACCAACATGCCGTCGCCTTCATTATCCACATTGTCGGCGGTGCTTCTGCTCGTCTCAACGTTGACGAACATGGCGCAACCTCTAGCAACCACACCGTCGGACATTCATGTTTTCGCATTCACAACTCATAAGAAGTGCTTCGGTGTCTTCAGACTTTTTTCTGCTAAATTTAAGCGGCGAACTTAAATTTGTAGGTCCCGTGACGTCAAGTTATGCGACATCAATTTTCCCGCTAAATTTAGCGAGGAAACTGAATTTGTGTATAGGTCAAGTAATATCAATTTTCTTGCTAAATCTAGCGGGGAATGCATGAATGGACGGTCAATATTTGGGGGTTGAGGACAGTTAAAAAGCATTCCATGCTTTAATAATCACATAAACACACAACGCACAAATATCAAATGCATTGGTGTTAGGGGAAAAAGTAAAGCAATTAATCAATCCAGATTTTCATTATTCAGTACAGCCCTCCCAACAAACATTAAACAAACAATTTTCATGGTTGCGCTCCAAGATATTGACATTTAACTCGGTCAAACGATTTAAGAAAAGAAGAGCTTGTTCTAGACCGTGACACTCCCTTCACTGGCTTTTTTATGCTTCTATAATCTATACCTTTTACAATTGAATGGCACTCGTGAGCACCTCGTACAAGGTATAACTGAAAGAAGTTCCCCACCTTCTCCGTGGGCAACCCAGACTCCCAGCACCGAGTCCTCCATGCCGGCCAGCATGATGGCAGGTCCGGGCTCGATGCGGACCGTTGTGAAGCGGCACTCGAAGCGCCCGGACCGGTTGTGGAGAAGCTGCGTTCCCGGTTCGACTGACCCTGACTCTGCAGGGACAAAAGTGCAGGAGAGCCCAACTCAAAAGCAGAGCAAATGAACTAAACAGCCAACGACGAATCGCTGACGCGAGCTTTTGGCCGTGGAATGCATGCAGTGGTGTCAGAAGCGTTTGGAAGATAAGGGGAGGGGCGTGAGAAAAGAGGGGTATTCCTCTCCCCCTTTTCTGAATTGTTTCCCTGAAATGTCGATGGTGGGGGCAATAGACTTCTTACAAAAATCGCTGCCTACAACACTGGCAACACCGCACGAGCATTGCATGTTGGGAACCAGTTCGCTGCCTACAACACTGGCAACACCGCACGAGCGTTGCATGTTGGGAACCAGTTGGCCAGGAGCGGGCAAAGTGGCGGACCGTATGGTTTTGGTTTGGGTCAACGCATCGACGCGTGCGGGGCTGACAGCAAACCGTGCACAACTTGCCGATTATATAATATCCTGATGCAGTAAGCACCACCTTAAGTACTCAATACCAAGCTGAGCTGTGTAAACGATCTGACTAACGGGGCTACAGTGTTTCAGTGGTTTCGATACTAAATTAAAAGAACAAAGTCTGTCCCAGAACCGATCGAAATCTTCATTTCACCTGAGGATCAACGCTTTTAGCGTTTGTACATGTACATGGCAACAATGCACACTTGTGCCAAAATGTTTCCCTCTGACGAAATTATCTTGCAAGCTGCAGTGGAGATTTTCTGTAAAACTTGGGTTGACACTGTAGTGGCCACTTTTGATCTCCCAAGCAGTGTGCAAACAGCCGTGATTGAAAGGATGGCGTGCACACGATTGGGTTTCCTGTTGCATTGCAAACCTCTATTTGAACCTCGTAGTGCAAGCACTTAATAGCGAGTTTCAGATTGTTTTCAGAGTCCCTTTATCGCTCTGGGCACCCGCTTCAGAGCATGCTTCGAAGTGGCAGCGTGAGCTCCTGCTACAGATAGTGTTGCCTGGAAACACAATCTACTAAAACTTCCTATTATGCATTGGGAATATATACTTTGTGTCATCTTAACGTGAATAAGCGCAAAGGCTACGAGTGCAAGCTCCTCGAGTTGAACGGCGGCTCGGCTGCACGAGTGCTCGAGCAGCTGGGTCCCCTGTCAATTCTATCCACTCGCGCTCGTAGCTTTTGCACTTATACCATATTAAAATAGTGAGTTTTAGTAGATTGTTTTCAGAGGCCCGCTATCGCTCTGGGTGCGTGCTTCAGGGCATGCTTCGAAAAAGCAGCGCGAGCTCCCGCGACAGCGCAAGCTCCTACACATAGCGTTGCCTGAAAACACGATCTACTAAAACTCTAGTGACACTAATACAGACGCGATCGGCAAGTAATTAAAATAAAATATAAAGAATGCCACCCTCACGCGGATTGCAGTTCTACGCGACGACGCCAATGACTCCACACAGCACACAGCCACACCGTCACACATGCCCAACGATCGAAACCGAAATTCCATGGCCAACTAGTTCCCTGCAAGCACTGCGTAGGCTTCACCGCGGTGAGGCGCTTCGTGTTTGGGAAGAAGTCTACTGCGACCCCTCTTTCGTGTCCCCTCTGTTCCGATGCCACTGAATTCACGAAAACTATGTTGCTAAAAGAATTTTGTTTTATACACTAGTAGTCCTTCGATCGGGAGTATAGTGGAAAGGGGGATCTACATTTCTCAAACATATACGTACAGTGAACATAACAAAGAAGGTCTCCGACTTAATTGCATTGTAGCTTTACTGGAGTATGTAGCTTTTTGTGAGTAGCTTTTTATTTGTGCAAGTTGACACACCACTATTCTTACTCAAGAATTATCGGAAGTACACTGACAAATTCCAGTCTGTTTTATGTCTGTCGATACTCCAGCAACATGCCGTTGCTTAGCAAGAAGTCCACCTTAAAGTCCATTTCGTTACCGAGGAACTCAATGTCATACGATGTCAGACATTTAAATAAGTTGCTCTAGCTTCAATAAAGTTATAATCTTCTAATCGCTATAGCCACTGACAAGGTAAGAACGGAAAGGTGGAGCTTCGGTGCGAGCTTCAACCTTCGACCGCGTCCCGGCATTTCATGCACCTCAGCATACACACGACGTGCCAGAGCATGGTGGAAGGCATGTAGTGTGTGGGGAGGCATCCGAAAAACACGCCTTAATGCACTCATTCCGTCAGTGACCATGGACACAGGTAGAGAGAAGCTCGAAGCCAGGGGCATTTAAGCAACATAGGTCGGTGTGCGCACTCGGCAAGACTTCCTGTTGCAGGCTCTTAGGTCGCCGGTAAATTTCTGTGCAGTAAAACCTTTCCAAAATTGTGAAATTATGCATAAATTATGTGCAACCGCCATTAGTTTGGCTCGCAGCTACCTGCGTCAAGCCTGTGATTGGTTCCCAGTTCGCACCGAGCACTCATGCAGCACTCGTGAGGAACGCGTTTCGATCAGAGCGCGCTCCGAACGCTGAAGAAGCGCTTGCATCCAATGCGTGCTCACAGTGCAGGACCAACTAATGGCGGCCACACATAATCTATGCGTCACTTCAAAATCTCTAAAAGGGTCTCTTTGAATTCTGTTGCAAGAGCCCAACAAAGAGCTGTAGCAGAGCTTGCCTGTGGTGTAGGGAGCCACCCATCCCAGCAGGGCCATGAGCTGGCAACCATTGCAAATGCCGAAGCTGAAGGTGTCCGGCCGGTCCTTGAAGGCGGCCAGCTGGGCGGCCAACTTCTCGTGGAACAGCAGACTGGCAGCCCAACCTACAAAAAAATGGTACACATTTTTTTTTTTTTTTCGCCTTAAAGATTAACAACCAGTTTGCACTTTCCACTTTTCCCCCTCCTCCTCCTCTCCCTCCTTCGACCCTGTCCACTGTTGCCTGTTTCCTCCTCCCCCATGGTGAGGAGGATCTTCTGCCTTGCAGAATCTCAAGTCTGGTCGTCGGCCCTTAAAGCAATTATTATTTTTAAGGTCTTTTTAGAATGCACATATAGACAAACATGCTGTTTACAAACAAGTCGGCTTTTGTCCACAGCAGGCATGGGTGCAGCACGTATGTGGAAACCAGATTCACACGATATGAAGCGTCTGCACCTCTGAGCCAACAGTGGCACCACCAGGGCAGTGTGACATCAGGGCAACGCGTTGGTGTATACATTCCTGACTGTCAAGGCTCTGTTATACTTTGACATCGAACGCAGCAAACGTAGCGTAGCGCAGCGCGCACGAATACTGATTGGTCGCAGAAATCGAATTCCTGCTCGCCAGCCAATGAAATGTGCGCATTCTGCGCTACGCTGCGCTCAACGTCGAAGTTTAACAGAGCCTTTAGTGATACTTTTGAGTCCCTAGTTCGGGTAACATGGTTAAAAAATTACCACATTGAATCGGAGCTCCAAGGTCGACTCTTTTTAATAGACGACATGGCGTGGAAGAAGACAATAAAAAAAACCAAAAAAACACAAATGATGATGCTTGAGAGCACAGAGAAAGAAGAAGTGAAACCGAACCTGGTGAACACAACACATGCCTAAAGCAAATCAACGAAATTCCGATCAACACACGCCAGTAAATGTTAGCTTCATAATAAAGATTTCACAGCGAAGCTGTATACCCCTACCAGCCAAGGAAATTTTTGTGTTCTAGGCGTAAGCAAAAAAATACTCCCGGCAAAACAACTGTAGGCAGGACAGCATATCTCCTTTGAAATCAGGCATACAGCATAAAGCTCAGTATCCGTTTCAATAAAGAAAACCACAAAACAAGCATCGAAACCACATGATGGATGATAAGGTGCGTGTGAACAATAGGAACACCCTCCCACGCGTTCCGGTAAAGATTAGGTTTGCAGCTGCTTCAAAAGGGGTTGACGTCATTCGAAGCCCTCGTGTGAAGTGCAAACCGCATAATAGACAATAACGGCGCCTGCGAACAATGCGAAGCACGTGCCTTCTCCCAGCATGTGTTTCCCGGTAAAGATTACGGTTGCGTAAGTTACTCCGAGTGGAAAAGTACCCAACAGCATAGAAATCACGTCGTGACGTCACCACGCTTTCATATATAACATGTGCTTCACCAATGCAACTCAACCAGCCACCATTCAAGGATCATGCATCGATTTAACCTTAGCAAAGAATATCTCCAACGTGAGAACTGAAAATCTCAGTGTGTATCACACTGATCATACAGAAGTCATGAATGTCGTTGTGAAGTAATAAAGGGTGTGGTTAAATACATTTCACTGATCAGTGTGTATCACACTGATCATAAAGTAGTCATGAATGTCATTGTGAAGTAATAAAGGGTGTGGCTGCATATAAGAAGCTCCAAGCAAAAGAGAAACTTGCTTGGAAATTTATTCAACCACCAAGACCAAAATCCGAGTAAAAATTGAGGATGTAGAGCCATTTGAAGACCAACTTATTGCACCTTTTTTTTTTTTTATAACAAGATTATTATGATTACATTGTTTGCATTCGCACATTGAAAACAATCCATATATGACAGCAAGGCATGGAGTCCCTTACCCCTGGCCGAGCCGAGGACATCGGCGTAGCTGAATCCACCTGGAAAGACGAGCCCACGGAACTGATCCAAGGTCACGGAGCCCCGCAGGAGATCGCTCATGGTCACATCCCAGGCCTCGAAGCCCGCATTGAAGAAGGATGCCGCCATCTCTCGGTCGCTGTTGACTCCTTCCTCACGCAGTACTGCTACACGAAGTTGAGGCTCTGTGGGAAGACAGGCACACATGGTTCCAGTATTTGCCATCATGCACTCTTGTATGCTCCATTTCACTATAAGATGGACCGCAGAGGACGCCATGAGTTATCAAAGCCAATGCTGTGTAAGTGTCACGTGACGGTGATTAGTGGGGCTCGTGATCACATACAGTCATGTCTCACCAGTGTGGACACTTAATATAAATACCCTGCTATATAGACAACATTTTCGAGGACCAACTGGGGAAATACGTTCATTTTTGTCTCGCTCTCATGGACCGTCTTTGGGGGGGAACGGTGGGTCCATATTAGCAAGACAGGACTGTAATACTGCCGTGCGCGTCGCCGAGCGAGCGCGTGCGTGGCCGAATGGCTACCACACTTGACTGTCACGTGGAAGGTCTAGGTTCGATTCCAGTCATTAAAGGGTAACTGCAAAGAAAGAAAAGTGTATTTTTGAACAGCCTAATTGGGACAATAATAATAATAATAAGTTTTATTTGCTCAGGAGAGCCGCGGCACCGCAGAAAGGCAACAGCCCGTACCAAGGAGGCCCGCGGTGCCGTGTCTAGTGATGGTGATTATGATATGTGTGTTAGGCCTAGCAGCAATCTTCGCGGTGATGGTCTTTGCGGTGCTGCCATGGGCTGCTTACTTTTTCCACCAAAAACAAAATTTTTTACAGCAATATTTATTGCATGAGACTGATTTTAGTTTGCAGCTATTTTGTCCATTTTAAATCGCGCGAAGTTGGTATTATACGTCACGTAGTGGCTGCTATATGTCACAGAGTGACGCATAACAGTATAACAGTCCTGTGGCGTAAATATGGCTAGAAAAAATTTGTTTTTTGCGGAAGATTTGTTTTGTGACATGCATGTCCCAAATGGGCTGTTAAAAAAAAATTTTTTTTTCCCTTTAAAATGTTTTTTTATTTATTCTTTCAACATGGCATTCTTGTAATTTCAAGAACATTCTCGCCTGATCGAGTTCTGAATGTTCTGTGCGCCGAACGTTCTATGCCGAATGTTCCAGAAACCCAAGCGGGTACATAGGGACTCCGCATGGCGAGCAAAGTCAGTCTCGCCCCAGCGTTCGATCCTGCTGTTACTCCGACTTCGACGCCCGCGACGCTCTGTTGTTGTCCTCCGTTTCCTTTTTGTTTTGGGCACAAGTTCGCCTCATTAAACGTTTCAGTTTCCTAATCTATTCTTTGTTTCGTCACCTCATCATTCGTGACAATACGTTCAGTGTTGGATATCCTTGGACGGCTCACAGTGTCCACTGTTCGGTGAAAAGGAGTGTAGACAATGTTCTGTTGAGTTGCCAACGTTCGACCATGTTGGCAAACATTTCGACTTCATAACCATTTAAAGATAAGTCTATTTCCAGCTCAATGATGGAGCTTGTTTTAGCTGGATCCAGCTGGATTGTCTCCCATTTTGTTCTTAGCCCGAGACTGAGGCAGGAAAAGAGGAAAGTTTCGAAGTAGAAGAAAAATGAACAGTCGAAGACACGTCTCTACGTGTCTTCGACTGTTCATTTTTCTTCTACTTCGAAACTTTCCTCTTTTCCTGCCTCAGTCTCGGGCTAAGAACAAAATGGTTAACATCCACCAGCTCGCCTGCGCAATCACTACATTATCATGGATTGTCTCGTCCTCAGCTGGGACCCCGGCTTATGATACAGCTGGATTTTCTCATCCCCAGCTGGATTCAGCTGGAACCAGTTCCGAAATCCAGCTAGACCCAGCTGGAACCAGTTTTATGATCCAGCTGGATTATCTCATTTCCTGTTGCAGTCACTTTTATGATTCAGCTGGATTGTCTGCTCTCCAGCTGGGTTCAACCGGGACCAGTTCCATATTCTAGCTAGAACCAGTTTCACGATCCAGCTGGATCGTCTCATTTCCAGCAGGGACCAGTTCCATGATCCAGCTGGATTGTCCCATTTCCAGCAGGGACCATTTCCACAATCCAGCTGGATTGTCTCATTTCCAGCTGGATTGTCTTACTTCCAGCTGGGACCAGTTCCATCACCCAGCTGGACTGTCTCACTTCCAGTTAGGACTAGTTCCATGATCCAGCTGGATTGTCCCATTTCCAGCTGGATCCAGCTGGAACCAGTTCTGTTATCTAGATGAAAATGGACCAATTTTCGTATACTACGCCAGCCGGTGCATTCATTAATTGCTTACCAGGGTTACGCCTGGGGATGTCGAGACTAAAGGTGAGCTTGTACGGGGGTGCAGTGCGCTTGAGGAGTCCCTGGCGCTCCTCGGCAGCACACTCCGGGTCGCACTGACGCAGCTCAAGCTGGTAGCTCGTCTCTTCCCAGACATCACGCAGGTCGCACACTTTCCCGGATATCACGGGCTCGCCGGCCACACTCACGGACACCTGCGGGGCAGAGAAGGCGTTGTGGTACCATCGCTTGCAGCAACTGTAGTCACTGACAAAGTCAGAATGGCAGAGCGTGCACGTGTCTTTTCTAATGCCCGACCTCCAGCATATGTACTCCTTTTTTCACAAGCTTTGGCTATGTGTGCACGCTGAGGCACATGAGACGACGAAGCGTTATCAAAGATAAGCTCATGCCAAAAATAGAAGGACTGATACTAGGTTAAAGCAAGCAGGCAGGCGAGCTGGTTAAGGATAGACATAGTAACCCTGGAGCTAGGGGACAAAAAGAGCCAGACAGACACGAAACTCCGAAAAAGTTTCGTGTCTGTCCGTCCCTTTTTGTCCCCTAGCTCCAGGGTTACTATGTCGAACTGATACTCCTCCCTGCTGTTCTTACATCCTGCCAGTGACAGCAGCGCTGCATATTTTCTAGGTTTATTCTTGACGTAAAACGTCTTTCATTTCGCTCACTAAGCCGCAAGCAATGAAAGCATTTAACACTAATATTGATTTTATCTTTGCAACCGTACTACCTGCGCGCCTATCTGGTATCGTTGTGTAGAGGAAAAAAGCCACTACTCGATCGCTCATGTGTCGCGTGCGCAAATGGCACCGTTGTCGCGCCACGCACGACACAGTCTAACCTAAATTTAGCCTCGCGCACAGCGTTCACAGAGACATAGCTCAATGGTACTACGTTTGCGGGGGGATCGGTGGCCGAGTGGGCTGAAGCGCACACCCAGCTCGACGCGCGTGGAGCGAAAGCTCACGCTGCAGAACCCAGGAATCCTGGGTTCGAGCCCCACCCCTGCCCGTTTCGATCTGAATGAGCATCGTACCGGCGTGCGGTCGTGTATCACTACTGCGTGGTGCACGTTAAAGACCCCAGGCTAGCGGTTGTACTGCACTGGCTAAATTGCTCATCTACAGTGTGTGACTCGTCGCAACTTTAATGGCAGACCAACTACACGCTGTATAAATATCCCCACAACCCAATCATTATTAGTATTACTACGTTTGCCAATCCAAGTGGGCGTGGTCGTATTTGAGAGAGCTCGCTTTGTCGTAGTAGGTGTAATTCATCGAACTCGAAACCGGTGCTCGTCGGGAGTTTCGAGGCTTATGAGTGTGTGTGATTTGTTTCAGAAATTTGACGGTTGCTCTGGTATGGCAGCCCCACGTTCGACACGTGAGGTCCAGAAATGGCGCGAAGAGACTCGGGCAGCAAGAGAGAGAGATGCCATCCTCGAACACTCCCTTTGATCACTGCGGAACGTGTCCGTCTCCATAGGGAGCGAGCACGACTGCACGATTAGAGCGTAAGACCCCCCACCAGCTGTAACACAAGATAAGCATATAAGCTTTGTAATGCATGAATAAATGTAAGTTCTGCATTTGGTTACATCATTTTGGACCCTAGTACCTATACACCCTCTACAGCATGCACGAGACGTTTCACATAGCCCACTGCAGCTGCACCATCGATACAGCCTACCCTATGTCCTTTTAATTTGGGGGCGTTTTTAGTTTTTTTTTTCCGGCCACAGATTTTGTGTTTTTCGACAATATTTTTTTATGTCTCAAAAAAAACAAAAAACAGTGTTTGTCGGTGCTTACATTGAAGAATACAGAAAATGGGGTGTAGGATTTCCCAACCTTTGTTTAACATACTTGTGACCCGAATACTTAGAAGTTGCCCCCGTACCGATAGAAAACGAATGTGGTTCCCAAAGATAAAGAAGCAGCTTTTCGAATGATTCAGTGCAGTCTATGCTTGGAGTCAACAGAAATGAAGCGGTGCAACTAGATTTCTTTTCGTGAAGTTCAGATTTTTTTTGGTCATTTTTGGCACGCTAAAATAGATTACCCCATCTATTTCTTTACTGTCAAACCATACAGCAGCACAGGGGAGAACACGAAGCAGACACACGTCCCTCACCTGTGCCTTTGGCCCGAATCCAACGCTGTGTCCCAAGGCGACGCAGTGAACTCCGGCGCGCTCGAAGGCCTCCTCGACACGGGCCTGGTTTCGCGGCTCGACCTCGAGCACCCAGCCGACCTCTTCGTGGAAGAGGGCAGCAATGGCGTCGCCCTTGGAGGGCACGTCCACTTCCAGGCCACAGTTGCCGGCAAAGGCCATTTCCAGGAGGCAAGTCACAAGACCGCCATCGCTGACGTCGTGCCCGGACATCAGTAGCCCCTCTGCGAAAGGACAATATGCAGGCCATATAGTTTGCTTCGTGCGTAATGTTTTTGCGAGGTAATACTATGCAGAGAGCAGGTCATTTGCTTCTCGCGTAGGTATTGCAGTGATGTCAACGCCGAGCTCCGATTGGCCATGATGGAAGGATAGTGGGTAGACCTCAAAGCAAGACGTCTTGAGATTTAGCCACCATTCTTCAATCAGAGCCAATCAGCTAGGGCTCGGCGTTCTGACATCACCACAACCCCTCCAAAAGAAATAGATGAACTTGTGCTCCGCATAGACACTGACAGGATAAGAATGGCAGGTCATTTCTTTCCAATGCCTGACCTCCAGTACATGCTCGCTGCTTCCTTCATACTCCAGCTTTCGGTGCACGCGACACTTGCAAGATGCCGAAGCGTCATCGAAGGCAGGTAGCTCGCACTGGTAGTGAAGAAACTGAAGGACCTCCCTGCTGTTCTAATCTTGTCCGAGACCGTACAGGGAGTTTGCGTTACTTCCAGTTGCCATATCTCCCATGTTTAACTCGTGTTTGGGTGGGTGTGCGACAACTCTTGGTTTCCTAGCGAGCAATTGTGCGAGAACTATGCTCTAGAAATGCCCCAGTGTCATGCTTTTAGGCCGCCGACGCGCATGGGCATGAACAAAACGTCGCAAGTGAAGTTTCTCGAGACGAGGGACGCCGCCGACAGCGCTGAGCCGCCAGGCTTGGGTCATCGCAGGAAGGCGGCAACGGTACTCGCCTATTTTGATGTGCTGCTGACAGATGGCGCAACATGAGAAACGAGAGGCGGCATCTTGATCGACCATCTCCAAACAATGACAGGTGCCAACCGGTTCATTACAGCACATAGAAATGCAAGGTGACACAGAGCTCTGGGAAAGTAACTTTGAATACCAAAGCATGCGAGTCAAGCATTAGAAAATTGTACATTCTAGAGAATCGCGTTGCACTGACAGAAGCATACTAAAAACTAGTGATGGACCAAATCTGCCAAACTTCATATTTGGCAAGGTTCGGCAAATGCCGAACTTTTGTAGGAAAGTTCGGCAAAGATTCGGCAAAAATTCGGCAAATGTCTGCGCACGCGCGAGAACGCGACTGACGCGACGGAGCCTTGGATTGCAAATGGATGCCATGCAGTCAGAGTGGTGCAGTCGTGCGGTTACCATCGTGCAGTGCAGTACCACCAGCGGTTATGGCGCGGTGTGGGGTAGGGAACATGGTAACTGTGCGCTTGTGAGCGAGTGTGGTTCTCTTCAATATTTTCTGCCTCAAGAATAGAAGATGGACCGGTAATTTACGCAGTCCACTGCGCAAGTGACAAATGATGCGATGCATTATGAAACATTGAGACATCGGCCGACAATTACTTTAAACCACTCCTCGTAATTATAACAATTCTGTTTTCGGCTCAGTAGTAGTGTGTTTCAAAACAAAATAATATTGCTTTTTCAGTTAGTGTTATTTCGCGATTTTCATGTATCTCCAAAGAAAACTAAACACAGAACTAGTATAATGCTTGACATTGCACATCCGACATTCACTCTCCCTATCTTCCGAAACGTTTGTGTGAGTCCTAACACCAGAAACAGGCATTTCAAAGGTTGAAAACGAGATGTTGCGAATATGGGACGCACACTTTCATGCAAAGCTGACGTCAAGTGACTCAAATCCAAGAACATGCATATTTACAATATTATTATATTCTCTCTTCTGGTGAAGGCTCAGCAACCGCTGCATTTGTTTTCGCGCACAAAACAGTGACTCATAGAGAAAGCAAGAATGCAGCGTTATTGCCTTCATTTTAGCAATGTACACACACATGCAGGCTTGTGCTGATGATGCCTCAAAACCGAAACTCTCGTAGCGTGATTCGTGACTGCACCACGCTCGCTTCTACCCAACCTCGTTGTCACGCCACTTCTGCAAGGAGTCACTAAAATTGCCAGTAAACACACAAAAAGGACACCGATACAATTATCTTGTAGAATATCACCTTATTTAGTAATAACTATGTCAATATGCATTACTGTCGAGACCGGTTATAACGAAGTCAACGGGAATCGGAAATCACTTCGTTATATCCGCTATTTCTTTATAACCGACTTCAATTATAACCAAGTGCAAAAAGGAATGGGGAATCGTGACCGCTTCGCTGTAACCGCTATTTCCTTATAACCGACTTCGTTATAACCGGCCTCGACAGTACATGTTGCATTTAAGTTAAGAAAAAATCAAATATAAAACTTTTTTTTCGCCAGAAAAAAACGAAATAGCAACGAGTCTGGTAACAATGTATTTTTGTCGAATCTTTAGAAAAGTTTGGCAAAAGTTCGGCTTTGCCGAATCCGAAGATTCGGCGCCGAACTTTAGAGTCGGCAAAAGTTTGGCCCATCACTACTAAAAACCTTTCGGGTGATTGTCTGCTGATCCGACTCGGCGACCTGTGCGATGAAGCTCAATGCATATCTTCGGCACCTGAGGGAGGCAGCTGCCCATCGCCGATGACTTGCCCTTCACGAAGTAGTTGAACGTGTTTGAGGACTTGTGGCATTTAGTAGTTCTCAGGTATATGGACAAGGCAAATCGAATACATGGTCGTGAAGACGCGCCCACCATGCCTTCAGCAGGTTTGTAATTTATTTGAGGAACAAGTGCTCATTCTTTTAGAGCGCAGCTCTTATTTGCCTGATTTCCGGCTTGACTTGTGTCGCCGTAACCGTGCGTCGCATTATGGGACGTTTCCCATAATGACGTCACACGTGACGTCACGAGGATCACGAGTGAAATCACAAGGGAGGAGGAGGAGGAAATTTTTCCGCTAAATTTCCCCGCTCAATCTAGCGGAAAACATTTACAGCTCGATTCTCTAATTCGGCATTACAGAGGCTTGTAAACGTCTTTCATTTTTTATTCAAGGGATCAGGAAGGTGTGTTGATTCAGCATAAGTAAATTTCTGGAGGTACCGCAGTCGGCCCTCGGTGATGAGACTTTAAAAGTATGCACTATTCACTGCGGATCCTCGAAAACGAGCAGAAACAATGGCCAACCAGATGCAACATATACTCTATAACTCCTTCCCTCCCAGAAGTTTGATCACACTTGTTTTTGTTTACCGTTGAACACCCTGTACAGTGTAGACCGCATATAACATATTTCGCGGGAGTCGCGAAAATCCGCACTATAAGCGGTACCGCGCTATAACCAAAACATCAATTTTTCAGGCCAAAATGCGTGCCATCAGACAACTTGCCTTTGTAAAAGAATTTATTTTATGTTAGATGAGAAATAAAGCTTAGTTTGAGGAAAGTCTTTATTTCACCAGACTAGTAAACATCTCTCTCAAGTATGTCACACATTTTGAAAGAAATGAGCGACTTTTGCCTAGCGCAGCCTTTTAACGGTGTTGCGGGTTGCGGACGGACGTTGCGAGCGTTCAGGATTGCTAACCCTAATCACTTCTCTCCGGCGATGAAAACGCGTGAAAATTCGCATCTTTTATACGGTACGCGCCAGTAATACCTTTAACTTGAGCACTGGCATGAAATGCTCCAAATAAGAAATCCGGGCGATGTTCGAAAACACAAATGCTTAGAAAGCACCACTGTAGTCGAAGTAAACAAACACGACGACACGGGCGTTTCTGCCGTCTTGAGAGTGCCGCCACAACATCGCCGCACGAGTAGGTGGATCTTCCCTTCTAGTACGTGCTGGGTTATCATAGCGACACACAACGAGAATTCACAGTCAAGGATAGCGCTTTTACGCGGAACGATGAGCTTCTACCATGCCGTCTACATCGATGATCAAAACCAATGCCATGTTTGCAAATAGAAGCAGCCGGCCAGCCGGCCGGCCCGCGACCGGCATGCAACGTGCGCGAACACTTCTCCTCGATCTGCGATTGGTCTGTCGTTGCGGTTGTTTCTAACGTTTCCAACGCAGCGCAGGGACGCACCCACGTGAACGACACATGCGTGCGTCCCTCCATCGCTATGGCAGCAACCTCCTTGCCCCGCGAGTGCCGCTTGCGGATTGCGCCGTTATCTAGTGTCGCACAGGGAAGCATGCTCTCAGCATCGGTCAGTCGGCGCAGTCGCCGGGCTGTTCCGAAAACCGCACTATGACCGGTATTTCCCTTCGCGCGCCTGCATTTTAAGCGGTATGTAATTACATGGAGTTCTATGGGAGGCGAACCGGTGGTTTAAAAAAGCCGCGTTATACCCGGTCCTGCACTATAAGCGGTTACGTTGTAAGTGGTCTATACTGTATAGCACTTTTTCTTTTCCTTTCTGAAATCTACATGACACATCAGTGCATTTGCTTGTAAGAGGCCTCAATTAGTAACAGCCTAGTAGTACTTGTTTTCCCAAGTTTTTGAAAGCAAGTCAAATAGGTGATACAAGCTTTAAAATCGAATTAGCATGTAGAGGGATCGGTGGCCAAGTGGTCTAGCGCACACCAGCTCGGAGCACGTGGAGCGAAAACTCGCGCTGCAGAACCCAGCATCCTGGGTTCAATCCCCACCCCTGCCCGTTTCGATCAGGATGAGCATCGTACCGGCGTGCGGTCATGTATCACTACTGTGTGGTGCACAATAAAGACCTCAGGTTAGCGGTTGTACCGCACTGGCTAAATTGCTCATTTACAGCTGAGACACCACACGCCCATTAAAGCAGACTAACTTCCGGCTGTATAAGCATACACACGACAATTTGCTGCTTGAATTAGCATCTTCCATTAAGGTTCCAAATGTAATATTTGGTACATGCACAGTTTTTGTTCCGTGTATAATGATACAATAAGACGTTTTATGTATATCTTCCCTCCTATTTACCTTGCGTCTTTTATATGCCTTCCATATTTCTTTCACCGTTTCTGCATTCACTCGGTAGACTATACGACCACCCCAAGGTTAGTATTCCGAAAACGCCACTCACCGCAAAGCAGTTCTTGGGTGGTGTTGAAGGCAGTGCGGAGCCTCCTGGGGTCATCCAAATCTGGCACTTCATCGCCAAGCTGCTTGAAGCACTGTGCCAAGGCCGTGCCTCCCAGTCTCCTCTTGTCGGGGGTGATGTCAATGTGCAGCAACACACCTGGAAGTGCCAACACGTTTGAGAACAAACTTTCTTCTGGGGACAAAGTACCATATTTTCCAGTCTATAAGTTGCACCCCCCCTATAAACAGCTGTTTTCATCAAAACGTTGGTACATACGGTCCACCTTTGTACGGTCGGCATGGCGAAACTGCGTTGATGTGCCCGAGTATGTGTATTGTGATCGCGATACATGATATGCAGGCAAGGGTCAGTTTCAATATTCTGGATAACAAAATCAACAAAAACTGTAATTCCTGCATTCATACATAAAGGTTTATATTTACATAAAAAAATGCATATGCTGCATCGTTGTATATAAAGCACCAACGTAAATTTAAAAAATAAAAGCACAAATTATAGCTTGTTCACACTCTTGCAACCGAGTATGATCGAGAGAGACAAGACTTGTTAAAACCTCTTAAAATTTCTTAGGACGAGAGAACACACTGGCACGCTGGTGCCATCTACGCAGTGACCCTGGAACTGCATTTCACAAGAGCGAAGGTTTTGCAGTATTTCCGAGGTCAAATGTGCGTAATACCTATAAGAAAGGCGCGTTCATAACGTTGACAAAAGTGTTTCGAGCCAAGAAAGAAAGGGTAATGCACGAGAGAAATAGAAAATATGCCGGACCGCCAAGTTTACACTGCTACCCAATAGGTGGTGCCGTTGTGTCTTCTCGCTGTAAGAGGTTGCAAGAGTGTGAATGGGCCTTGATACACCAAAAAATATGGTAAAAAAAAATCTTACGAGGGTTGAAATGGCAGTTGATGATTTCAAGGAACTTTGCTTAGTCAGGGAAAAAATTCTCTTATTCATGTTGATCCTCCTATCTCACCAACCAACACAACCCGCCCTTTGCAAAACGTTGGCCATCATTTTGATTGGAGCCAGGAGATTTTCGTTTCAAGTTTTGAGAGCGAAGTCACTTTTCCCAGCATCGTAGCAGGCATAATTAGCTAGAACTATACACCTGCTAAAAGTTGTCAAATAGTTTTTTAAAAAACCCAATCATATAATTCAGAAAGGCTGAAAAATAAGAGCTTTCAATTTGACTTACAAGTTTCCATTAGGCTTTTTTTACTGCGTTTTACCATCTGTGAATTTTCAATTTAACCGTTCACAAAGGGCCTCTACTATGATACAGCAAAACTACCTTCACAATTAAACTTTCTACTTTGCGACAAACTTCTTAAAAATTCGAGCACAAAAGGTTTTTTTTCCTCAAATAATGGTATGTACATATATGATATTGTTCAATCTTAGCATTTACATTAAAATACAATTTTAAAAAACTTCTAGCAATTTTTTCTTGTGCTTAAAAATAGCATTTTAAGCAGTGCTGGGAAGTACTTCAAGTCGGGAGCCGTGTCGGAAGGTGTAGCTGACCAGCGAAAGAAAGCAGATGACACGCAGACGAAATCCGTCAGCAGCAAGAGCGCCATTGGTGCCATCATTATGCAACCATGTTTTCTTTTATTCTTGCATGTTTCTAAAGGTTTTGCTATCATTGTCCACGTTTATTTTTAAACCAAAACTACATTACAAAAGTATCACATTAATTTTAATAGACCATGGTCATGGCAAGCAGTCAAGATAAGGATAGGAGCGCCATCTATCAATAAAAGAACCACACGTGCCCCGCCACTTGACTTGGTCGTCTGCGTTGCCATCCGTCGTTGACCCTGGCAAGATTTTTGGCCCCATTTTTTATAGAAAGAGAGCTATGTATGCTTTGTAAGTTTATGGGATAAAACCAGCCTGTAAAATGCACCTGTGACGAAGAGTTTAGATTGCCACGGGCAGGCGGTGATTTTTAAGGCCCATCTTAGATCGAGCCTGGGTATTTCAGACAGCCTAGAGATAGAGAAAAAGCTGCAACAGCAGCTTTATTCTCTAGCTCGCCTTCTACCCTTTTTAGTGGAAAAATACACCTCGATTCAATTGAATTCAATTACTTTTTTTCTATAAATTAGAGGTGTGCGAATATCAAAATATTTCGAAGCGAATCGAATCGAATAGTAAAGGGTACGAATCGAATCGAATCGAATATTTTCGAATACGAATATTTTTTATTTGATGTGAATCAACCAAGGATACTCTATCAAAAACGAACTGGGAATTCTTTTTCAGCAAACGTAATTACAAAAAGGTTAACTTTATTATGGCAATAAAAAAAATGTCACACATGTGACTGATAAAAAGACAGATAAAGTAATACTAGTAAAACACGATTCAGAGTATGAAGTTACATAATGTTGTCATGAAGAAATGTAAGTTGTTCCACATGTTCTGGGAGCAGTGATGCTCTTCTGCTGGTCACAATTCCCCCAGACACTGAAAACAGGCGCTCGCTAGACACACTTGTGGCTGGTATGGCTAGGTACCTTCTTGCAAGTCGAGCCAACAGGGGGTATCTTGTGGCACCCTTCTCACACCACCACTTGCAAGGATCCTCTTCCCGAGCCAGGACGTCTTCATGCAAGTAGCTTGCAACCTCTTCTTCAGCTTGTGTCATTGAATGCTGCTTTTGTTTAATGAGGCTGTCGAAGTTTTGCCACAGCGCTGACCTGGACGGAACTTCAGGGGCCGCTGTCTCTGAGGGCACCCCTGCGCTTCTTTGTGTCTCAGGGATTTTTTGCGCTTCCTCAACTCCCAGGTTCTTCAACCAGTTCCCCATCGACCTGTCCTCTTCGTAGACCACTGCCTTGAACCTTGGGTCTAGGAGCATTGCCAAGCTGGCTACTTGGTCAAATTTGTAGTCAGGAAATCTTGTCTTGAGGCACTTGGCCAGGTTAGATGAGAACGAGGAAGTTATGGTCTGCTGGCTGATGGAGCTGTTCAGGCATGCAAGGATGCAATACAAGATGGGTATTTGGGCTGACAAGGTTGGGTAGCTGTCAGCTCCAGCACTGGTCGTTGCTTCTTCTAGTGGCTTCAGAGTAGCAACGTAATCACTCATTTCCTTCCATTCTGTTCCGGTAAAGCCTTCAATTGACCCCGCTTCAGATGCAAGGTCAACGGTTACTGCTTCTCTTAACTCTAAAAGCCTGGACAGCATTGCACATTCACTATTCCACCTTGTTTCAATATCCTGAACAACATGCAGGGGGGATCTGCCTATTTTCTTTTGGTAGCAGTTGAGCCTTTCCTGAGCTTTTGGGCTATGTTTATAGTGCCCAACAATGCCTCTTGCTTTTTTACAAAGTACAGAAAGTCCTGGAGTCATCTCTTTCGCGTCGCTGATGACTAGTTGTAAGGTATGAGCAAAACAAGTTCTTTCACACCAAGGAAGTGCATGAGTGGCTGCTCTGATGTTGCGAGCGTTGTCAGTCACCACGTAAAAAGGGCAAACGTCCTTGGGAATGTCCCAGTCTGTGACGAGCTTATCAAGAATTGAGGCAATTCTAGCTGATGTGTGCTTGCCTGGGAAGTGACAGGTGCTCAAGTTGTAGCGAGTGAGCTTGAACTGCGAGTCCAGGAAGTGGCAGGTCAGGCTGATGTAGCTTTCGTTCGCTCTGGACGTCCACATGTCAGAGGTGAAGGAGAGAGACTCCATGCCACTCTCGAACGCATTCTGTAGTTCAAGTCGAACCTTCTTTCTAGTGTCGTCGTACAACTTCGGCACTAACGTGCGCGACAGCGTTGTTCTCGATGGTGGCAGGTAACCTGGGACTGCCTCCTTCAATAAATCCCGGAATCCCCGGTCTTGCACAATCGTGTACGGTTGCAGGTCGAGCGCAACCATCTTGGCAATCTTCAGGTCCAAAGCCTCCCGTTTCGCTTGCGGCAGTGCCGTTTTTCTCAACACATCAGCAATGCTTGGCTGATTAGCAGGCTTGACTTTAGCAGCTGCTTGAAACTCCGCATACTGATTGGCGTGCCGTTTCAAATGGTTCACGAGAGTAGTGGTCGTGCCTGATGGGGTTCGCAGTGAGCTTTCGCAAAGGTTGCAGACAGCTTCACCCTGGCAAACTTTTCGGAAATGGGTCCATACGGGACTTCTTGTGCTGGCAGGAGGTTGTGTACTCCGCCGTGGTTGTTGAGTTCCTGACGATTCCTGTCGTGGCTCCATCAAGCTCAAGCACCAGCAGACACAGACGAGCGCAACCACGTGAACGTAAAGCATGGCACACGACACGAGGGATGAAACGTGCGCCTCGCGGCCACCACAGCCTCCTGCAGAACTAACCTTGCGCAATATATTTTCGTGTGCAATAGTTGTGCCGAGAGAGGGCGCCACGAAGAAGCTATAAAGCTAAAGACGCAACACGGCTATTTTTCGGCTGAGGCAGCTGAGGGAGCAGGTCTCACTTTGAGCGGTGAAAACGGGTAAAAATAAAATGAATACTGGAAAACTGATTAATCAGAAAATCAAGCGGAAAATAACTCGAGTGGCATGATCCATCATGGCAACGACGGTAACAACTGTACAAATTATCCCCGAAAGTAAGCCGTAATCCATATCCAAATTCATAGCACTTTGGCCCCTTGGCCGCCTTGGCCCTGTAGGCCAGTGGGCCAGTCTCTATGGGCTCTGTCGTTCAGTTGTGAGTGCTCGTGAGTGAGTGGCTGTAGTCCGTGGCGTTAGAGCTCACGACGATGTACGTGCCCTTGCAGATCGTAGCCCTTTATCAAATTTATCGCAGCGATGGCTCCGTACATGTTTGCGCCACTACCACTGGGCCATCTCCGCAATCCAGATATCGCGGCAAGCGAAGGTCAGATCGCGCTACCGCGTGCATATAATTTCCACTTCCATTGCTTCGTACAAGAAATAACACAAAAAAAAGGCACTTAGGTTGGCTTTTGGGGTTTGCCAAGTTCGAAACTATACTGCGCAGCCCAAAAACAAACTGGGAACGTGACCGCGATTTGGGACTTACCAGCGAGTTTCGAGTTATTCGTAGTTTTCGAATATTCGAAGAACTCGAATACTTCGAACAGTAAAAGTGCGAAGCGAATCGAATCGAATAGCGGGCACTATTCGTGAAGTATTCGAAGTTTCGAATATTCGCACACCCCTACTATAAATTTGTACTCATATTTTTACTTCACCCAACACTGACTGTAAGTACTGTATTTTTCGGTCTATATGTCATGGTTTTTTTTTTCCAACATTTTTCTTGGTGCGTCTTATATACCGATGCAACTTAGTATATGCATTGTTATACATTTCACGGTGCAACGCCTTTTTTTTATGCGCTGCGCACCGTCTTTTGTAGAGCACCGTAACTATGTAGCCATAGGTGGTGTTGCCCCTTCCAGGAGGCAGTGCTGTCGCCACACTTTTCTACACTTTCAATAACTGACTCGGAAAGCGAGAAATTTCATGGTTTCCCCAAAGCAGCTTAATGTGAATAAGCAAGACAGTGACAATAAAGATTTTACAGCATGCGATCAACATTGCCTAATTCAGCCATGATTCCGTATTCTTTTGCTCCAGTCCAGTAACACTGAAAGGAAAGTGAGCAGGTATACACGCATTGCAGAATAATTTCTTGCGTTCTTCTTAGTTTTTGTTTGGTAAGCAGTTTTTTCTGCCATGCTCCAGCCGTGTTGCTATATGTAAAAGGAAAGATTGTGCCTAGCCAATCTTTTAGAGGTGCAGAAAGAAGCATGTCAATATTTATCTATCTGCCTGTGCATCGATGCTCTCGTTACCTACAGGACTTGACCTAGGCTAGGCCTAGTGGTTCAAAGCTCGGCTCACGAGTGTCGCACTCATTAAACTTTCGTTCGCTTGGCATGTGTTCGCTCGAATAAAGTGGACTGCCTTCTCATTTTGTGCGTTTTACGTCCTTTTGTTGCGAAACACGCGATTGCTACTGCCAGACAGCGCCGTGCTATGGGCATTTCTCGAGAGTCGAAACATCCAAGTTGCACGTCGAACGGTAGGTGGGGTCTAGCCGATTGCATGAAACTCCGATTTCGCAATACCGATGTGCGTAAACAAAAAAACTCATCGTGTAAACCGTGCAAAGATGTGCAACTTATACAAGGGTGCGACTTATTGAGGAGTTTCAGCGACGGTGTCACCGCCCTGGCGGCCGGTCGCCGAAAGAGAACGAGGGGGATAGGTTCGCTGGGAGGTCAGGGCGGTGGCTTTGTGTATATGCGTTGACCGCGAACGTGCAAGAATATTACGCGGCTCTAGTGTTTCGGTACGAGCAACAGAGGTGACACGATCTGCTACGACCAGCTACGACCACCCGCCGCAGCGATGCAGGCGTCGAAGGAGCGCAACCTGTGTACTACGCAGTCAGCCGCCGTCGCCCGACGCAGATCGTTCGGCATTCAGGGCTTTCCGCCCCGGGTTCTTCGCTTGTACTTGGAACCAGTATTATTTCCTGTGCTTGTGTATGTGCTCAGTGGCTGGATATGGACCTCATAGAGCAGTTCTTCAGACTCAACAGCGATTCAAAGTTGACGGCGGAAGGGCTTGCAGCAACGCTTTCGGTTGGTGCACGGCTGCGACGACTACACGGATAAATTTTAAGATTGCTGCTAGCAAGGTGGGCCATAGTCGCTTTATGTTGACACGATTTTGAGTGTAAGTACTCCGTGCAAAGGCGAATCTATCGCGTTTCTAATCCACCTTTGTTTTTGTTGTTTTTAGCACGCACGACCGACTGCTAAGCAAATGCTTCTGTACCGATCACGGAGTGAATGTCTTCGGCCTTACATTGCGGAACCCCCAATAAAAAGTCATATTCGTTCAGCGAGAAAACTTCCCTTTCGGGTGACCTTCTGATTGGTAATTTCTCCCGTACTTAAGTGCTTTAATCAACACGATCAATTAAGTTTGCTTCCCTAGTTAGGACATTTTTGTGCTACATGCGGCACTAATGCTTGGCACGATGTATGCCACTGGTGGTATTGTGAATTGGTTTACTTCCAAAGCTAACAGTGTGACAGGTGGGACCATTCAATTTGCTAAAAATGTGATGATATGGGAATTTCGTTGCATAACTAGCGTTTCACGTTTAAGATTGATAAGAAACATGCTCATGTGATAATGCATGTCTACAGCATAAGCTTTGCAGATCCAGAATAGATGTGCTATAGGCTACAGCCTCAAGATTTTTAATGGACCAAATTGGTGATTACACGGCAATAAATATTGTGGTGAAAAACTGCCCATTGACTCGGTGAGTTTTGATTGTGACCATTGGTGTGCTGTTGGCAAATTAGATAATGGCACACCTTTTCCCTGACCATCTGGCTTCAAGGGGCATCGCATCTAGATGTGCTTAAATATCTTTATTTCAAGGTTCAGTGGACCCCTCTGCATCATTACAGGAAGGCAGTCTCAAGCCACAACAAACAGCAGTGAATATACAATGCATAATAACGGGCACCAGTGTCCAAGCGTATAGTCCGCAGAAGCCAATTTGAGCCTAAAAATGTTTCTGTTTTGTTTAGATAGTTTGCATTTGGTGTATAATCCGCAGGGCCCGATTTCCGCGCCCAGTGCATAGTCCGCCAAGCTGGTGCGTTGTGTCTTCGTGCTTTTTTTCCTGGGTGGCATTTTCTTCAGAAGTTCTTCGGTGAACGCTATTCAGCCTGAAGAACTGCTTTTGAGGCCCATATCTCGCCACAGATCACACACAAGCACAGAAAATAACACTCGGTGCCAAGTACAAACGAAGCACCTGGGCAGAAAGCCGTGAATGCCAAACGAGCAGCGTCGGGCGACGGCGACTGACTGCGTTGCGCCCCTTCGACGCCTGCATCGCTGCGGTGGGTGGTCGTAGCTAGTCGTAGCGAGATGATCTTCACTTCAAGCAAGAAATCTTGTTATACCATAGTCAAGATATGTGTGCAAGTGTTCGACAACGTGGGCTCTCTCACGTTGGTGCAGTTGTCATCAAGAAAGGTGCATATCAACAATGTTGCGTGTTTGAGGCTGAAACTATGACGCATACTTATCTAAACCTAAATTTATCGGTCTGCGGCTACAAACATTTTCGTTGACGTTGCTTAGATGATGTAACCATTCAGGCCTCGCATTAAATGGTGTTGCGACTCTTCGGTTCTGTATGAAAACCTATTTTTGCCCTGGACATGTGTCTTCTGCTGATACATATCTTCCCATTTACAATGCAGAGGCAAACAGAAAATCAACTGCATACATCTACCACTTAGCATAAGCACCTTTGGCATTCATTCTTGAGCACACTCAAATATCAGCTTAGTTTGGTCTTGTTTTAGAAGCTTTGCCCTGTTCTGTAAAAAGAAAACAGTTAAAAAAGCTTTACCTTCGTTCTCCTTCTCGCATTTAATACAGACTTCATTGTCAGCAGATATCACCGTGGCACATACAACTCGAATGACCGATGAGACTATTGCTATTACAATAAAGCTTTTCACAAGAGCCAAAACGAGGCTTGTAGGGGTGCACAAGCACATAGAAATGAGATTGGCGCTTCCGGGGCTTGTTTGCATTACGCGTAAAAACAGGACGATCGGCGACCAGCTGATCGCAAGATAACACCAAGGATACCGATGTTTCGATACACAGAACGCAGGATAAAGACCTCAATCGTCCCTTGTATGCTGTAGTTGTCATACTTTCTATCCAACCGCTTTTTAGCACAATTAACTAGAACAACCGAAGAGCTCGCGACACCTTTTAATGCGAGGCCTGAATGGTCACATCATCTAAGCAACGTCAACGAAAATGTTTGTAGCCGCAGACCGATAAGTTTAGTCTGAGATAAAGTACGCGTCATAGTTTCAACGCGCGAACATTGTTGATATGTAAGTACCTTTCTTTGGACCCGCGTACATTCGGTTCAACTTGATGACAGCTGCACCAGAAGTGAGAGCTCACGTCGAACACTTGTACACATATCTTGACTCTGGCAAGATTTCTTGCCTTCAACTGGCTTGAAGACTTCATCTGTAGCATCACGGTAGGTCTTGGTTGAAACGATGATCGTCTCGCACACGGCAACAAGCAGAGAACGACACGCTTTGTTTTATTTATACGCTACCGGTCTACGGGCGTCGCAAATCTGTCCCCCTCTTGTCCGCCATGTCGGATCGATCGGAGCGCCCCCTATATTCGCTGAAACTCCTCAATAGTCTGGAAAATATGGTAATTACCGTAATTACTTTGTACCGTGGAAAAGGTTGCTTGCACAAATACAGATGGAGCCGTACTGCAGTCATTTCCAGTTCAACATGAAAAAAACACATGGCATGACTCCCTTACCCCTTTGTCTTGCACTGGGCATCTTTAGATCTGGCGTCACTGTTGCGGTGATATTGGGGCAGGGTGCATAGGTAGACACCACAATAGCTCCTGCAAAAAAAAAAAGGACACAGGTGCAAGCAAGAGTTGTGAATCATTGGCCTGGAACACGAAAAAAGGCAACTGCAAACTGCTCACAAGCAGCAAATCAAGCAGTTTTAAAATTTCTATACAACTCTTAAAAACATGTTGGTGAAAAAATACTAATGTCTGGAATTAATGTGAAAAACCATCATACAGACATCTGCATATAATAGTAGGTGGAGCACAAATTTTAGTAGTTCACTCATTTCGCCTCTGCAATGACTTTATATTTAAACTAAATAATCTAAAGCAATGGCTCTAGGGTTATATTAATCAAACAACCTTGAATTAGACTTTCTGTTACCCTTCATGAAAGGCATACCACAAGCATACATCAATGCCCTTTAACGCTAAAATAGTGGGCAATCACCAAAACCTGCCCTGGGCACGATCATTAAAAGGCCCCATTATATCGACCTTGCTGCAAAAACGCAAATCTCCAATGACTGAGCCACAAAACAAGACATTTCAAAATGTCTGACTAAGATCTTTTATAAACATCTTGTAGAGCTGTCTTCTAGAAAACGCCCTGTCTTGCATAGCATATGCATGGTTCATTCCAGTAGCTTTAAGATTTTACTGAAAAGCCTAGTGCAAGTACTGGAAAAAAAGTACCTCCCAAAAAATGTCCTCTGGAATAAATGTTCCTGGGAAAAAAAGCCCCAGAAAAAAATGGCCCCCAAAAAAATGGCCCCGAAAAAATGGCCCCAGAAAATGGCCCAGGAAAACATGGCCCAGCAAAACATGGCCCAGGAAAAAATGGAGTGAAGTTGCAAGTAGAAAAAAGTTGCCCCAAGGGGTAAGGAAAAAAAATGTTTCCCCTAGAACCCATTTGGAGATGAGTAACCTCACAAATTTGCCCCTAACACGGTATAATTGCATTCTGGTATGAAGTGCTGCAATTATTTTTTTATTTTGTAGTGAAAAGAAACGGGGAGATGCACTTGGACACACTGGAATCAAACGTGGAGTGGGAAATTAGGAGGCATTGTCAGTCACAGCCATGAGCCATCCAACAGTGAGGAAGCTCATGGACGCCTTACGCTCAGAGGAATAAACCGTAACCATAAGAATGGCCGACGAGCCGGTCGGAGCTCTTACCAAGAAGGGGAGCAAGTCTGCGCTTGTCGAGATGTAACACCATCTCAATAACCTTTGGGAGGAGCATGCCACTGAGATGACAACAGTTGGACTTCCTGCATGCAGCCGGCCATACCATTTGCTCAGGGATGGGCAGTATTTCAAATATAAGTATTTGAAATACGTATTTCAAATACTTTGTGTATTTTGCGTTTGTATTTAAATACAAATTGGGTAATGTATTTGACGTGTGTATTTAAATACTAAAACATGGGTATTTCAAATACAATTGTAATTAAATACAATTTTGTGGGCGAAAATACATCCCTCAAATTTATTGTCACGACTCATTTTGCTCATCCTAAAACGTGTCCAGAGCAGGAAGAAAACTACGTTCTGCACCAAATGCAGTGTCTCTCAACCAAGCACAAGCGCTTAGTGACTTTGTGATAACGGTGCTAGTCCAGGCCAAGAATAGTGACGAAGTCGACGTTCACAGGCAGACTGGCTAAATAAGTGCCTGTGACAACTCGTGATGCTTTCCAGCCTGATTTCCATCCATATTTTTGCCATTCTAAATGCGCGGGTCGTCCAGATTTTCGTAACTGGTGCGAGGTGCAACAATAAAAAATTCTGTCGCTAGTCCTGCTGGTCTTGGTCGTCTCGGTTCTTTGTAGGTCTATACCAAAATGTAATCGACAAAAAAAGCTGCTTGAAGCTTGTGGGGCGCTCGGCCCGCCACACGGCGGCCAAACCGGCAACTAGCGGGGGGGGGGGGGGGGGGGGGGGGGGGGGGGGCGGCTCCCGGTGCCCACGGCATACCCACGGGCTTAAAAGGGGTGGCCTGTGCGGCCGACAGGAGTTGCTGCCCCGAGTCTTGGCCAGGTCAGGATCCCCAAGTCATAGTAATAAACCCCGCTTGACCCCAAGGAATGAGTCGTCTGATTGATCACCTGCGGCGGACGGCGGAAGTTGAACGCTACAAGCTCTGTACTTTTTTCACCTATTACGTCCAAGCTGATTACATTTTTTTGTGATTATATTTCTATTACGTTACTAGAGCTTCGCACACTAAATCCCGAGTGTGTGATGCAAAATTAAAATGAGATACCCAGAAACCCGTTGCAGGTGCCCTGAAGTCGCTGAAGCAAATTTTGAGGAATGTATTTGGCAAAGTATTTGGAGGAGACCAAATACATTTGGTTGTATTTGTATCTTGTACTTAAATGCTTTTTTGGAAAAGTAATTAGATTTGTAATTAAATACATTTTTGACGAAGTATTTTGTTTGCTGCCAATGTTTCTGCATGTACTTGGACTGTTCACGCCAGTGTGTTTAAGTGCATCTCACTGTTCCTTTCTGATGTCAAATTAAAAAAAAGACAGAACTAACTAGGATGTGATTACAGTTTTGGGAGAACTCTGCGAGGTTATTATTTTTTATTTCAAAATGGGTACCGTGAAAAAAAATTTCTTCCTCACCCCTTGGGATCATATTTTCCTACTTGCTACTGAAGACCATTCTTTCCAAGGTAGTTTTTTCCGGGGCCTTTCTTTCCGCTGCCCTCCATTCATATGCCCTTTATTCCGATGCCCTTTATTCCGGGACCGTTGTCTCCTACACCCTCCTAGTGCTCAGTAGGGGCTATGCTAGTACCTGCAGTACGTCTCTGACTGGCGTGTTTATTGCATCCTCAAACGTGGTCCCTCAATTTCTGCCTCATGACATCACAGAAGTGTCATGCCTGTCACGTCTGTCACTAAGGCAATGTCACAGAAGTATGGTGGTGCCAGAACATTAAGGCAGCATCACAGCAGTAAGGCACTGTCACAGCAGTAAGGCAGTGTCGCAGCAGTAAGGCAGTGTCACAACAGTAACTTTGTGTCACCACAGTAAGGTGGTGTCACAGCAGTAAGGCAGTGTCACAGCAATAAGGCAGTGTCACAGCAGTAAGGTGGTGTCACAGCGGTAAGGTGGTGTCACAGCGGTAAGGTGGTGTCACAGCGGTAAGGCGGTGTCACAGGCATAAGGCAGCGTCACAGCAGTGGACGCAGATGCCCATTGTGCTGTGGCTCACTCTCAACTCAACAGTCTGTGGAAGCTGCCTCGTCAGAACTTCTAAAATCAACCACAAGGATTGTGGCATCAGACAACCCGACCACGCCAGCTTTGCGACATCACTTGTCGCCGTTTTCGATGCGTGGACAGCATAGGACGCCAAACAAACCAGCCGAAGATGGGCCCCAGGTACCATAGCAGGCACTAAGGATGGACACACTGTCGGCTCAGCTAACCCACAAGGACGCTCGGCCTACCGGGAGCCTTGACGGTGTCCTTGCCGACGCGGGCCGCCATGCTGAGGGAGTCCTTTCCTCCATCGACAGCAATGCCCAGGGCAGACATGGAGGCGCACATGGCCTTGCAGGCCTCGTAGAGGGCGGCCCCTTCCCCGGGAAGCTTGGCGGCCCACATCCAGTTGCCGCTGCACTTGACGTCCTGCGAGAGCGTCGGGTGACGGTTCGATAGCTTCGACAAATGTTGCTTCGTGTTTTGGCATCCCACGAAGACTTGAAAGGTATTTCGGCATCCACGACGAACAGGGGGCAATATTTAACTCGGGGAAAGAAACAAGGTGCGTGACAGTTTGTTGGCTTGTGTTTGATGGATAGCTCTTTATAAATTTTCATGCACGTTTAATAGCTAATGGCTCTTACGTTCCAGATGGTTGTCCAATAATGATTTTTATATTTACTAGTTGTGTTTGATAGATAATATAAGGATGCTTCTTTGCCAAACCCGCACCCCGCAATGACTGATAGTGATGCACAGGTTTCTTTGTAAATAATGAGCACTGCTCAAGCATGCATAATGAACGCCGAGTGGTGCTTGACTTCAAAGAACATATTCTGTCATATTTAGATGTGTCATGCCACTGGTAAACACTGCAGTTCCTAGGTTTCAGCGTGACTCTGTTTCGAGAGCTTCCTGTTTATAACTACTAGTACAGCGCCTCAGGCCTCCAGTTTAATTTTGCCCCTATAGTTACACAAAATTTCACCACACCAAAGCTCCATAGGGCTAAATTATTTCTCCCAAGGTACAAATGTGCGATGTAGGCAGTATTACTGTATTTACGAATGCACTCCCATAACGGGTACCAATATTTGGACTTTTTCTTTCCTCCTTGCATAATGAACACACCTCCAATTTTCGGCTCCGCGAGTCTCGAACTGCGTCCAACTTAGCTAGCCACCAAGCCCACCAAGCCAATTTTCTTCTGCTGCCAAGCAGTCAGGCCAAGTCAAGCCAAGCCAAGCCAAGCCAAGCCGCTCTCGTCATGGCTGCAAGTGCTTAGTTGCGGAAGTGATCAACCATGAAACCGAGCAGCGCGCACACTCGACAAAGCTTGGGTCGAGAAATTGCCCAGCCCCGGACATTCTTCGCCTACCAGATGCACTGATGTCAACAAACACGCCGTCGTCTGTGATCCGCTTTCGGACAGTGAAATCGCGCAAGTTGTTAGGCTTTAGAACAGTCGTGTCGCTCTCCGTGCTGAGTGAGCTTCGTAGGGAGATTTTCCTTCGGCAAAAGGCACGCCGAAAGTGCCCAAAAAAGGTTTGCAATTTATAAAGCATAGTTACTGTGGCGCACTCACACCCAGCTGTGAGTGTACCTCCGTCAGTGGAGATGTGCCACAGCACCTTGCCATGTCATATTGGCACCTAATATGGCTATCACACAAATTGTGTAAATGCAAAAATTTTACCCCCACGTAATGAATGCATTCTCTAAATATGTCTCAATTTTTCGAGAAAAAAGTGTGTTCATTATGCGAGTAAATACGGTATGCACTCGTGGCAGCTCTCACTTGAAGCGAAGAAATCCTGGCGAAGACCAAGTTGCTGACAGCCTCAGCCACAGACATCCTGGCCCCTGCAGCAGGACACAGCAGTCCTTTGATTGGCTGCTCTCCAATGGCTGTGGCAGAGCCCACCTGGAAGAAAAAAAATTAACATGAAATAAAGGACATGCATAAAACAAGTTCTCGGAACTCGGCAATGCCATCTCGTGGCAAACGGGGGAAGTGGCCGCACAGCAAGAACCGGCACACCCTTATGCGGAGCGCAAATTTGCCTGCTTCTTGCACAGCACTTGAAGTGACGTCAAAATGCTGAGCTTCGATTGGCTCTGTGTGGAAGAATAGTGGGCAGACCTCAATGCTTGCTGTCTAGAGGTCTGTACACCATCCTTCCAATTGGAGCCAATCAGAGCTCGGTGTTCTGACATCACCGTGACCCCCGTGCAAGAAGATGACGAACTTGTGCTCCACATAGTTACAGACAGGATTACCGCATTTATTTGAATATAAGTCGACCTTGTTTTTTTCTCGGAAATGTAAAAAATTAAGGGACCCTACCGAGTGCACATAGTCGTAACCAGAAATTTCGATCCACATTCGTGACCAAATTTCAAGACCCTACTGAGTGCAAGAAGCTACTGAGTCACCGAGCCCACGTGGCTGTAGGGCCGCACTGCTTCTTGTCTCGGAAAGCTTTTGGTGCACGAAAACAACCAAAACAGCAGCAGCCTGCGGCACCCCCTGTGGCAACCACTCCACGCGTCCCTCGGGTGTCAGGTTTTGCCGACATAACATTGCGACATGTCACACACCTTGCCCCTCTGCCTTGCCCCTTCCCCTCTCCCCCTCGCAGATGCGCAGCAAAACAAAATAAGAGCGCAGCAAAACAAAATATGGAGGTTACTTTCGCTTCTTGTGGCTCGCAGAGGCTTGTGGCATTGCTCGCGTCTTCGCATGTGATCTTTCGTTGCTTCGCCTGTCTCCAGCTTGTTTCGTTTCTTGTTGTCGCCATTTTGCAACGGTGTCAGTGATGTTTTGCTGCGAATTTGTGAGGATGTCCACGAAGCTGACGAAGCTCCCCACGACAATGAAACGTCCGGAAGTTCTGACAATGATTAAGTTTTTGCTATCGCACTGTAATTTTGCCGAGTGTGCTGTAAATAAAGGTTTTGTTTCTTTCTTTTGCACTAACTTTCTTCTGTTCTTCAAGAAAAAAATAAAAGGTCAACCTATATACACAGTTTTTTGTGTTTTTTTATTCTCAGGGAGTTTAATATAAAGGCATCTATCTATATTCTTGGTGGACTTATATTCAAGTAAATATAAAGAATGGCAGGGCCCCCTTTCAGACATCCATCCTCCAGCACGCTCTCGTAGCATATTCTGCCGTGCTGTGGCTGTGCGTGAACACTCGAGGATCACCAGACGCGAAGTGTCATCGGAGGCACAAAGCTCGCATTGGAGGTGGGGCAACTGAAAGGCTTCCCTGCACTCTCATTCTGTCAGTGACGAGGGTGGCTAAGTTGCGAGACGGTTGAATGAATCCTCGAAGGTACTATGTGCTGCGAACTTCAAAAACACAGTTACGCTGCATCCCACTGCAGTCGAGGTTTTGTACATGCTGTGACCTCGCATTTGAGTGCGTCGTATACTTTGCAGTGCCCAGTAGGCGGAGGGAGGGGTTACGAGAGGATTCACAACTTTACAGAAACCAGTAAATGTTGCGTCGTTTCCGCACAAATGGAGGTCAAACAGAGGTGTTACCGTGTCAAAGTAGGAGAGTGCGACCACGGCCACATCTGCGAGTGGCGTGTGCAGGGGCCCCACGCACTGCTGCTGGGCAACCAAGCCTGTCACACAGCGATCCACCTAGAAAGCAGAAGACAATCAACATTTCATTTAGGGATTAGATATGTGGGATAAATATAAACGACTTTATTTTTGCAGGATCATTGTTTCACAAATTTTGTGAAGTGCAGGTTTCTATAATGTCTCGCGGGCACAAAATTTACTGAGTTGGACTGTTTCATATGTAGTATTTGTTACCGTAGGGTGATATATTCATGGGATCTGTTTGACATCAAAACCCCTTTCCCCACTACCTATGCCACTGACCTGTAGTAGTTTCACTTGTAAATACCCCACACTTCCAGCACTTGTAGGGGAGTTAAGAATACTACAACAGTAAAATGTCGATGGGATATACAATGAAAGCAGATAGTGTGACAGCTTTGACTGCCTGGGAAAGCGAGCTCAAAAACAACAAGCTTCTGAGGGCTTTTTCCTCCGAGCGTGCCATTTGTCCCTCTTTTTTCCTAACAATTTAAAAGCAAAACCATATCCAGCCATGAGCTGCTGGTCATTTTGGTAGAGGTAAAAGCTTTTCTTTGTCTCTTATCAGAAAGTAGCTCCATCAGCATTGTCAGCCCACTATATTCACCAGATTTCAGCGAGACCACATCAACAGGTGCATTCTAGAACACGCTTCAATGAAGCAGTATTGTACCACAGAACACCTGGTTATTTAAAGAGATTCCTAATAAGGACTGTCTTGCCTTGTTGGTGAGATAGCGCTTGCTCGCCACTGAAGGGAGCCGCAGCACCCGCTGCAAAGCCTCTTGGACCTTGAGTCCATCGGGAAGACTGAGGGGCTTTAGCACTGGCTTGTAGCTACTCAGCTCAAACACCTGTAAGGAGAAGAAAATGCTGCAGTGTCTCCAGAACCCACTACCCGATTCCAACACAAACAAAGGTGTATGCATTGATTAGAGGTGTCGCGAACTTGAGTCGAACCTGGGGTTCGACGGGTTCGCCTATTCTTTAAACTTTTGGCGAAGTTTGACCCAAGTTCGACTTCTTGGACAGTGTTTGACACAGAAATATCAAACTTAATAAAAAGAAGATTATAAAATGGTTTATTATAGCACTGTCACATGTCTTCGGTTTACGGTGTAGCATAAGCTATATAAACACAGGTGACAAAGCTAAGCATTACCTTGTGTACCACTGAGATGATAATTTATCAATTCCTCTTTCCCCTCCCTTGTAAATGGCTTGCCCTCTTTTGAATTTCCACGTGAAATAAACAGGCCCTTCCTCGTTTCGCCTTCATTCAGTCAATCAGAGGTCATATTTGTCATACGCTAAAGTTTATACGAAGCAATGTCAGTCCGGCATCTATGTCCCCGACTACTGGGGGCCAAACTTAGTAGTCATTGCAGCTTGTCTGCTAACACCCCAGGCAAAGATCAGTCCACCTGCAGCTGGATTATGAAACTGGTCCCAGCTGGATCCAGCTGAAACCAATTCAACAATCCAGCTGCAAGTACACCGATTTCCACTTGGGTCATCTTTTCAAAGCGAATGTACAGTACTTGCTGTACAAAGGCACGTGGATACCAACACCCATTCACATCAAAACAGGCAAGAGTAGGGTCTCAACAGGCAGCACAAAATAACTGAGGACGACTCCAAAAGCTCACCTTGCGTGGCATGTCCCCCAGGACAGAATCCAGATCCAAGTCGACTGGATCCCGTTTGCCGGACTTCCCGGCCTCCTTGAGCACAATACGACCATCTCCCGTCACCTCGCCCACGAAGGCGACGGGGCAGCGCTCGCGCTCCGCAATGCGCTCCAGAGTCTCCCTGTCCTTCGGATGCACCAAGATGGCGTCGCTCTCCTGGTACTCCGCACCCCAGAGCTCCAGAGTAGAGATGGTTGGGTCGCCCAGCTGGAAGCGCTCCGTCCAGATGGTGGCTCCCGCAGGCTCCACTATTTCCTTGAGGACATTGCCTGCAGGATGGCAGACAACTCGTTACCAGCCGGCAGAGCTGGTAACGAGCTCGACAGCTAAATTTGGCGGAGAAATTTCTTCGCTAAATTTAGGGGGAAGTGTTTCCTAGCTAAATTTAGAGGGAAAACCTGAATTGGTGTATAATCGTTGCAGTCATAAAACGTGACAATATGTCACGTGACCTGACGTCATGTGATTCTGTTATGCTATTTGATGCTGTGATGCGACGTGATACCGTGACGTTGCACGACATCACGTAACGCTGCGATATCATCCGACATAACAACATCGGCAACTTCACGTAATCGTAATCTTGTGCGCCTCGCATCGCAGCATTGCACGTTGTCGCAGCGCGAAATCACAAGGCGTCGAAGTCGCGCAATGTCGTGCGGCGCCACCCACCACTGTGACGTCATATGCAAAATCCACCTGCCCCAACGCACCGTTGCCTCCTGCACCCTGGTCGTGAACGCTGAGGATGGGGTTCTGGCGGGCGCCACGTTCGATGCAGGCTCGCACGAGGCGGTGTAGTTTCTGCTCCATCTCTGCATCACCACGCTGCACCGCTCCAAAGTCCAGCTCGGCCTCCTGGTCTCCTTGAACGGTCACCGACGAGGCCGCACCACCTCCGACGCCGATGCGGTACACGGGACCGCCAATCTTCACCACTAGCATGCCTGAAAACGGGCAGAATTCTGTCAGCTTACAAACGTTTAGCATATTTTCCGGTGTAGAAGTCGTGGTTTTATTTTTTTTGAAATTTCCTTCGGGGCATTTTATACAATACTTATACGAGTTTTTTTTCTATATGTATAGAAATATCAATGCAGTTTCACTGTGTCAACTCTACAAATATATGCCGTTAAATACCGAGTATCGGCCCATGCCACAATAAACGCCCACGCCCTCAATTCTGTGACATTCGTAAAATACACAAAAGACGTGACTTTACATTGTTAAAACAGAAGTTCGGGCAAGTTGGTAGTTCATGACGCACGAGGACACAGCGCACCCGTAACAAACACTAGGACAACGTTCACAGTCACACCAAAAGAAAGGGACACTTACACAGCGCTGTGTAAGTGTCCCTTTCTTTTGGTGTGACTGTGAACGTTGTCCTAGTGTTTGTTACGGGTGCGCTGTGTCCTCGTGTGACTTTACATATTGTAGACCTAGGGAGTGCCAATCCACCAGTTTTACATGATTTATCTCTAAATTTCGAGTGGGCACTTGCTTGGGATGCTACAGTAAATGCAAATTATATACAACCTTTTTTCTGAAAACAGCCTTTTACAGGGGTATGTGTCTTACATCCTTTAGACCAGAGAATATGGTACTCGGAGCTTGAAACAAAAAATGTGCTGTTGGTGTGTCCTAACACAGCACAAGGTGATTCACTGTCAATGTAACAAATATCCAGCTGACCAGTGTAAAAATATGTATAAATACTACCATAAAGTCCTGAGCAAGCATCCACACAAAATTTGGAGATAATCATGCAAAACTGGGAGATGGGCGTTCCTTAGGTCGACAGTACGTAAGGATATGTCCTTTTTGTATTTTCGGAATGCTACAAAATTGAGGGGCGGACGCTCATTGTAGAATGGGGGGTTGCTCAGTGTTTTATGGTATAGCATATATACTGAGCGTAACCCTATGGCTGGAATTGTCCACCCTGAGACATGCTCAAATTGCAAAACAACTCAAAGCACACAGGCCAAAATATAACCTCTTCAGAAAGCTATCATTTACCATATGACAATCATAGAAAACAATCTGCAGGTACTCTAACCAACTGCGTTTAAATTACCCGACGTTTCGCGGCCTGCTCGGCAGCTTGTTCACGGGTGACTTTTTTGGCTGGGTGTTTGTCTTTCTCTTCTCCTTGTCGCTGGAGTTTAAATCGTCCTCCTCTTTTTGTGTCATTTCAAAGCCCGTGAATATAACCGCTTGGGAGGGTACCAATCGACTGGTTCAGGTTGCTCTTTGTATGCTGAATATGCTACGACCCTAAAAAGAGTTGTTCTTTCCGTTTCTTTCGGTGTCCAGTACAAAACTCCTTGCAAAGTCGATAACATTGTTGCTCTTTTCTTCATGTTCCGCTAGAGCATCATCTTGTATGTCCTTCTTTTTTTAGATCATATTTGTGTCTATAAAGACGTTCGAAGAAGTTCTTGGTTTCCCAACCATATGAGGCGTTGCAGTCGGCGCAAGGAATAGGATAAACAAGGCCTTGGGCTTTTTCTTAATACTCACTTAACCAGGCAGATTTTTGCCGAAATGTTTACTTTTCAATCATAGAAGACATGGTAAGAATACCAGAAAGTTTATCATAGATAATAACTTAATATATTTTCTTGAGACAAATATCCATTTTAAGCAAGAAATTAGACATAAAACATTTTTGAATTGCCTTATCTGTTTCGGATTTTCCAGGTGCAGGAACACCGAAAAAAATAATGCCGATTCCCCGAAGGCATTCGGCTACTCTTGAACGAGCTCCACAGCTCCGTTCACAAAAACAAATATTTTTAATAATTCCCAAAACGCTTCCGAATAAACATTTTAGCTTTTACAAGAATACATATACCACATTTTTCAGTGTACTGTAAAACCCTTAATGTTCGCGAGCCCTCAATTTTCGCGAATTTCGCGAATTGAAGAATTCGCGAAATTTAAGGGCGCGCGAAAATTTCGGTCCTTAAGATTTTCAATGCAGGCATCTGGAATTCGCGAAATTTAGTGGTCGCGATTATGTCATCTGTGACCGATTCGCGAAAAATAGGGGCCGCGAAAATAAAGGGTTTTACAGTATATTAAGTCAAATTTTTTTTCCAAAACTTCCGTCGGTGCGTATTATAAACTTATATGCGTTTATTTTTCAATTATGAACCCTAACTACACAAATTTGCCCCTCGGGGTATATTTTTCTTCTTCGATTCGTTGACGAGATTGTTAAAACCAGCTCTCACACAAACATCTATCATGAACTGAACATACATATGCAAGCTTATTAACGCCGCTCCACTGCAGTGACCGTACAAATACACAAGTGCAACAATATTACTGTGGTGCAGCTTATATCGGATAAAAAATAAGGTACCACCCTTCGCCAGAATTTTCGCCCCAACATTCAGTGCATGTGCGAGTCGTACCTTTGGCGGGCTTCTCCTTGGTGATCTGGTCGCCGTCGATGCTGCCGATGCCGGCCGAGAACATGATGGGCTTGATCCACTCGCGACGCTCGCCGCCGGGAACGACCATGCCAAACGACCGAGAGAAACCCGAGAGCACCGGCTCGCCAAACTTGTTGCCGTAGTCCGAGGCGCCGTTGCTTGCCTCCACGGCGACCTCCAACGGAGAGGCAAAATTTCCCGGATACTCAAGGGACTCTTCCCAGGGAAGGTCGTACCCTGCAGCGGACAAGACACCACCATGTATAACAGTTAGACATGCGACACTACCTCTCCCCTCCGTTTCACTGTATGCATTGTCAATTGTTCCAGATTGTCGAGGCAAGTGTAGTCTACTTACCCCATTCCAACGCGCACCTTTCTTTGAGCAACACATGTCTCATAAATGTCGGCATGTTAGAATCGGATACAAGACTGGCATCTGGGATTAGAAATAGTATTCTTGAGCATAAATACTGGATGCGCATTAAAATCGAGGAAGTGTTAAGATCAGGTAAAAACGGTAGCTTCTACAGTGCTCCAATACTGTCAAATTTACTTTCGTGAATCCGTGGCTTTGTTTGGCCATATAACGTTTCCATCGCGCGACAGCACGTGAAAGTGAGACACGGGACGATGCCGTGTGTGTAGGGCAGTAGCATTCTGGAAACTATTCGAGCCTTCACAATGTGCACGATGGTTCATGACGAGCGAAGCGGAAGTCAATAATTTCTCACTACAGACCAGACAGAACATGAAGGGCATGAAAGTTCGAACAAAAACTCTCAGGAAACCTCCTGTAACCTTCAGAGTGGTAGCATCAATGTTTTGTTAAAGGGGTGATGCAACAATTTTTGTACTTTCAGTAAATACCATTAGAATTATTCCTTGACATTCATATCCTATATGAAACAAGCACTCGTTTTCCTCCTGCACGCCAATGGCAGTTGCAGAAAAAATATGTAAAAAAACGAGCAGCATTCATTTCCCCAAAACGATGCCAGAACAAACGACCACGTGAACTGGAGCCAATTATACGCCGCCAATGTTTATCATAACCACACACTGGCGTTGGCGAAGCGCACGGCACGCACAGACTTCCGCACGCCGTTAAGGTTCGGCTATTCCCCTGATCGCAGCGATTGGGTACGAGCCACTGCCCGAATGCACCTCGAAACATTGATTGTCACGAGCCCTAATCGAATGCTGACAATATATATATATATATATATATATATATATATATATATTATTTTTTATTATAGATTTTGTTGAGAGGAACGAACCCTGTCGCTACACTCGCGTCCGTGCCCTAGCTGTGTCGGCCTCGTGACACAATGCTTGTGTCCACCGTACCAGCCGTATTTGAATATCGTCACCGCGGGGATCACAAAGCTTGATGATGAAATTTTGGGGATTGCATGGTTGAAAACGCCAACAATCCGATCCTCACAACTTCGTCGTCAAGTGCGAAAGAGAGGCTGAAAGAAAATGTCTTCTTCTACGTTCCAAATCATGCGGCTACAAAGAAGCTTCCATGTCAGTGGCATTGTGTGCAAGTACACTCTGGTCCCACTAGTGCCAGCGAGCTTATGTACAGTGAGAAACATTCCTATACAATATCGTTGCATGGCCCTTTTAAGGAACCTAGCTTCTTCAAAGCATTGAGGCTAAATTTCTTTAGGGCAACTCCAGTTGAAAACGAAACCAAAATAAATGACTGGTATCACTTTAGTGGCACAAAATATGACTACAGTCGAAATATTATGTCAAAGCGAACCCGCGTACTCCACCAACAAACGATTTTAAAGGTGCAAACAGCTGCTCATTAGCAGGCAACAAGCGGGTTAGCTTTTTGTCAAAAAACACTGGCGCAGCCCCCTTGTGACGTCACGTCACGGTGGAGATGCGGTTGATTGGTTGTATAGCGTACCGCAGCAACACGTTGATGTCGCGTCCCGGCCGTACGGCTGATGATCAGTGTTACCATCATTCTAGCACATAATCTTGGTTTTGCCGTAGACGCCCGAAACCGAACTTTGAGCCGTGATATTTATAAAACTACACATAATATTGAGAAAGAATTATACCATGTAGTTTAGGGACACCGCTTTAGCTGAAAACAGTTGTAATCTCAAATTCAGAAATATGGACTGGAGTTGGAACCTAGCTTCTTCAAAGCGTGGAGGCTAAGTCTCTTAAGGCTGGTTCAAAACATTTGGCTTTGAGTGTGACTGACTGCATTGCAACTGCTCGTATTATGATGAGGGAAGACGGTGGTGCCACCTGTTGGGTTGCCCTGGAACACTTCCCATTGCGTTCATTCTACGCATCATTCTTTCATTGTGTGCCTTTAAACAAGTCTGTCAATTAAGTAGACGGCCATTTCTCGTAGATAGCGCAAAACCCTTTGTCTACTTATACGCAGATCTTTTCGAGTTCCAGGGCTACTTGATACTAGATGGCGCCACCGTGCCAGTGTGTTGTCTTGTTGTAAGCGGCTACAAGCCATTGCAATGCAGCCTGTCACAGTCAAATGCAAATATGTGAACCCCCCTTATGTCTCTTGGCTTTTACATGGCCCAACCGCAACATCTCACCTGGAATGAGGAGGTTCCCAAAGCAGTAACCAGCGGTGGCGGCAATCTCGTGGGCACCGCGTCCGGCCGCGTGGACGTCGCGGATGCGGCCGCCCGTCCCCGTCGTCGCACCGCTGAATGGCGCCACGCCTGAAAGTTTGGCGAAGCACCGCATTAAGTCGGTACTGTCACTCAGACTTCGTTGACTTTGTGACGAGACATAAAGATGCTAGAATTTCCCACACTTCATAGCTCGAAATTCTGGTGAAACAAAAAATCTCCTGGCCTAGACACTCCGTCAAATGCAATGGGAATGCGATGGCACATGATGGGATCTTTAACGAGCAGCAGTTTCCGTCAGAATGATGTGCAATGTGATGCATGTTGAAGGAATTGTGAGTCTATAAAGAGTTCTCCTCATTTATGCACTTCTCCTTTGGGGGCATTGTACCATTTTACACACGAAATGTCGCCGTACATACAATATGACCATAAAATGCCTCCGCGGATACTAGATGATTTTACTAATACACAGTTCCTACCTGTTATGCAGACCCGATTCCTATGCAGCACAAAAAGGAAGAAGGGGAGAGTTAGTGCATTGCTTACCCCCCCCCCCCCCCCCGCCTCCCTTTGAGCAGAGCAATGCCATTGGCCATGTGCGCCACGACGTCAAACCAACAGCGGCTATGTTGCCGGGACTCTCTCCAACAGACTTGCTATGGTGCAACCAACAAAAGCAGGCGAGGTGCGTGCAGGGTTCCTTTCAAAGCTATCACTTTAAAACTGTCTTCCCTCATAACGCTGACGACGCAAACTGAAATTCGGCCTACGCGCCGCTGACCCGTCGCTACCCGTTACGGTATCCGTAGGAGCTCACCGGTCGGGAAGTTGTGAGTCTCAGCCGTGAAGATGATGTGACGCTTAGCGTCGACGACGGTGTACGCGCTTCCTACTGTGGTGTCCTTCGGCTGAAGCACTCGCAACTCGTAGCCTCGAATGGCGCTGCAAATGACACGCAGAGAGTTTTTAGGTTCGTCATACCTATGTACAGTGCTCACCAGACTTGTACGGAAGAAGTTTCTCAGGGGATCGCAACCCCAGTGGCAGACAGGCAACGGTTCTGCGACGTAGTGCTGAACAAACCACTCTGAAGTACAACGTCAAGGAGCCATTAGTTGGCTTCCTCCAGGATAGCCCTACCACGAGAGAAAAAAAAAAAATTGTATTGCGTGTATGTTTACACAGCCTGAAGTTAGTCTGCTTCAATGGGCGACTTCTCTCTCAGCTGTAGATGAGCAATTCAGTCGATGCAGTACAACCACTAGCCTGGGGTCGTTAACCTGCACCACGCAGTAGTTATACACGGCCGCAGGCCGGTACGACGCTCATCCAGATCGAAATGGGCAGAGGCGGAGACTAAACCTAAGATCGCCGGTGTCTGCAGCGTGAGCTTTCGATATACAGGCTCCGAGCTAGTGTGCGCTAGCCCGCTCGGCCACCGATCCCCCGTACTACCATTAAAAAACACACGGATCGCGTGTTCCATAAAAGTCTGGTGAGCACTGTATATTTTTTACGCTAGATTCAGTGTGTCGCTTACTCACCCGTCAAGACAGGTATTCTTCAATTATAAAAATTAAAGTATCAAAGTAAAAGCACCCGATCTCTTGCTGGGTTTGCTTATTGTTTGCACTCCATTCACAAGAACGCCTATACTGACTGAAGGCCAGTGGTAAACAAGAGTCTCTTGTTAGTTTTGTGAGGAGTGTCTGGCGAAGGACTATGCCAAGCGCACGTGCCGCGCACGTGCCGCGAGAGGACGAACACGGAATGGGAAAGACGACGAGGACGGATTGGGGGAACGGGCAGTTAGGTTCTGGGATTTAGGAAAGACAGTAAAGGTTCCATCCTAACAAGTGGGGGCTCGTCCGGGATCGGAGATGGACAACCTGGAGGTGCCAGATGAACTGATAGCCCGCCTTTTGAGACAAACCGACGGATCCGTGATGCATCGGGAGCGAGCTTCTGTTCAAGTGCGCCAACTGCTACTGACTGCTGCAGTGCCCCCAGCCAACGACCCGAGGTGACCGCGGCTGCAGTCCACCCGTCTGGCGGCCCTCTGCCGAGAATTGCGGCGCAGTTGCCGAAGTTCACAGGCTTCAGTGATCGACAGTCGCCCGAAGAATTTATCGAGAGGCTAGAAAACTTTTGTTTGATTACGGGAGTCACCACTGAAAACCGTCTCAGCCAGGTCGTTCCGGCTGCACTGGATGGGAGCGCCAAATTATGGTGGCGTTTTATCGGTAACTTCGGCAGTTGGGATGATTTCAAGACGGCGTTTCGTGCCGAGTTTGCCTCAATCGACGCCAAGCGACGTCTAAAGGACGAGTTGAGACACCGCACTCAACACCCCGAGGAGAACCTCAAGGAATTCATTTACACCATCGCCGAATTTTACGAAAGAATCGGGGAAGAGGTGCCCGACTCAGAAAAGGTCGACCGCGTGCTACGCCAAATGCATCCCCAGCTCCAGGATTTGGCGGAAGGGACGCAGTACGCGAATTTGAGCGAGCTTGCCAAGGCAGCGGACGGCCTCATGGAGCGTGCCTGGCGGCGTCTTCAGTACAAACCGCCCCCCACAAGAAGCAACCAGGTGGCCCGTGACCTAGCTTTCCGGGCACAAGGTAACCGCGACTTCCCCGGGACGGAAACTGCAATTCCCTCTACTTTCGCACCGGCTCTAGCAGCGGCTGTGTCATCTGCAACAGTCGCTATGCCGTCGACGTATCGCTGGCCACTCCACCCTGCGGCAATCGAACCAGCCTACTACAGGGACCAGCTTTCAGGGCCCACAACGTCAGGGGGAGTTGCAGATTCAGTTCGGCCGATGTCTCAGTGGCATCAGCGCCAACAAGGAGTCGACCGTTGCCGGAGATGTGGAGGAATCGGTCACTCCGCTCGCACCTGTGCCACGGGTCGGCGTTTGGGTCCAGGCCTCTGCTTCAGGTGCCGACAGCCTGGCCATTTTCAAGCACAGTGTCCGGGAAACGGACACTGGTAGATGCTGTCCCGGTGAGCATCTACGACAGAGCGCTGCAAGGGGCCACTACTGCCGGGGGAAAAGAGCCTCTCCTTGACGTTACCATTGGGTCATCAACGTTCAAGGCGCTGCTCGACACAGGCTCCAGCGTCAGTCTCTTGGGTCGGCCGGCCATCGCAGCTGCTCAAGCCACAGGTGCCACTCAAAAAAGGGAAGTGCGCACGCTGCGACTGGCAACAGGATGGTCCCAGTCCACTGCATCTCTTCGGTGCAAGATCCGGTGGGCGACCGGTTCCCGGAGACAGCGTTTTCTGTGTATGCCCGACCTCTGCAGAGACATTGTTTTAGGAAGGGATTTCCTTACAGTGACAGATATCTCCTTGCATGTGGCGCTTGGGGGATGGACAATTGGAACAGAGCCCCAGCGCATTGTTCCATTTGTGAAGGCCATAAAGCAAGCAAGCAGCGAGCTTGGGGCAGAAGAATATTCGTACTCCCTGGAGAACCTCTTCAAAGAGGAGTCAACTTGCGCCACCACATTCAGCCATAGTGCTACCGAAGGCGATGGAGACTCTGCAAAGACACCGGGAGTGTATGCTCCTATAAAGAAATTGTTGGAGATCTTTGGGCCAATCTTCACCAAAACTCCCGGCTGCACTTCCCTTGCTGAGCACCGAATTGACACAGGAGACAGTCCACCCGTTCGTTGCAAGTTGCGTCCCGTCAATTCCAAGAAACAAAAGATAATTGACAGTTGCCTTCAAGACTTGCGGGAACAGGGACTTGTGCGTCGGAGCACCAGTGAGTGGACCAGTGCACCTGTTCTGGTGGCCAAAAAGTCCGGAGGCTTTCGCCTGGCCATAGACTACCGGCCGCTCAACGCACGCACCAGGGTGCCAGTGTATCCGATGCCCCGAACCGACTGGCTGCTGGCACAACTCGGGAGAGCGGAGTGGTTCTCAAGCTTTGACCTTTCGCAGGGTTTTTTCCAAATCCCTATGCGCGAGGACGACATTCCGAAGACGGCGTTCATATGCCACCAGGGCACCTTCGAGTTTACAAGGATGCCGTTTGGTGTTGCAGGTGGTCCAGCCTCCTTTCAGGACAGAGTCCTGAATGGAATCAACCACCAATTTGCTATGGCATTTATGGACGATGTACTTGTGTATTCAGAGACGCTGGACAGCCATGTTGCACATGTCCGAGAAGTCCTGGAGCGCATCAGATCAGCAGGACTCACCATGAACCCCGACAAGGTTCAGGTGTGCTGCCAGTCGCTGAAGTTTTTGGGCCATGTAATAAGCCCTGGACAATGTAGGCCGGACGAGGGGAAGGTGTTGGCGGTGCTCGACTACCCCCGACCTACCACAGTCAAGCAGCTGCAAGCCTTTCTGGGTTTGGTTGGCTATTACCGGAACTTTATCAAACAGTTCTCCATTATTGCCCGCCCCCTCACCGATCTCTTGAGAAATGACCGAAAGTGGATCTGGAATCACCAGCAGGAGCATGCCTTCACCCTGCTCAAGGATGCACTGGCTCACGATGCGGTGATGAGTTTGCCAGACCTGAATCGGCCCTTCGTCGCCGAAACAGATGCCAGCGGAGTTGGCATAGCTGCAGTGCTTCTACAGCAAGGCCCCGACCAACTGCAACCGGTGTCCTTCATCAGCAGGGTGCTTACTGAATCTGAGCGACGTTACACCGTCCAGGAGTGGGAGTGTCTCGCAGTGGTCTGGGCAGTAGACAAGTTCAGACCTTACCTCGAATTTACCGAGTTTGAAATCCACTGCGACCACTCCTCACTATCCTGGATGTTCAGCACCGACCAGGCCTCCCCAAGAGTCAAGCGTTGGGTGCTTCGACTCCAGGGCTTCAACTGCAAAATCAAGCACCGGAGAGGGCTTGCGAATATCCCAGCAGATGCCCTCAGTAGGGCACCTCTCCAGCAGGTAGACATACCTGATCAGAGCCTGCCTGAAACGCTGTTTCCCATCTGTGCACCAGAGTCGGAGCCTCAGATCACCTTTGAGGCAGCTGCAGCAGTGTCCCTGATCGACGATGTCACCTGCTTGAGCGACAGAGCACGATTAATTGACGAGCAAAAGCAGGACACTCTTTTGTCGAGGCTCCTGAGTGTTAAAGAAGGCATGCAGCTTCCTGATGATGACCCTGACCGGCGCCTACTGGCGGACTTGGCGGAAACAACCGAAGTAGAAGCCAACGGCCTCCTCGTTCAACTACGCGGGGAAAGAAAGGTGCCCTGGCTCCCTACCCATCTTCGCCAATTGGCACTTAAGATGTCACATGACCATCCCACAAGCGCTCACGCAGGTTTTTTCAAAACTCTAAAACGCGTCTCTTCCCGCTTTGTCTGGTTGGGAATGAGAGCTGACGTCGCCAGGCACGTTCGTTGCTGTCAAGTGTGCCAACGCACTAAAGCCCGCCGCCAGAAGCCACAAGGGCTTATGAGCAGCCAGTGGGCCACTGCACCAATGGAGGAGCTAAGTGTGGACATTGTAGGACCTCTGCCCACCACACCTAGACGCAACAAACACCTTTTGGTGATAATCGACAAATTCACAAAGTTTATCGAACTTTTTCCTTTACGAACAGCAACCAGCAAAACCATTATAGAGTGCATGGTGCAAGTTTTCTGCCGACACGGCACACCTGTTTCCATCTCCAGTGACAACGGCAAGCCATTCGTCAGTAAACTGTGGCGAGGTCTCCTAAGCCACTGGGGGATCGCCGACCGCCACACTGTGCCATACAGGCCATCAGGACAAATGGTAGAGAGGCACAATGGCACGGTGAAGGAGAGCCTTAGAGCATATTGTTCTACCCACAGAGACTGGGACCAGCACATTCCTGAAATCGCTTTAGCGATGCGCACGGCAGAAAGCGTCGTCACCGGATTCACCCCAGCCTTCCTTTGCTACGGCCGAGAGCTTCGCACCCCGTGGGAAGTGGCGGGACTCAAGGATGACAGCGAGCCACCAGCTTCAGAATGTCATGCTTTTGCGGCGGAAGTCACTCGGCGCCTGCACGACGCACTCGATTTCGCTCGGGATCACCAAGAGAAAGCAAGGCAGGCCCAAAAAACTTATTACGACCGGCACCGGAAGCCTGCAACAATACGTCAAGGTGACCTTGTCCTCCTTGACGCCCACACATTAAGCGATGCGGCCAAAGGCATTACTGCGAAGCTTGCTCCACGCCGCACGGGGCCCTTCCGTGTGGTCCAGTGCCTGGGTGCTAACGACTTTGTGCTTAAGGACCCAGTTACTGGGCGAAACCGACACGTGGCTAACGCGGACCAGCTGACACCGTACCACGAGCCAGTTCCAGATATAGTCCCGTCTTGTTCACGTCTCAAGAGGGGGAGACCTGTGAGGAGTGTCTGGCGAAGGACTATGCCAAGCGCACGTGCCGCGCACGTGCCGCGAGAGGACGAACACGGAATGGGAAAGACGACGAGGACGGACCGGGGGAACGGGCAGTTAGGTTCTGGGATTTAGGACAGACAGTAAAGGTTCCATCCTAACAGTTTTAATTCTTTTTTTTTAATGATGTCTTAACTGAAAAAGAATGTACATAGTACTAAAAATTCTAAACCGAATGTGAAAATGCTAGGCATGTGCAAATACCTAGTAGATTTTGAGTTTCAAGCAAGTTCGAATCAAATAGTAGTTGTTTTAGCAAAATATTTTCGTATAAAATATTGAATAGTCTGTTCCAAGCCTTTCACTACTGCCGCACCATGCTTAAACAAAAACCCAGCTGACCTCGTAAAGGCTGTTCCAAAACTTTCACTTGTCCATTTATAAGCTAAGTTAATTTTTAATCTAGTTCACTAAATTTATGGCCCCTCAGAAAGTTTGATGCTTTGGGATGGAAAGTAAAGTATGGGTTTAACATGAAATTAAACCTATGGAGATTCCCAGGTACACCTAGTTGAGTGGATTAATTTAATTAATCTTGCTATATGCAAATAATCTTTCTTCAATCTCGAGTTTAAAAAAAAAAAATTGCAAATGATGAATGCAGGTTGTCAGGGCATCTCTGCTTAACAAATACACTTGCGTAAGAGCCACGATTTAATTTTCAGAAATTTGAATGCTATATGCTAAAATTTGAATGCTTAATGATCTCAACATTCATAAAGTTTCCGTTTTTTTTTATGTATACCAAGTGCAAGTGTGCGCGATCCCATTTCGAAAGTGTGCTTTTCTCCCAAGAATGTGATTGAGTGAGTTTATTGAAGAAGTTAGCCTCCCAATGAGGGGTCATCTTTCTCATTTCGCTTGGGGAAAAGGGGAACCAAGAGATCAACACTTTTCCAAGTGTTGATCGCAGCGGGTTATTCTGTTGAGCGTGCTTCTTACCAAGCACCGGTGTATTGCGGAGAAGTACCACCAACAGAGCTCGCTTCCACGGGTGTTGGTTCTCAGCAGTGAACCCGTGCTTGGCAAGAACTCGTGGAGCTAAACGGGGCTGACCCGCCACAATCAACAGTTCGAAAAATATGAATACTGCAGTTCATTTCGAAGCGAATATCAAATAGTCTATTATTTGAAACTACTATTAGAAAATCAGATTTTAGCACAACCCAATAAATGCTATTAAAATTTGGTTGGTATCACACTAGGATATTTATATTTAATTCTTAAATAAGTGTAATAATATACTGTGGAGCATGAACAAAGCAAAATAAGTTCCCTCGCGATGGTCGAAGTGTGATTTATGAACAAGTTTACCAACGACCGTGACATTCATTTCCAGAAAACATTTTAAAAGTGAATCATAGAAAACTTTTTGCAAGGTACTAAGCTCATGAATATAAAGACCTTCAATATGCTCAAAATTTAAGAGAACTTGCACACCCAAAACAAGCCTCTGTGCTGTCCGAATTAATTTTTTTTCATGGCGTAATACACCAAAAAACACGGATGAAATCGAAGGTAGAAATGGACAGGACGCGGCGTAACTTTCAACTGAATGGTTTATTTGGACAAAATACTTTTAAAAATATAAAGACTGGCACACTTGGCAGAAGACAAAGATATGGTCTGAACAACCCCCCCCCCCCCCCCTCAAATACCAGTGTCACTGGTTCTTCAGATAGTAGAATTCTTTATTGAACGAAGACAGGTGCACTTACATAAGAGTTATTCTGGTGGGATTTAATCAGGAAGGCTTCATGAATTTATCTGGCCGTTTTTGTTTTGTAATGGCCCCATGACACAGGTCTCACCAAAGACGGCGCTGCACTTCTAAGTTTGGCCTACATTCACAACAGTCATAGTACACCGCTAGGGCACCAGACAGGGACTGCCTTATCGCCAATGCATGCTCTCTGACCCTATCATTGATGCACCTCCCAGTCTAGCCACAGACAGCTTACCATATGACAGGGGAATTTCATATGCGACGCTAGTGGCGCACTTGCGGAACTTGGTGGCGCACTCGCAGGACTTAATGACGTCGTTTTTTGCATGTCTCTTGCGGCACAGCCGATTCCTCTCCCGATCTGCTTATCTTTTTACACAGCAAAGATAGTTTGTTTAGTGCAGAAAAAAGAACCATATGTCAAAGTGATTGGCCACCTTCTTCAGATTGTGGGACACCTTGTGGACGTAAGGCAAGACCCACCCTCCTGAAAGCCCTGTTGCACGCTGCAATGTCGCCTTTTCTGATCTTTTTCACTACGGTTTCGGAAACATCTCGAAGAACATGCAGATGCAGAGGGTAACCTGCCGCTTCAAGTCTGCTAAGCTGAGAATGAAAACTGCTTTCATTCGGTATGGGCGGGATTTCCCTAGCACGGCCCTTAAGCAAGATGAAGCAATGCCCCTCTTCACCAACTTAGAGTGCGCGGAGCTGAAAGGCAACATTCTTTTCTTGGAACGGGGCTTATACGCCAAGCAGGCATGCTCTGCACCGAAATACAAACAATAACTCTTGTGTAACCGCACCCTCTTTGTCTTTGTCCGATAAAGATTTAAACTATCTGAAGAACCAATGACGGTATACGAAGGGGGGGGCCATGTATTAGACCATATCTTTGTGTTTTGCCAAGTGTGCCGGTTTTTTTTATTTTTAAAAGTATTTCACCCAAATAAACCATTCAGTTCAAAGTTACGTCGCCTGCTGTCCAGTTCTCCCCTCATTTTCGTCATTGTTTTTGGTGTATTCCACCATGATGCAAAACAAAAATGCCCAACAAGCCATCGTTATCCAATTTATCTTTCTTTGTCTTATTTGGGCTGACGGTTACAGCTGCAAGCGTACCTGCTGTTATCCGAGAACTTGATGACGTTGTTGTCGTTACTGGTGTCCTGAGTGGCCGTGATGAGAGAGAAGAGAGATCCAGGCTTCTCCTTGCCATCAACCACCATGCGCCCCTTGAAGAACCAGTGTCTGCTGTGCTCGCTGAAAGAGTCCAAGACGTGGCAACCGGCCAACAACGTAAAGGGATACTGAATCAAAACTTAAAATACACCTTTCACGTTCAGAAATAAATTAAACATGATCAACTCTATTTGCCAATGACAATCGTATGCTTGCATTTTGAACGGATGGCTATTATTTTTTGTTCCAAAGGACCGACTCCAGCGAGCACTCGAACATTGGCCATTAGGGGGCTTGATGCATCCCGGGAGACGTGACAGCACCTGGCCCAGCACAAGCAAAGCTGCTTGGGGGCCGACGTGGTTATGAGCTCCACCAATTGACTTCGTCAACCCGTTTCAAACTGGCCATTTTTAGTTGCCCCTCCCCGCTCCCCACAGATGTTGAATAGGCCGGAAAGAGAAGGGAAATCCGGTTCAACACGGCACGCGTGCATGCAGCTTCCGTTGTGGAGCGATGCTGCTTGCTCAGAGGGACGTAGCAACATTCGGTTCATTCCTTTTAAAGTAATATTTTGGTGTCTTTTGCAAGCAAACAATTGGTGTCTCCATGGTGTGGTCAAAACGTGGTTGACATTTAGACAATAAAATAGGTGCTAGAGTTTCGTTTAAGTAAACCGTTTAATACTGCGTATGTTCTAAAGGTGCACCGAAGACAACTGAAGATTCTGTATTGAAGGGTAGCTTCCCTGCTTTCTACAAGACATGGTGTACCACTTGATTTTCTTCCCCCAATTTTCGGGCAATTATTTATCCATGAAATACATCCCATGAAAACTTGCAGAAGTCAATGAAACCTGGGACAAGAAAAGCATAAACTGCAGCTAAAGCTCACCTGTTGGACTGTGCCAGGTCGAAGCATTCCACGGTGGTCGGGTTTCGCTTGAGCTTGTTTCGAAACAAGTCCGTGTAGAAGTCCAGATCCCAGTTGTCGAATGAGAGACCTTGAGAGACAGTGCCAGAATTATGCTTTCAAAGTCAGGGTGCACTTTAAAAAAACCTGAAACATGCTCCAAGACTAGAAATGAAAGCAAGCTTGGGGAAACCTGAAGGCTTTCTACCAGAGCATTATGCCAGCATGATACTGTAGATGGTCCTTGTAGTGTTTCCAATGAGGAGTATCATTCGAAATTAAAAACAGCGCGGAAAGACGAGGACCAGACAAAGAAGTGACACGGACGTAGCGCTGTCCGTGTCACTTCTTTGTCTGGTCCTCGTCTTTCCACGCTGTTTTTAATTCCGAAGTATGTACCAACTAGCCCAAGCCTCAACTTTAGCAGAGGAGCATCAGAACAAATCTGAAACTTGTGCTTTGTGTGGCCTGCACAGTGCACAAGTCCGACAAACTCGATTAAATCGGACCTCTCCAAGGCATAAACGAGCATCACCTACCCCCTTCCCAAACTGTCATTTGACCACCTCCTATTTCCATCACCACAGAGTAAAAAAATTCCAAGCACTACCAAGTAATCAAAAGCCGTTTGACGAGCTTCAAACTTTATCAGGAAACAAGGTTGCAAACAGGTGAAAAGAGAGTGCTGCTAAAGGCAGATCAATTTCCCTCAGTGCTGAGACATACCAAGTTGAGCACTAACCTATTAATGGGATATGAATGCTGAAGAGAGGAGAACCCTTTTCAGCAGTTAAGAAAAGTGCTAAACCCTTCCAAGTGACTTGGTGATGAGATATAATTGCCTAAGGAAGGAGGTGAACTCTTCAGCAGTTTTGAAGAGTGCTGAAATGTACAAAGCTGGGCACTGACTCAGTGAAAGAAGACAATTGCTGACAAGAGGTGAACTCTCTTCAGCATCCAGGAAGAGCCGAAGCATACCAAGTTTGACACTAGCCCAGAGAAGAGGGATGATAGCCAAGAAATTAACTCTCTTCAGCAATTAAGAAAAGAGCTGAAGCATACCAAGTCTGACTCCAGCCCAAAGAAGAGACATTACTGCTGAAAAAACATGGGCTCTCTTCAGTAATTCAGAAAAGAGTGGAAGGAGACAAGAGAGAAGACAGATGACTACTGAAGAGGGGTGAACTCTCTTCAACAATTAAAAAAAGAGCTGAAGCATATCAAGTTTGACACTGGCCTGGAGAAGAGAGATGACTGCTGAGGAGAGTTCAGCCCTCTTCAGCAATTAAGAAAGGTGCAGAAGCGTACCAAGCTGGGCACTGGCCCGCTCCAGAGCGGGTCTCCCATGGGTCAGGATATCCACCTCTTCCCACGAGTGAGTGCTAGGAGGAAGCTCGAAGGACGTCACCGGGGTCACATAATGGGCCTCTGTCATGCGGTCGTGCAGCACATCCACTACCTGGAACCATACACAAGTGGCTATCACATGGGTGACCTTCAGATTACCTTCAATGCCACAGACTGTCATAAAAACAACAGAACAATGTATATGTGCAGCTCAACAATTAAAACAGTATTTTGCAGAGGCTGCTCTGTACAAAGTACAAAGCACACGGAGACAGTAGGATACGATATATTAGTCACCAGGCTAGACTCACGTTTTATTCAAACAAAATGTGACTCTAACCAGCAGGATGATTGGGTTCACAGTTCTTTGTGACAACTGTGTAAGGCTTCAGTACCGAGAAAGCTAACTACAACTGCTGTGACTGTGTCTTGTCACTCATGATGAACTGACTACACTAGACAGGACTGAAGTCCCTTAATTAACGCTTAGCTAAGTATCACAATCGATGTGCCGACGCGCTCTCCCATTGGCCTGTGCCTGCGTTCTGCTTCCGGTTAGGAAGAAGATGGTGGATTTGACTCGACCTCACCCTTGACTAACGGTTTGGTACAGTGGCGTTCAAAAACCTACAAGCGTTCAACATTTTTCTATCTGAATTGTCACGTGACGTGACTCACCGTAGTAACTCGGAAGATTTCAAACACAGCCATGGTGGGCGAGTTAAAAAAAAACATGGCAGACTGCACGCTATCAGACGACAGGAGCGAGGAAAGGAGGGTGGGGGAGGACTTGTCATTACCTCGAACAGCGTTCATCTAGAGACGTTAGGCAGGACAAGACAGAACCAAGCTGTGGTCCTAACCCAAGTTAAGCTGAGCACATCATTAATCAAAGAGTTCACCTTGCGTTTTGCTGCCTCAGAAAGCTTGGTGTGCCCACTCTTCAAGGCAATCAGGTAGCGAGTGGAGCGCTCCACGCGATCCACACACTCGAGGCCGATCGTCTGGCAAATCGCCACCGATTGGGTTGATGACGGTGTCGAGAAGTTCAGCCTGGAACACAGGAAAGAGGTGGGATCGCACAAAAGAGACAATAAAGGAGCCGCCAACCAAGTGTGATTCAATCACTTACAGATGGGCAAGGGAAATCAATGAAATCTACAGATTGAGCTAAGCTCACAACACCAAGGGGTGCCCAGCTAGCATCTGATTATACATAGGTCAGATTGCAAAAAACACACTGCTCTAAATGTATTCGTGAAGCAATAAGCAAAAGGCATGATTGCAGTGGAGCTGCTTATGCGTCCGATAGCAAACTTGTGAGATAGACTTGAAATGCTTTAATCTATAGTATCCCATGTGAGCTCTGCAGGGTTTGCCCTGAGGCATGCACTAATGGGACTTTTGAGTATATGTTTAAATTTAATCTGGGACAAACCCAAGAAAACAGATCTTGGAAAGGGAGGCAAATGATGAGTATTATGATGAGCACAAAATGACAAGAAGTACAAAGGGTACTTTCACAATGGTAGTAGCTTCACTTCATTTAATTGAAGAAAAACAAGTATTAGAAATACAAAACCTTGTGCCTTCTAAATGCCCGAGATAATAGTTTCTTGAAAACCCTACTTAGCTTTAAAAATACCCCCATAGTAGAGTATCTGTATAGCTCAAGAACCAGAAGTTCTGTTTCTGAACAATACCTTGAGAATATGTCACTAAAAAAAGTGTTCTTTGTTCTTCTTACTTCAGTTACACTGTGACATTAGCTCGTGCTGTATTCCCTTATCTATATTTCACCTAACAATCGACCCATGGCAGCAATTTTACATCAAGCATGTTAGCCTACAGCCAAAAAACAACATGGCCAAATAAGGGCAACCAACCTGGGTCCAATCTCGACCACGATATTGCCGTTGGTCTCCGCAAGGCCAGTCTCTGGAGCCAGGCGCACCTTGAATCCCGGCGTGAGGAGCCACACCAGGCGTTTGCGCTGCTCTTGGTCAAGAGCTTCTTGACCACGCAGCTGGACATAGTAGCAGTACTCGGTTGTGACCGAGGCCACAGCCTCCTCACCCAGGGCACCATTGATGGCAGCCACCTTGCCCCTAGCGGCGCTCTCAGAGAGGGCCGGGGACTGGTAGAACCGTAGTATCGCCATGGTCGCGTCTGCCTGGGAAAGCACCTCAGGGATCAGTCGCTCGTTGACCGCATTTACATTCTCTCTGTATAGTGTGTTGCAGGTTAAGAAAACCAGGACAAGCTCCCCCCACTAATCACTCCATTTTTTCCACTAAAGCAGAGCAAACACTAGAGAGGGCGAACACAGCAGTCATGGCAAGCAGAATCCAGAATCCTCAGGTTAATTCATAGAAGACTACTTGCAGCGACGGACTTCATTGTAATCTGAAGGGGTTACTAAATAGGTCAGCAATCAAGCAAATTTTATGGTAAGCATCCGAGTTGCAGATCATAGTTATTATGGTTCAAAACAACCCCCCTGCCCCCGAACTGCAAAAATTACTTTACTCTGACGGCCTTCAAAAGTGGTATTTCGAAAAATGAGAAAAAGTAAAGGCCACATACAACTTCAAGCCACAATTGGTAACAAAAGGGATTTATTGGGTAACGAGGCACTTGTGTGGGCATCCCTTCATTCTACAGTTCTGTAGTATATATTATCAAGAATAGACTCTGGTTGTTCACAGCGGCCGACGCATTGTCGACGCAAACTCATAGCTGCTCGTGCAAAAGGTCCACCAGGATCTTGGAGACGTGGTTCTTGCTGGAGCGCACCGTCAGACGGTACATGCGGGCCTCCAGGTTAGGCTCAAGCCGAAGCAGGCATCCCACCTGCTGGCCACGGGTGCACACGATGGCTGCGCACACATGGTTTACAGGATTGGGGTCAATGCCCTCCAGTAGCTGCATCCCAAAACCTTCCAGCTTGGACCGGATAGCAGCCGCCTCCATGGGGAACCGTGCACGGAACACCTTCTGTTCTTCTTGCTGCGGACTTGAGAGGTTCTTCCAGCGAGCAAAGAAGGACTCTCCAGTCATGACGGTCGGCTCGAAGAACTTGTTCAGGAAAACCGGAAGCTTCAAGGTAAGGGACTGGCCGCTGCCGCAGTAGAGGAACTGTACCAGGAGCTCTGGGGGATCCTGGAACTCCTGAAGACACTCGACACTCACGACCTGCTGAACTTGGGAGCCAGCTTCGACCACCTGTTCGACGGGACGCGCTTGGATGCCCAATCGGGAGGCCTGATCGCCGCGGCAAGACACGGTCGATGCGAAGCCTTGCAGCTGGAACGTGCTCTTGTTGCCAAAGAAGAGGCTCAGGCGGCCTAGATTCTGCTTGAACTCAGCTCTCACTCCAACCTGGAGTACGGTATTTTCAAAGAGGACTCCGTTGTTGCGCAGCACCAATTTTCGAAGGCCATCTTCGGCACTTGTAGGGGCTGCGGTAGCAGGAGGTAACGGTTCTTCGGGGCTCTGCAAAGAGATTCCCAGCAGGTCTGCTTCGGTACCTCCACCACCAGTGCCACCATTTGCCATTATGGGTCTAGGAGTGACGTCTGAAGAGCGTGGTGGAATGGGAGGCTCCGTGGTAACCTCTTTGAGGCCAGGCTTCCTCCTTTTGAGCATTGCAAGGATGGAGGACTCGCGCTCGGGGAACGGTGGCATTTCTTCAAGTACGGTGGCAAGAACTTCTGAAGATGCAATCTTGCTCAGGCCTAGGTACTCGACAGAGCGTTGCTGTAGCTCTGCATCGGCACACCGCAGGTTGTTGTCACTACGGAGCACTTCTTGGATTTCAGCCTTCACCTCAGGGAACAGATTCACAAACTTGATGTAGGTCGTCAACAGAAGCGCTCGTGTGGGCGCACTGCACAGGTGGTACTTGGAGTGAAGAAGATGGAACTGGACAGATGGCGTAGAACGTTGGTCTCCCGCTACAAGGTTGCCAAACTCTCCAAGTACATATCCAGCCACCTTGACCATGTTCTCGTGGCAGGCCGGAGCCTGCAGTGCTTGGAAGCACACTTTAGCTGCATACCCCTGAACATCTTCCCGGTTGGCCACAATCTGAACCACACGGTACCAGACCTCCTCACTGACATGGTCACCGGCGACGCGAATGAGGGTTAGGACAACGTCCACATACCAGGCGTAGTCAGACGCATACTTTTCGGCCAGGATGGCCACTTTGAGAACCATCTCTTCACGGATGGCATAGTCTGCCGTCTCCAAGTAAGCCAGCATCTCGGCAACAATGAGCTGAGCATTGGTGCGGTCACACATGGCATAGAGTAGGTCGACCGCCTTCTGTCGCACGCTGACATCCCGTTCCATCTTGAGGGCTGCCACCACCGTGTCCTGGTGTTTCTTGACCGCTTCGTGCGACGAGTCGGAGGTTGCAAGAAGGCAGAGCCCTTCCAGAGCCATGTATCGCAAGTTGGTCTCCCGGTGCTGCAGGAACTGTCCCAGCTGGCCGCACGCACGAAGAAGCAGGTGGGGCTCCGGCAAGGCTCCCAGGCGGTCCATGTGAAGGATCAGCGAGATGGCCTCAAAGAGGACAGCATGACGAGCATTTGAGTGCTGTACTTTCTTCGACTTGGCCGGCTCCTGGGCCTTGTTGAGGAGCGTCTCGAGGCACTCGTTGAGTCGGCCTCGCACGCTGGGCTCTTCAGGCGGCGGGTAGTTCTGCAACAGTCGCAGCAGCTTCATGCAGAGCCACGGTGCAGGCACGAAGTAATACGTGTAGTCTTGTAGGTCAGTGTAAGAGGCGTTCACGATGCGGCTGAGGCGGGAAACCGCCAGCGGCACGCAGCCCTTATACTCTTCGGGGTTCTTCTTGACGAGGGCGTCTATGAGGCTCACCGCGGCCGTCACGACGCCCATGTGTTGATCGTTGAGGAGGTGCACGATCCGGGAGGTCCACTCACCGCCTGGCACCACGTCTGGGAGGGTACGGAGGAGGCGGAGAAGGCACAGTGAGGCGCTCTGCTTCACCTGATCCATCGTGTCCGCGGAAACGAGTAGCTTCGGGATGTCACGGCCGAACGCTTCAGCCATTTCGAGGTTTCCCATGTTGGCGACACACTGGAGCGCCAGGTTAGCGTGGACCGGGTTGCGGGAGGCCAGATCGTTCTTGATGGACTGGACGATGAGACGCATCAGCTCGTCCTTGGCGTTCATCAGCACCAGGATGAAGAGGTAGCCAATTTGCTTCTCCGAGTATTTGTTGGAGCTGAGCAGGTTGACGGCTTCCATGTGCCCGAAGTCGATGTCGTGCCCGAGCAGGAAGATAAACAGCAACTTGCATATGTATTTCTTCTTCTGGTAGCCATCCAGTGTCTTGTCGCCCTTGAACTTGGAGCGAATATTGGCCAGTTCCTTGTTGATGCGCTTGGTCTCGGCCTCTTTGCTCTTGCAGTTGCGGATGTCCGAAATGAAGACCGCCAGTCCCCTCATCCCGTCCCCCTTGGCCGGCGGCATTGTCGTTCACGATTTCAAAACAGCGGAGCGATCTGGTGGTGCCGGAGACCCCGCGGTACGCTACGCCGGCGTTGTCGCCGTCGATTTAGCACGAGTCCGCGGTTCCTCGGGGACGCGATCCGTCGCAAATCATGCCCGAAAACTGCGCACCGATACGCCCGCTATTAACAGTTGCTGCACACCCCTGAAACGCCTCAAACCGCCCCTCGACATCCACAGCCATCGTTGGAGGAATGCGGTCACGTGGCCTGGCGAGCCGGCAATGGCGGCGCAAGTTTGTGAGCGCCGCCGCTATCGTCGCGGCACGGGACATCCCGTTCCTCGCACAAACTTTGGTAAAAGTTCTCTCCTGCTCGGGGTGGGAACTCGGTGTCAGAGATTCAAGTGAGAAGTTTCCAAAATCTCTTCATTTGTTCTTATTCTCATCCTCCGTACGGACCTAGAAGAGTTCGCGGTGCAACAACCTAACAACCCCAATTGCCTTTTTTGTTGTTTTTTATTGGAGTAACGAAATCAAGATGCGATACGACAGACGCTCCAGATAACTTCGTCTGCCGACACTTTTCCCTTCATCTAAATCCTGCCCCTCGCACATTTTTTTTTTTTTTTTTTTTTTAGTAGAGATTTATTCACATTTAACACCGAAAACAACTTGCACACGAGCTGCGATTCTGCCGCGATCTGCCTCGGTTTCGGTTTACAAACACGCTTCCTCGTCATGTGCTCCTTGAACCCACAAAAAGAGGAGAGAAAAAAAAAAAAGTAGTTAATAAAGACCGAGCCATCATCCGATCATGACACTTCCTAAACGTGCGCAATAATAAACCGCGCGTCAACGAAATGAAGTAAAAGAAAATATACGGGGACGCACCAACCTGGGGGAAAAAAAAAACTGTGGCCGTAGACTCGTAGGTCTTGTTCAGCGACTGCTTGAAGTTCGGACGAGTCGGAAGGGGATTTTGTGGCCTTGGTATTTGTGCCCGGCGGCTGTTTCTCAGACACCCGATAGCGAGACCCGCAGCGTCGTTGGCGTCGGTCGTCTCGCCGTCGCGTTTCTCCGTGCCCTCGCCACTCGGGGATAGCCGCGGACTCGCTGATAAGACGCACTCACCCCCCAATCCCCGAGCTTGCTCCGTCACTCTTGAAAACGTTTTGATTACCGCCACTGGTTCAGACAACCCATGACGATGCCTCGGCCCATGCTTATCGGAAGCTTTGTCGATGGCTGCCGTGGTATATGGCTGAATTATGTGAACCTTTAATTTGGGTATTTAGTATTCAGTTGTCAAAAGACAAATCCCAAGTAGATGCCTCAACGATGATCTTTCGCGTTTATGAAGTAGTTTCGACTGAAATTACACTGTCTGGAACTACACGTTTTGCGTCTTTTCTTGTTTTGTCGGTCTCGGAACTAAAGACTAAAACATTCTACATTAAAATGCTCACTCGACATGATTTAGCCCGACGTCCTAAATTTCCTAACATAGACCTGATGGACGTCCTACAGACGACCTTGCAAACCCCATGAAGCTACGCCCTGCCTGCCTGCCTCCCTCCCTCCCCTCCCCCCCCCCCCCCCCCCCCCCCACCCACACACACACACACAAACTCTTGTCTTTGCGAATCTAGATTGCAAAATTGTAATTGGGTCCAAAGGGCAGCTTTAAACGCTTACGTCCTGTGCTTTTTCCGTGGAACCTTATTACGATATTGTAGATGCGCATTAGAAATCGGAACTAGCTCGGCTTTAGATCTGAAAGAATTACTTGAGCAAGCCTAGATAAAAACTGGCTAAAATGTGCGAATTTTTAAGTTCACAACACACAATCGAAATACACTGTTTCTTCCTACCAAAGACCTAACTAAAAACTTGATAGGAATTCTTTGCAAATTCATTAGATTTCATGCTTTCACAACCAGGATGTTATCCTTACACCACCTTTTCGATCATGCTTGGTCACTTGTACGCTTTAAGGCTAGAAAAGGCAAGACCAGCAAAGTAGACTAGAAAGGAGTGTTGTTAAAGGCCGACGTACAACTTCGGTTTTCTGCAGGGAAGATAATCCTCTTACTGCTTCCCCCTGCTAAGCTGCGAGGGGAGCCAAGTTAGAGCAAGGTAAGGACAGGATACAGGGAAGGAGTAGGAGGTCAAAAGTGGAAAGCTAGAACTGTACGTCGGCCTATAACAGAATAACCTTCTGCAGCTTTTCACACTTCGCAGCAATGTAGACACTACAGATGCTCACATGTGTTACTTGTACGGGTTTTGCATCCTACGGATACCTGAATCCAAGTAAGCTGCCAAAGCAGCATTCCTATCTATAGATCAATAACGTTAGTGTGGCTGATTATTGCAGGGAACATAGAAAGATACCATGGGTATGGTCCCATATAATAACCATCCTAAAAGAATGACCTTAAGCTGTTGTATGGGTGAAACAAATTTTTCTTCTTTTACTTTGCCTCCAAATCAACAATAGACAAAAACAAACCTGCAGAGAACACAGCAGAAAAAGAAGAGTATACAGAAATGTACAATGCAAGAAACGAAAGCAACGGAAATTAAAGTTAGCGAGGCAGAAACAAATGTACAGCTAGAACATGGCAGTCAAAGGGCAGCGCACTGCGCTGCCACTTTTCTCGTTTACTCCTTCTTCGTTTTAAGTTAGTTTTCCCCAGACAAACGGCACATGGCTACGACAATGCCACCGCCCACAATCTCCAACCTCGCGGCATCCGGCGGCGAACCACACAACACGGCTCAGCAAACGCGCGACGACGTTAAAAACACTCCTCGCAGACACAAATCCCCCAATTTGCTTCCGTTTCTCGTTGAAATAAATAGGCCCGTTTGTCGAAAAAGCGTCTCCGAGAGACGACCATCGTCGTGCTTCCACACCAAAAAAATAATAAAAAGTAGCGAAAGGCTCTTACGCTTTTACCCAAAACCCCTACCTCATCCCCCCCAACCCCCTGCCGAGATTTCTCACACGCACTATTTCCTCAAAACCTCCCGAGTTCGACGGTCGGTTCGGCGAGCCGCGACTGCGCGGCGAGTGAGTCCGTTGCGGCCGCCGTGCCGGCACGAGAAATGCGTCCGGTCTTGTTCGCTCTCCTTTGGCACTTGGCTGGAGGTGTCCAGCCCCGCGTGTCCCTTCACTTGGGCTCGTCGAAGTCCAGCACGAGGAGCTTGGTCTCCTCGGTGCCGTTGCGCGAGCCCACGGCACACACCAGCTTGGTGGGCGACGCGCGCAGCCGCCACACCACGCCGCCGGAGCCGCCCGATTCGAGGGCCACGAGGTTCCGGAGGAACTCGCCCGTGCGCAGGTCCCACAGTTTCACAGTGCCGTCGTCCGACGAGGTCACCACAAACTTGGAGTTGAACTGCAGGCACGTCACCGCGCTCTGGTGCTTGTTGGCGCCTGTGAGGGGACCACGTGCAGTCGACAAACAGTTACAGACGTGCGAGTCTAAAGAGCTCAAAGCTGGTACATGCACATGCGATCGCTTACGGCCGAACTGGTTTCAGGCCTTTTGCAACTGTTTAGGACCGGCTAAGCTTCTGCGCGGACGGTCAAGAGCAGTCACAAGGTTAGCAGGGGAGAGAATAAAATTCAAGATGATTTCAATTGGACTGATTTTACTGTGACGACTTAAATAAAACCTTTCACAGGAAAATATTTTTAAAATTTTTAAAATTTATTGTTTGCACTTTTTTTTTACCTTTTTATGTAAATTTGCTCTGCATTTAGATCAAAGAATCATCAAGCAGAAAAGATTTATACTGGGCTGAAAACGAGCGCAAATCAGTGGTCTTCTAGGCAAATCGGAACATTGAGCATTTTTCAACTCTCTGCTTTGTTTGACAGTTACGAGCAAAGCTTTACTGCATGTAAACGAGAATGCGAAAGAAACGAAAACTAGAAAAGTAACAACCTGTTGCAAGAAACTCAAGACACAAAAGAAAACCAAATAGAGCTGCATAGCTAACTAGATCAAGCTGGTTCTGCACTAGTATGGTGGGGGTAATATAAATAAAAAGATTTTAATTAAACTGTACTTTGAACATAAAGGAATTCTTTTTTTCCGCATTGTTTACAGTAATTGAACGGATCCATTAATCAGTCAGCCATACTGGAAAATATATCTAGCGATTAGGAATCACTATTTTAGATCTACAACAATTTAAATCAAATTAGTCAGATTTAAATCACATAAATCTGATTTAAATCAAATAAACCCTGGTATAATTAAATGGAAATACATTGAGATCTTCGATATAGTCAATCGTCTGCAGTCAGCAAGGGCGTGAGGTGCTGCCAAATGCTGACACTGTGCTCATGAGATTCTCTTCTGTAGCGGGAGTGCGTTGCTGACAACCGCCGGCAGCCGGCCAAGTAACATGTTCCGCATTAATAGCCTCGTCCCACTAGAGCGACAAACACCAGTTTTTGTCTGACGACACCACACAGTTCCGTGTCGCCGATACTGTCCCACTGCAACGACCGACAGCCGCGACAATCGCCGACAAGCGCCGACAAACGAGTTCTTGTCTGTGTTGGACTTGAAGCGTAGCAAGCAGTCCCACTGAGGAACATCTCTCGAAGACAAACTTATCCTCCCCGCCCATTTATGCCTTCTGTTGCCTCCCTTCCCACCCTTCTACCCTCCTCCCAGAACGAGTAGCCATTGGCGACCACTCCTCGTTTCCGGCCCCGCAGTTCCGGTCCCTCAATTGCACGTAGTGGTCGCGCGCGCGGCTTGTTGGCTGGCGGCGAACAGTCGTGTTGCGAAAAATAATTTGCTGTGGCTGGTTTTGCTCGTGAAAACTTGGTGCGCGACATGGTGCTTCAAGATGCCGAAGTCTACGCCCCTGCATCAGGATGGATACACCCATGTGCGAGGACTGACCAAAGTGAGACCGCTCACTACGAAGTAGGACATGACGTTCCGCGGCAAGCCATTCCGGCAGACGAGAGACTTGTCATCGCATTCTGTGATAACCGAGATGCCGTATTATCCACCAAAAAGCGCCTGCTCTCCATCATTCGAATATGAAGTTATAAACATATTCAAAAACAGCGTGAAATTCCGTGGCGCTCACCTAGAATGCCTCGAACAACCAAAAAAGGAACGATTCGGGTATTTCTAGTTCGGAAAAAGTTTGTGTCGATTGTTACAACTGTTTACGGAAAGTCGCCAATGGCAAATGAAGAGAAGCGGAAGCTTTAATAAAAAAATAAAGCATTTGTCTCCACTTTCACCGTGTTTGTCGGCGCGTTTTACGCCCAAAGAGCAATATACGAAAATTGCGTCGCCAGACTCTGTTTGTCTGTGTATTTTGAAGTGTTTTGTTGACCACTCCAGTCCCACTAGGAAACAAGTTTCCTTTCCCCCGTGTTCTGCGTCGTGTATGCCAGGTGGGACGGCAGACTCCGACAAACAGGCTCTCTGTCAGTGTCATCTGTCGCTCGTTGTCGTGTGTCGCTGTCGTTTGTTGCTGCCTGTCGCTCTAGTGGGACGCGGCTATAAAAACGATACAGTATAGACCACTTACAACGTAACCGCTTATAGTGCAGGACCGTGTATAACGCGGTTTTTTTAAACCACCGGTTCGCCTCCCATAGAACTCCATGTATTTACATACCGCTTAAAATGCAGGCGCGCGGAGGGAAATACCGGCTGTGGTGCGGTTTTTGGCACAGCCCGCCGACCGCGCCGACGACCGGAGCAGCGGGCACGCTTCCCTGTGCGACACTAGATAACGGCGCTGACGGCGCGGGGCGAGGATGTTGCTCGAAGAAGTGGGGAGAAGCGAAGAGAGAGGCTTCAGTCGCCGTAGCGACAGAGGGACGCACGCACGTGTCGTTCACGTGCGTGCGTCCCTCCGCTACCTCCGCTGCGTAAGAAACAGCCGCACCGACAGACCAATCGCAGATCGAGGAGAAGTGTTCGCGCGCGTTGCGTGCCGGCCGCGGGCCGGCTGCTTCTCCGCAAACATGGTGTCGGTTGTGATCGTCGTCGTAGGCGGAGTTCATCTCATCTTTCTGCGTAAAAGCGCTATCCTTGACTGTGAATTTTCGTTGTGTGTCGCTATGATAACCCAGCATGTACTAGAAGGGAAGATTCACCTACTCGTGCGGCGATGTCGTGGCGGCGCTCTCAAGACGGCAGAAACGCCCGTGTCGTCGTGTTTGTTTACTTCGACTACAGTACATCGCCCGGATTTCTTATTTGGCGCATTTCATGCGTGTGCTGAAGTTCAAGGTATTCCTGGCGCGTACTGTATGAAGGATGCGATTTTTCACGCGTTTTCATCTCCGGAGAAAATTGATTAGGGTTAGCAATCCTGAACGCTCGCAACGTCCGTCCGCAACCCGCGGACGGACGTCCGCGGGTTAAAAGGCTGCGCCAGGCAAAAGCCGCTAATTTCTTTCAAAATGTGTGACACACTTGAGACAGAACTGTACTAGTCTGGTGAAATAAAGACTTTCCTCAAACTAAGCTTTATTTTTCATCTAACATAAAATAAATTCTTTTACAAAGGTAAGTTGTCTCATGGCATGTATTTTGGCCTGAAAAATTGATGTTTTGGTTATAACGCGGTACCGCTTATAGTGTGGATTTTCGCGACTCCCGCGACATACGTTATATGCGGTCTACACTGTAGCAGGTTCCTGTCGTGCCCTGCGAATGAACTGGGGCGACAGCCAAGAAGCTTTGCGCTGCTGCCCACAGACTGTATACACTTTTCGCCACCATTCAAAATTTGGCAAAGGTACCAAGGTTACATTCCTGTGACCTCGAAATTTTCCCCCTAAACTTAGCGAGGAAACACTTCCCGCCTCATTTAGCGGGGAAATCGCGATGTCACGCGATGCCGCTCTGTCGCATAATCGCGTAACGTTGTGTGAAGTCGTAACTTCCCCGCCACACGGTGAAGGAAGTTTCTTGCTGAAATTGGTGAAAAAACGCTTCGTGCGACGTTGCAATTTCTTCACCAAAATTTAATGGGAAAATGCCCCGCACAACGCCGGAGAGTTGCACGACGGTGCGATCCCTCACTAATCGCATTTCCCGCTAAACGTGGCGGGCCACACCATACCCTGCACGCACACCGGGACCTGCTACAAAACCTTGCCAATGACAGCTGTCACCAAAAAAAATGCTCGATTTATCTCGATTCTACGGATAAAGTCTGCATACACACTATGTGTTTCTGTGGCATTCTCCAGTTTAAGGGTGACATTGGTTTATTTTTATTGTTCTCTCGTTACACCATTATAGTGTGTTATTTTATTCCACACTCTGGTTCCTTTTTGTGTGATGGTAGGCACGTCTTGGATACTTTCTTGTCTCCTCCCGTGAACTGCTTGAACGCCGTAATGCAGCATGCCAGCTTTCACACATTTAGTAGAGGCGAGGCCAGCTAACTTTTGCGTCTGCTTGCTATTTTGTGCGGCGGTCGAACGAAGGGCTCACAATTGTGTGTACGATCTCCGTAGGGGCACCTTTAAAATTTCATTCTTTCTTCTTAATTTATCGCTCTTTTGTACAGATTGTCCTCCGAAGCAACGTGCCGCTCGTTTCGCGACGGTTTTCGTGGCGTCCCATTACACTTTCTTAGGAATCCCAGCCCTTGAAAGCATTCCGTGTTAAAGACGTACACTACAAAGAAAAAAAAAATTTCTGAAAAAGAATTAGATTTTTACAAATGCCATGTTTACATTTACCGACATCTAGAGGGTATTTCCAGAAAGTTCCATTTGTCTGCAATGCATAGTTGTTTTTTTTTTTATAAATTATTTACGGTCCAACAATGCTCAAAAAACGGTGATCGTGTCGTTTAACACCGAAGACAGTGGTCCAGAAAAGGAAAGAACTTTTAGTCAAAGGAACAGACACAAAGGATATGTCTCTTTGTCTGTTCCCTCGACTAAACAACATGATTAGCTACCACCAGCTCGCCTGTGCACTTATAGTCTATTAAAAAAAAAGTAGAAGTTCAAGCACTTTGAACACATTTTTCTCAGCTCCGCTTTTTGAAATAAATTTTACTTTAGGCAAACTATCATTTGGTAACGGGACAGAAGTAGAGGAAAACTCCTTGTTGTTCCTGACTGAAATTTAACGGGCAATGCAAATGTGGCGTTGTGATTTTACTTTGTGAATGTCTTGATAAAAGATGTTCAGATTTTGTCGACGGCGTAATAAGCAAAACATTTCTTCGATTTTTCAGTGCTATGTTAGCATAAAATAAATTACTTTTTGCAAATTTTGTTTTCCCAGTTGCACACTCCAGGCATTCTGCTGCTATCTAGTGAAGAAAAATGTTGAGTATTACATTAGTTTCCTAGCAATAGTGTTCCTGATAACAGCTATAATTTCTTTCAGAATTCATGTACTACACAGATGAAACTTTGCACTGCATGCTGTCTTGGAACGCCAGTATATACAGTAAATTTCATTCATAATAAGCACAAGTTTTAAAAGCTAACTCTTTTGGGTAGTGTCCTTTCTTAAAATAGAAAAGTAAAAAAAAAAAAACGTACCAGCAAGCGTTTGCAGGCACTGCCCCGTGAGGATGTCCCAGACCTTGACGGTGGAGTCTGCGTTGCCGGACACCAGGATGTTGTTGCGGAGCTCCATGCCGGAGGTGAGCGACTGGTGGCCCATGAGCTGGTGCCGACAGGCGCCCGTCTCCACGTCCCAGACCCGGATCGAGGTGTCCAGCGAGCCGCTCACCACGTGCACTCCGTCAAATTGCAGCGAGTACACCCGGTTCGTGTGGCCCTGTGCAAGAGACATGCACCCTTTTCACGCACGTTCCGAACCAGAACCGCTAAGTTTTGCGACATTTTGATAGTCACCGATTTGTTTCGAAATGGGTTTCACATATCGGTAGACACATCTGTAACTAGAAACCAAAATTACCAGTCACAATAATTTTTTTTTTTTTCTCCCAAAATTATTAAATTTTTAAGGTTGGACTGGGAGGCTCTACTGGCCGCACTAGAAACATGACGTCAAATGTTGCGATAGGGAGAGCAGTACAGCTTGGTCCCGACGGGTTACAGGCTTGACGGTCTGAAATTAGAGCTGGGGAAGCTCGCACCAGCAAAATGAAGATGTAAAGTGAAAAATATTACATTTTAAGGTGGTGGCTTTACAGAACCAACCAACCTCGGGAGTCAAGTAAGCACAATATGTGCAGGTTGGCCACACCGTAAGCGCTAAACGAGCCTCAAATAAGAATGGCAACCGGTGCCAGGGATCAATTGTCGGTCACCGGCGTGGAAGCCAAGTGCGCTGCTGATTGAGCTACGGATCCAGCATGCAGGAGCGGGAGGAGCAGAACCAGGTGGTGCGAGAAAGCATTGAAAATGTTCATTTTCCCGGTAATGCCGCCGCGGAAGTTTATAAAATTTCGCCATATTGCTCATTTATAGTTAGAGGTGCCAAAACTGCAACGTTTGAAAAACACATTTTTGCCGAAAATTGGGAATTTTAGGGTCGTGTCCCTCCTTAACGCAGATGGCCAATTTTCTCCAGTGCCTAATATTTTGACAAGCCTTACACATTGTTTTGGCAATCCAACGCCTGGTTTCTTTTTTCCGCCAGAACATGGAGGCTTAAGTATCAAACTGCCAAGCAATTTACGCGCATAATGAATGCACTTTTTCCCCCCCAAAAATTAGCACATATTTGGGGGGTGCGTTCAATACGCCGGGTAAATGTTTTGCATTTACATACTTCATGCCAATGTCATATTAGGTGCCAATATGACATGGCAAGGGACTGTGACACGTCTCCACTGATAGCGCACCCACGACTGGTAGGGGGCTTGCCATAGTAACCATGCTTTATAAATTGCAAACCTTTTAAGGGTGCTTTCGGCGTGCCTTTTGCCAAAGGAAAAGCGCCCTACGAAGCTCACTCAGCATGGAGAGCAACGCTACTGTTCTTAGGAATAGAAGCACCTCAAAACACTCAAAACGAGTCTTGCAACCTAAATATTAAACAAAAAAACTTTTTTTTCTTTGAGGGCAGGGGAAGAATGTGTTCTGTCACATGGTCCCAAAAAGCAAAGAAAATGCATCAAGCAAGAAGATATTAATGAGGTTTTACTATAATAACTCGGCATGTGTGAATAGTAGACTCAGCTTGAAGGAATTCATTGCGAATAGTGGTTTGGGTCAAATATTTTCTAATCGAATATCGAATACTCAGCCAAACTCGTGAAGGTTGTTCCCAAGCTTACATTGGTCCATTTCTAAGGTAAGTAAATTCTAGTCATACCATATATAAAAACTGTGGCCACAGAAAATCCAATGGCTACATCGAAATGGCAATATCTTTTCTTCAATCACGAATAATTATGCAGGTTGTAGGGGCATCTGCGCATAACACGTACTCATACGCAATAGCAGGCATTCACAAAGTTTCCGTTCTTTTTACAATATACAAGGCGTGCACGTGTGCCGTCCCACCATAAAAGCCCACATTCATTTTAAGCACGCGACTGTGATATTTGCACTTTTCGAAGTGTCGATCGCTGCAAGTTAGCCCCATCGAGCGCGCCTTTCACCAAGCACCGTTGCATTGCGAAAAAGTAACGCCCGCGAAGCTCGCATCTGCAGGTGTTGCTTTTCTGCAGTCACCGGCGCTCAGTAAAAAGCACGCCGCCATGACCGGCACATGAAAAAAACACAAATATCGCAGTTCACCTTGAAGTGGATATTGAATAGCGCATCATTCGAAACTACCATTCGAAAATTTGAATATTTGCGCAATCCCGGTCATGGCCAATGGGATCAAAGGTCTCAAACCGCTGCTAGACGAAGAGAGGGCTCACCTGTAGCGTGTGGAGACACTCTTCCCGGCGTGGGTCCCAGACCTTGACCATGTAGTCGTAAGCCCCGCTGACCACCAGGCGCCCGTTGTACTGGACACAGCGCACCGCCGCCACGTGGCCCACCAGCACGTGCAGACATTCACCCGTCTCCAGGTCCCAGACCCGGAGCGTGGCGTCCCGAGATCCACTCACCACCCTGCAGGAAGAACAAGGCGCGTCACTTGCGACCCCTGGCACAACGGTCGGACTGGTACAAAGACGTCTTTTTCTAAATGCTCACAGCACATGGAGAAAATGCTCGCGCTGCAGAACTCGGGTATCGTGGGTTCTGTCCCCATCCCTACCCGTCTCGATCGGGACGAGCGTCGTACCGGCGTGCCGTCGTGCATCGCTACCGCGCAATGCACGATAAAAGACCCCAGGCTAGCGGTTGAACTGCAGTGGCTAAATTTCTCATCCACGGCGCAAACTAGTGTTGCCGCACCTCAAAAGCAGACAGGCACCGTATGAGCACTATCATTGGAATTCGGTTTTACTGGTTTGAAAATGCTTGCAAGGTTATTACGATGGAGAGTTGGGCTGGTCGGTACGAATGCATCACGGGAAAACAGTGCGAAAAGATACGAAGGACAAGGGACACTCGGTCTTAGTAATTTCTCCTCCCTCGTGCTTCGAATCTTTGTTGCTCTGTTTTCCGCAATGCAAAGTTATCTGCCACTGTCGTGACATTCGAGCAAATTGACTTACTAGGATGGATTGAGCCATGGTGGACTAATCTCTGTTGCTTTACTTAGGACATGTTAACATGTCCAGGAGGGAGGTGGCAGTATCTGGGTCAAAGTCGCAGATCATAGTCGAGCATCAATGCATGGTTTGTGATGAGTGAAATAGATCTTATGCGTGATAAAGCCTTGCACCAATTTCAATGTTTACAAGTGGGCAGTGTTATAAGATGTGTGTAAGAGTAACTCAAAATGGCGATCTGAAAAACTATGGGACGACAGAGATAATCTTCGCGCTCGAGGAATATTCACAGGTACTGTGAGGAACCCAGCCCAAAAATTTGTAACTTTAAGCGCCATTCACGTACTTGCAACCGAGTAGGACCGAGATTGACTAGACCGGTTCCTAAGCCTCTTGCGACTGCGTAGGACCTGCTCCACAGCGGTGCACCTGATCCTGCGCAGTCGCAAGAGGCTTAGAAACCACTCTTGCCTCTCGAGGTCCTACTCGGTTGGAACTGTGTGAACGGCGCTTCAGGTGCGCAGAAAAACGTTCCACTAATTTTTTGTGGCAGGCACCAAACGCAGCAAAGTCGACCAAATCGGGTAGATGTAAAAAATTACAGGATACCCTAGACTGCTTATGTGTAAAAAGCCGAAGGCATTATAGGTAGTCCCGCGGGAGAAATGTTTTCGAGTAATGTTTCTACACATATTAAAGTTTAGGACAATGTACAGGACGATGCCCTAGATATTGTTGCCAAGCTGACGTCTAGGATGACCTCTGGGACGACATCGAAGACGGCATCTAGGACGTCAAGAACGATGCATAGAGGACGACGGCGAGAAAGACACCTAGAGGACGACAGCTAGGACAACCTCAAGCACGACGCCAAGGACGGCGTCGTCCTTGAGCATACGATTAAGTGGTGCATGCTTGATGACATATTTTTATTCCCATACTTGTAAGGCTTTCCTGAAAAGAGTCAAAGTACAGGCTAGCTGGTGGAAGTCAACCATTTCGTCATTTACCCTGAGACTGGGTTTTTTTTTGAAGAGCAGAAGTACTTCTGCTCTTCTGCTCTTCAAAAGAGCAAAAAAGAAGTAACAGAAGTACTTCTGTTACTTCAGGGGCCCTAAACTCGTCGAACACAAAGTTGGAGCCCAAAGTTCGCGGAGCGCGCCGATTGGACGTGGACGCCGGCGAAAAAAGCGCGAAGTCATCGTCGGGATAGTCCAATCAGTGCGTTCCGTGAACTTCGGCCCAAACTTTGTTTGACGAGTTTAGCGCCCCTGCTCTTCAAAAAACCCCCCAGTCTCAGGGTAAACGACGAAATGAAAGGCTTTCGTCTTAAAAAGTTTCCAGTTCCTTGCCATGTCCTAGAAATTAACTCCAGCAGCAACCAAGCACTGCACACCTTGCTATGTACTCTACTGCACACAGACTAGACCTGACCGCACTGTACGTAGGAATTTCCCTAGTAAACATGATAGGGAACTTTTCCGGCTAATTTTAGCGGAGTAATATTCCTACTCAAATTAGCGTCACGACAAAAAAAAAAAAATGTTTCGCCAAATGTCACGTTGTTACGTGCCACCACGATATGACAGCCCGGTTCCATGCAACACCGCAATGTTACATGACATCACGACTTCCCTAAGGGAAAAGCGCCCGAGGACCCGTCACAAAACCCTGCCGACGATGGCCGCCGCAGGAACGCTCACCTGTTGGCGCAGAGGTGCATGCAGCGGACGGTGGACGTGTGGCCGTAGAGGGTGTGCAGGCAGTGGCCCGTGTCGGCGTCCCAGACGCGCAGGGTGCGGTCGGTGGAGCCGCTCACCACCAGGGAGCCCGCCATCTGGGAGGACCAGACGCCTCCCGTGTGGCCCACCAGGGTGCGCAGGCAGCGCCCCGAGCTGGCTGACCACACCTTGAGCGTGTTGTCGTCCGAGCCGCTCACGATGCGGTTGCCCGAGAATTGCAGACACGTGATCACGTGGTCCTCATGGCCTCGCAGCACCTGCACCGAGGCAACGCGCGGGCACTCTTAGAAACGGGGACGACAGGGCATTCCGGCCACGCACGCACAGGTTCATTGTCACGAATAAAAACCGTTTCGAACTGGTAACCTTTTTTTTTTTTATTGGCTCGTAAAACTTCCGACAATACTAGAAACAACAGTTTCTTGTAGCCGACACACACATCTGATCTCGCAAATGCCGCAAAACCTTCGAGCGAAATGCAGTTCCAGGGGTCGCCTCATAGGGGGTGCCAGTGCATTCAGAGCTGTATATGTGTTTGCGCAATTCTAACGCGCCTTCAATAGACCCTTTCCGGAATCCAGTGCCATCTGGTGACTCAAATGGCAGTTTATCTTTTACTATACTAATGGCGGCAATGAACCTGTGGTCTGCAGTATTTAATGGGGCACCGTCACTTAAAGGTCAACGGTAAAAGAGAATGTGCACTTCACTACAGTGCACTTCACTACAATTATTATGCAATCTCTTTTAGTGTCGATGGCGAAACAAATGCAGGCAGTCGGAACGAAACGCCAACCCACACAGACGTCTTGAAAGAGTTCTGTACATCAAGGGGCTTTGAAGCCGAATGTGTGCTACTAACACATTGACTGGGACCCAGTTAAAAATGAACGCTTACGCAGCTCTTGCGTCCAATTCCTGCTTTACGCCGCGCTAACATCTAGAATGTATAGGCCTCGAATCATCTCCTTAGAAGCATCTTCAACTTCTTCATTCATCACTAAACAGAAGGCCGCCATTAGTATAGCACATATGCCGTTTTAGATGAATGATGATAGTGATCAAAGTGGCCAGACTAAATTCCGGAAAGGGTCTAATATAACGCGCAGGTAAGTTTAGCTTCCTGATATTCAAAAAGTAAATTGCTGCCGATTCTAGTGCACAGGTAAAACAATGAAATAAATACAGCGTGCCAGTCACCGTTGTCAGACGATGGTTCTTCGCTGTCCACAGAGGTAATTGAAGTACTGCATTTCTTGCGCTTGTACGAGTGCGCGATTGTCGCCTCTCGGAGGGTCGGCTTCCAAACACCACTTTGTGAGCTCGTCGGGTGGCTGGGATTGGCCACGCCGTGATGCTCCGTTGTCATCTTTTTCCGCCAACATGATGCCCTTTCGTTTAAATAGAGCCTCCTAGTGGATTTTTTATTTCTTTTTCCCTATCTTAAAACGACAGACACGAATCTGTAGACACCAGAGAATGTGCATGACACGAATACCAAAATGCTAAAAATAAACAAACAGTCACGATGGCACTGGGGCTAGCCACCTTATACTGAGCGTTGAGCTTTTCTTGAGTTGAATACAGAGTTTGCAAACATAGAACGAATGAAGGCAGCACGGCGTGAGAGTTGACTTCCTCCTTCTCCTCTTCTCTTGCCCACGCACTCACAATCAACACTAAGCGACCCAGGGAGGGCGCTTTTTCTTTTGCAGTATTGTTTCCTCGACGGCAAAATACTATGCCACGCTGCCTTGGAAATGACCTTGAGCGTCTCCCAAAGCGCCGCACCCAAAACTCTTTTTTTTTTTTTTTGCGCACGCATGAAAGTTTTATTTTCCTTCTAAAAGCAGACTTTGAGTGTTCGTTCTAACAGCATGATGCTTTAAAATACGGTCCTTTTATTTGGACCAATTTCAATGTGTAGGGCCTTGAATTCGTATACAGTCGAGCCCGCTTCAACGAACGCCGCTTCAACGAAATTTCCGGTTCAACGAACATTTTTCAGTTCCCCGTCAACGGTCCATAGGAGTCAATGCATAAAAATTCTCACTACAGCGTACACAGCTAGCTTCTTGTGCCGTTCCACTTGAACGAAACTTTACAGAGCAACTCCAAGTTCGAAAGTTTAATGTTCGTACGAAAAACAAATCTCCGAGCACTTTGGTGCATTCTGGCACATAAAATACGTCTACTATAAAGTTTAAATCACGTGTTGAACCACCGGAAACTGCCACAAATAGCCAGAATCCCCGGAACCCGAACGCAACGTGGACCGCGCCTGCCGGCCACCATTACTCATTACTCAATGGCGACGACAATAAAGCTGGCCTTTCCGGCTCTTTTTTTTTTTTTTTTTTGCTGTTGCATTAAAGGGCTACTCCGCTCAATTCCGAAGATTTCCGGATAATGATTGATTTCGAATTAAAAAGCCCTAGTAAAACACACTACGTCGTTTGCTTCGTGAAAAACGGGATATATATTTTTAAATCCGATTTTCAACACGAGCGGAAATCGAAACCGAAGCTTTGGCTCCGCCCGGCAACATTGGACTCGGGTCACCAAGTACATGGCCATCACGTGGTACGAGATGTCACATGATCCTCGGCCCAACGACGGGCGGGATTGGGGCGGGCGTGTGGCAGACGCGAATGTCGTCTGCACCGCACTTTTCGACACGTTTTGGTGTCTACGGCATTCGACGACGTCTGCACAACTGCGGCATAAGTGTGCGCGCACGTGGTGTCCGTAGTGTGGACGAAACTCCGAAAGACAATAATCACAATCGGTGAGACGACGACAGCGGTTGTGACGCGGAAGACGGCGGTAACGGCGGGACCACGGCGGGCGGCAGGACGGCTCCCAAGAAACGCGCTGCGCAGGCGCGTTACGCCAATCACGTGGACACTGCTGAGCGCCGAGAGGCAACGTTGCTGACGTCATGCGCCACGCTCGCCCGGAGAAGTGAAAACAAGCAAAAGGGGGCCATGTAGATGGCGTTCAGCTCAATGTTGGCTCCGCCCATGCCGTAGCCTTGACTGCGCTGTTGGTTGCGCCTGAATTCGCCCGCTCAAGTCAGCCGATTTCGGCAACTTGGCGAGTTGCAAAGCTTGCCGGACCGTTTAAGAAACATTTAGACAGAACTGCGTCGTAAGATTTCACGTGTGGTCTTCCCAGGCGATACTGAAGAGGACTGCATTGTTTTTTCAAAACCAAAAATGAAGCGGAGTTGCCCTTTAATGTTGGTTGCACCCTAGCTCTCGGCTTGATAATCCTCTGCTGCAGACTATCCAAAGCCGAGGCTCGGTCGTCTTTTTTTGTTTCGTCAGTTGTCCTTTTGTCAATACAGTAGGCGGGCTTTTTGGACATGGCACCGCCAAGCAAAACGTGGAAGCTTTTATCTTTAGAAAAAAAAAGCTTGCATCCTGGTCGAAGTTGCAAGTGGACAGAAAAAAGCTGTCATCGCGGAAAAGTTTGGAATTTCTCTGAGTTCTTTGTCGACGATCCTAAAGCCGAAAGATGCAATTGAAAAGGCTCTTGCAACGGGGACGTCGGCCAAGCGAAAGAAACTGCACCGTCGGCGCACAAAGAGCTCGACAAGGCTATGTACACATGGTTTGTACAGATTTTTGTACTTTACCAGTTCGGGCATGACATTATTTCGTGAATTTCACAACAACAAAAGTTTCGCTACAAAGAATTTTTTTTTTATGCACCTTCAATTTTGTTCTAGCAGGATTCAACGATTTTCTGAAAGCAGGTCGTTATAACCAATAGGTCGTTACATGTGGGATCGATATAAGTGGGTTTGACTGTATGCGCCTTCTTCAAGGTGATCTCAGATATTTTTACTTTCGTAGGATCATCACAGAAGAAAGATGCTGCACGGTGGCGCCGCCACTTTCAATGATCCACCCCGGCTTCTGTTGGCTCCTCCCATCGACCAAACTCTCTCTATATACAGCTCTGAGCACATCCTTCTATTGTAAGAGATCGCAAGAACTCGGTCGCAAGCAAACGTAAGTGAGCGTTTTCAAGTATGCATACACAAGTGGCCTCGAGCACGAGTGTGGCAGAAGCTACAATCTTTCGGCATTTCTGTCAAGCACACGCGCTCGTGCAAGGCAACAGTCGTTCGGGGCATGGCTTCTCAGACCGGACTCCTAGGAAACAAAAGGGGCTCCTGGAACACCCTCAAGAGCTCCCCAAACTCATAAATGTTCTCATCCCTGCCCCTAGGTAAAGTGTTCTTCCAGGTCAAGCGCTATCTCAGCATATCTAAGCTATCCACTGAGGCATACGAAGTCTGTGAGCCCCTGAACAGTTCAACTGCTTCAATGCCGAGACTGGGAGTGGCTCCTCGAGGCCAGAAAGTTCGAGAGCACTTGGTCCGGGACAAAGCGTCGGTGCTCCCAGCTCCGGCTTAGCCCACTAACGAAGTGAAACGAGCTATGGTGTCCCCTGCCCGTTTGCCGCGGGAGCGTTGCCTCACCTTGGGCTCGCGTATGGGCTTGCAGCGCCAGTTCATCTCGACGTAGTGGTGGCGCATGAAGGCCAGCTTCCAGGGGATGGGGGGCGGAACCCCGCCGGGGGACGGGGGTGAGGCCACCCTTCTGCCCAGCACCTCCTTGACGTCCTCGAGGCCCGCCTCGCGGCACTTCTCCCGCCAGAGCAGGTTGTCCTCGGCCAGGATGCGCCAGTAGTGGCACGTCTGGGCCGCCCGCAGGAGGTCCCGGGGCTCCAGGAAAGACAGCACGTACAGCGCCAGCTGGGGACGGAGAGGTCGCCACCGTCACACCTTGTCCAACATCCGCTTACGACGGTCTGCAACGTGGACATTCTACGCCGAGGCTATCTCGCGACCTCAGAAAAAAGAGCGCAATCACAAATCCCCGCCCCCCCCTGCCCTAAAGAAAGAAATAAAATGTTCTTTAAATTGCGAGACATATTTGGAGTTGGGAACACTGCTCTTGGAGCTTTCTTTTTACGGCGGAGCTGCTAAGGGCTAGTTTCCCCAGGATCGTGTCCGCCGGATTAGAAAGGATGACACCAAACTCTGGACAGCTACCGCCACCTATGAGCGACAGTGGCAGCCAAACAACTGGTTGCCACTGGTAACCTTTCTTCCGAGGAAGAAGAGCGGGAGCAGAACGAGCGGCGATGTGTGCGGCAGCGCGACTGGTTCTGCAATTGCCGCGAAGCCGTTATCGCCTAAAGTTCCACTGCGTCGAACGCTTCAAATTTGCTAGCGAAAGAAGATCACATCGCTCGCCTGGAAAGCCACCACCAAGAACAGAAGCTACAGCTCTACTGCTCCTCCTTCTTCACCAAAATAAAAAATCTAAAATTATTATTTTTTTGATTGAGCTCTATGAAACTATGCTAGCTTGTGCAGTTTCTATTGTCAATTCTAAATATCTGGTCATTTTTCTCAACCAGTAAATTAGTCCTTAAGATAATTATAGCTCGCCCACCCTTGTTTGCAAAAACATTAAGAAAAAAAAAAACTGTTCAACAAAAAAATTACTGTATTTTCCAGTGTATGCTGTAGAGTACCATGCATCTGCCCATTCCAAACTAAGCACTCATCCCCAAAATTTGAAACACCTGAAAAAAATATGCACAGTACATATATACTGTAAACGACTTATTTTTCGCAGGCTCAATTGTTCGTGATTTAGGTTACAGCTCAAGTTCTGAAATATTTCGCGGGTTCTAATTTTCGGGACGCGGTGGGATCTCAATATAGATTCCAATGAGTTTACATTTTACCGAAAACAGGACCTATGTTTCGCGAATTGTAGGCGGTTCGCGAAATTCAGGTCCTTGCAAAAATTAAGTTGTTTGCAGTATGCAAAACTGATGACCTCACATGCACCCATCCCATATTTTTTTGCAATTATCTTCAAATTTTGAGTGGGCGCTTACTCAGTATTTTACAGTAAGTTGCGTTTTTTTTTTTTACATTTTTCTCGGTGTATTTTATACAACAATGAAAAAATGGCATCGCACCGTAAAAAAAAAAATTAACACACAAGCGTTTTTTTTTTTTTCACGGTGCGACGCCTTTTTTTTTTTTTTTTTTTGCTGCGCACCATTTTTTGTACAGCACCATAACTATGTAGCCATAGGTGGTATTGCCCCCTCCAGGAGGCACTACTGTCACCGCACTCTTCTATACTTTTCATAACTGAACATTTTTAGGTGTCCTTGAAGTGGCTTAATGTGAATAGGCAAGACAGTAAGAATAAAATTTTACAGCATGTTATCGATGTTGCCTAATTCAGCCATGGTTCCGTCTTCTTTTGTTTCAGTCCAGTACCACTGAGAGGTAATTGGGCTGGTATACGCGCATTGCATAATATTTTCTCGCGTTTTTCTTAGTTTCCGTTTGATGAGCACTTTCTGTCTTGTCACGCTCCCGCCGTGTTGCTACATGTAAAAGGAAGGATTGTGCTCAGTCGATCTCTTAGAAGTACCGGAAAAAAAGTATGTCAAGGTTTATCTTTCTGCCTGAGCATCGATGGTCGCGTCGTCCGGGACCCTGTCTAGGCTAGGCCTAGCGGTCCAAAGCTTTGTTCACGAGTGTCTAGCTCGTTAAACTTTCGTTTGCTCGGCATGTGTTCGCCTTCTCAGTTTGTGCGTTTTACGTCCTTTTGCTGCGAAACACTCGAATGCTCCCACCAAGCAGCGTCGTGCTATGGAAATTTCTCGAGAGCTGAAACATCAAAGTCGCGCGCCAAACAGTATGTGCGGTCTAGCTGATTGTGCAAAACTCCAATTTTGCGATACCGATGCGCGTAAACTAAAAAAACTCATCGCGTGAACCGTGCAAAGAAATGCGACTTATATACCAACTTTTCTATGAAGAAAGCTCAATGTACGGATGTGTGACTTATACAAGGGTGTGACTTATAGTCTGGGAAGTATGGTATGTTCAATACGTGGCTAGATACTACGAAGTGCAAAGAGTATAATGTTGGAGGTACTCGAGACTGAGCCATTGTTAGTGGTTTTACAAGACATGGAAGTTCAGTGTTCAACGTGTAGCCACTAGGTAATAAAACGACAGACCAATTAAAAACTTTTTTTTTCTGCCTATTGTGAAGGATCTGCTCTCAACATTGTATGCTTCTCACATTTACCTACATGTAACAGAAAAAAAATCATATTTTCGACAGCCCTAAATGCCGAGATGTCCTTCGTGCAAATTAGCAAAGAGTCAAATATTTGTGCTCTGAGAAAGCACCATTTTAGCATGAATTTCAATGCAAATTCAACCTGCATACTTGATCTTATAAATTGATATTATGGCTCAAATATCTTTCAACAAACTGAGATACTTGGCAGATCAAAAGAAAAATAGCTGCAAACTTTAATATATAGCCATTTGCAAAAAAAAAAAAATAATAATAATAGCTTAGGAATTTTTTGGCACCAAGGACTCATGTCTCCTCTTGTGAAAACACTTTAGGAAAGAGAGTCAAGCAGAAACACAAGACAAAAAAGGACGACACCTCAGATCCAACCCCTTCACTTTACCGCAATGCGTATTCAGATCCGTAAGCTGTGCACAGACCGTTTGGTGGGGTAAAGACCAACTTTAAATTTCGAAGACCGGTTTTAATTCTTAAAACCCGAAAAATCAATTAAGGGGGGACACTGGCTAGAGGTCAAACTTTTGAACTACTCAAGTGATCAAAATGAAATTTTGAGGGGAGATTTAGCTTCAGATGTAGGTGTACTGTGCAAACTTTCAGCTCCCTAGGACAAATTTACATACCCGCATAAGATGATGTGTCACTCTTCATTAAGAAATCTATGATATTCAAATGAAGCTAATAAGCATCACTTTGACTGCTTGAATATAATGTGGGGGATATGGGACCTCGGGCTATCTAGTTTTAATAACTTAAATGTAAATATTTCAGGAAGAGTTATTACCTCAAAATATGAGATGCATATCTGTCCTATGTAAATTTTTGAAAACTTAGTTTTTTATCACTGAGGACTTCAACTTAAAACAAAATAAAGTGGATAGCCCGATTCCCCAGTAAATTTCAGTTCAGAAACATGTTGATTGTGGTATCAGAATACTTTCACCTTCAAACAAAAGATTCCTTCGTATGAATTTTGCAGCAAAAAGTGGAACTGAGAAAAATGCATTCGAACATTGAACTCCTTTACTTTGTTACTGCCTCACAATGTGTTGAAAATATTTTATATCAATGTAACTATTTGGCGTATGGTTATCAAATTCGGTGTAAGGGTGTATAATAAGTTTATAAAACTGAAAACCTTAAAATTGAAAAATGAATTTTTTCAAAAAAATTTAAAATTTAGGCCCATGTCCCCCCTTAATCTCATTTACTGCGAGACCGATTCTCAAGTTAAACGATACCCCACTTGGACTAAAACCTGGTCAGTGCTGTCGGTGACATCTGTGCACAGTGCCACAGCCACGAAACAAAAAGAAAAGTTCCTCGAGGGGGGTCCACCCTACCTCTTTGGGTAGCAGGGAGATGAAGTCACGCTGGAACTGCGGCTCGATGACGTGCATCATGTGACGCACCTGCCCTGGCTCGCATGCCTCAATCAGCTGGTCCAGGGCACACAGACGCTCCAGGTGAGTCCACGACTGCACAACACAACACCACAATGTCACTCCAGGTTCGCCATATTGGCAAAACACACACTCAAAAGCGCCACCGTGGTCGGCCTGCCACGCTGGCCAAACGCTTGCCACGACGTCTCTCTTCACGACTCCGGCAAAACCGGCTGCACCTAGTAGGAAAAAGACTAAACTGGCCCAAACAGGTCCTTTCGCGATCTCAGCTCACCCCTCGCGGCTTCCGTGATTGCATGTTGTCAACAGTCGTTGCGACGGCTACCAAAGTCAAGCGAGGGGAGTTGTGTCGGTCATGTCCACGGCAATTAAAATGTCAGCAACGACAGGGCCGCACAGAAAACCGTGACTCGTAATGACCCGACGAATTAGGTGCATCTTGCATCGCCTCTCGTGTTGTGCAGGGTGAACAGCCGTCCCAGTGACTGTCGTCACCGTAGTACAAGCGTGCTGCCTAGGTTTCTCCAAACGCAACCTACACCACAGCGTGGTCCGGACATTGCGCCTTCGTCGACGTCCATCAGTGCAGTAAAAGCTAAGTGTCTAGTCCGTCCGTCGCTTCGTCTAAGAAACCTATGCCTCCAGAAGCTCGCATACGCCAACGCGCCGCTGCCGGTTTCGAGCGTGGCGGACGAAAATTAGGGCAAACATTTTCGAAGCCGATGCTTGCCCGCCTGAACTCGAGCGTCGTGTGTCGAGCCAGTATGCGGAACGGCACGACCCTCGCAGCTCGTGTCAAGGGGCGACCCCTATAGGTCGCTGAAGTTGCTAATAGTCACCGGCGAGGTGAGGACGGGAAAGAAAATCTTCAGTTGTCCCGCCTCCAGCTCAAGCTTTCTATCTTTGACGACGTTTCCTTTTGGCCCCATAAAGCTGCCGATGGTGAAAGAGTTCGCTCTTCTCACCTGGAAAGTGGTGAGCCATGCATCGAGGTGTGGCGGCTGCACTAAGGTGGACGGGTGGCGCGAGCGCCGGGCCGGTGGGGACTCCTGCTCCTCCGAAGGGGGGCTCTCGGCGCCCACGGGGAGGGGGGAGGAGCGGCCGCTGCCCGGCACAGCCTCTCGACTGCAGGGTTTCTTGCAGGGCCTTGGGGGGATGTCCCGCTTGCGCTTCAGCAGGGCCTGAAAAGGGGCACCCCACACGGGGTTGGGGTAACGATGCCAAAAACCGCGAAGAGAAGGCCATGGCGAGAGCCACGCCAAACAGAACCTTTCCAATTCCAAGGGCCGAGAAAAGCAACTGAGACCAGAAGTAAAGCAAACCGAGTTTCTTGTGTGCCAACTTACAGACAGACACTGAAAGTTGTGGGGGGTCAGTCCTGTAGCCAGAAACTAGAAAGTGAAAGAATCGTTCTGAACCTCGAGGTCCCTGGTGTTAAAACGCATATTTCTCTTCACTGAGTTGAAGAACACATTCGGTCTCGAATTTAATGTAATATTGTGGTGTGGGAACTTACAAACATGGTAAATAATAATGCCTAAACTAGGAAGAGTTTGGCACACAGTTATGCATTAATGGATCGCTCAAATCTTTTTAGTGCTTAAACTGGAAGGACACTTTGCTTTGAGGTACAAACAAGCAGTGTATTAAAGAGCTCAAGGAACTCTTACGGGGGACTGGCACAGAAAAGGTAGTTTTTTTGTTTTTTTTTCTGTCTATACACTAACTCATGTTTACAAACAAACCGGAGCGCCCCTAGCGGACGCCACCGGCGCCGCGCATGCGCGATGGGGGTGTGGGCAAGACGCTCGCCGTCGCCCATAAACAAACCATTGGAACGCGATGTTGTCGGCGTCGGTGTGAGTCCCCCTGCCCTTTTTCGCGTTCGAATTGTTGATTCTACGTCTTCCTGGAGATATCTGACCACTTGAGCGGCGTCAGCGAAATTACCGAGGCTCGTTACACCGCAAAACTTCGCGTGAATAATGTGACATGTGGCGATTCATTCCGCATGGACACCGCAGAATGGACGCTAAAGCCTTATTCGCACGATGAGATTTTGCTCGCAATTTTAAGTTGCGACGTCGCTTGGGCTGCAAAAGCGTGAACCGTAGCTGAGATAGTCGACGTCGATACTGAAAAGCACAAGCAGAATCGGACCAAGTGAATTAGGCCTAACAAGTTGGTGATGGTTACTGGTTACAATTATCAATATCTCCTTGTATCTACTGTTTACATCGAGCCTGCTTACCAACCTTCAAATTTAAGCCTTTTGAGGCCCGCATTTACTTCTTATCGCAAGCACCGGGCCAACAATTGGTCTACGGGCCGGCGTCGTCTAAGAGAGCAGACGACAAGCAGAAACGTTTGAAAGAGCAGACGACGGTTCGAACGATCAGACGGCCGTTTGAACTTGAAGGTGCACTAAACGTAGTCTGCAGGTGGTCCGCACAACTTGACGGTTTTCTGGCGTTCATGCTGGAACAAAACATAAATCTGATGACCATAAGTATCCGTGAATTAAACCCAAAGTGCTTCCCGCCCAAGCAATCGTTGTCCGACGGCGTCTGCTTTCCTCTTTTCACGGCACATATCCAGATTCTCTGACGAACCGAGCACGTGAAAACTGACCTTCAAACCTTTCTCGACACTTTTGGTACGGCCCCAGTCGCGGCGTTTTGACGAGGAGGCAGGTTTTTGTCTGGATCCTTTCAAAACAATGCATGAATACACGTCTGGCATGGGGACTTCTGCCCACAGTCCCAGACCGGAAGTGCGACCGACGCGCCACCACCGCGCCGTGACGTAACAGAGATGAGTTGGTGTATAGTGATGCAAGTTATAGTCATAGACACACAAAAAATGCCACAACGTAAAAGTAGATTTTCACACGCACCTGCTTGCCTTTTTTTTTTTTTTTTTTGCCATTTTTTTTTTCACTTTTCACCTCCTCTTCTTTTTATTTGTGATGTAATCAATTACGAAATTTAGAAGCTTTGTATGCGACATTTCTATAATATTTAACGACATTCGTAAAACATGTTTTTTCTAATGCAACTGCGAACGCACTACGGCCCTTCTTTTTGAAATGCCAAAAATTGGAGTCCAGACTGATGTCGTCTCCTGGCTTTTTATCCTCCCTCGGAAAACATGGCGGTGCTCGGCGCATGCACTGAGGATGATCGGTAAATCTGGGAATCTGACGAAGTTCTCTTTTATAGATTCCCGACAACCCCTCGACTTCGAAAACAAAATTGTTGAACAGTCAAAACACCTGCGTTTGGTGTCTGTGCACCGTAGTTTGCAGAACCGGCGCGACGTGGCCCCTCACGTTGTTCACAAAAGTCTACTGAGCGTTCTCTTCGACCTCACAAGCCTCACACCGTTTCAAAGAATTTGAGGTCGCTGAAAGGGCCCTAGTCGAACTTCAAACACAAAAGTGGCGAGTCATCGGCTCACAGCAATAGGCGGCATGCACAGAGGAGAGCGGTTAATTGCAGGACGTGGGAGAACACGACACTTCAGGTCGGGACGGTTTGGAGGTGTGAGAGAAACTCGAGTAGCAGGACGACTCAATCTTTGACGTCACGGCCTAACGTGGATCGCACGGGAACTTCAATTTCGCCTTTGGGAAACTGGTTAATTTACTTCACAAAAACTGAGTTCCCAAATTTCGAATATTGAGGGTAATGTCCTGCATCGTTTTCATTTGTTACAGATAATAAAAAGAAAAAATGATCAGGAAACCCTGTTCGAGATCCCATAATCGAGTGCCTTGAGCAAAAGAATGGTCATCTTTCGAGCATGTCGAACATTCTTTAGAGCCTTTATACCCGCGTCACCGGTCCCCAGAAAACAAAAGATCCTCGTCTACACCTCCACAAAGCGTTCCGAGACTTGTCGTCCTGTTTCCGTTCTAAAGAGAGCGAGAAACAGGGTCCTCACTGCGGCGTCCATCTCGTCCGTGACGTCGTCCTCCGTGGGGTCCGGGTCCCGCCCGTGTCCCCCCAGCGGAGAGGCACCCCTCCGCTCCTCCTCGTCGAGCGAGCAGCGGCTCTCATCGTCGTCGCTCGTCGGCGGTCCCTCGGAGCCCAGCAGTCGGTGCACAGAAGATGCCACCTCGCCCGCCAGCTCCTCGCGGCTCCCGCAGCTGCTGCCACTGCTGCCGCTACCCCACCTGCCGGGCAGAGAGCGCTCGGTTATTGGTTTCTGTTGGGCACCAACTGCCGACAAGAACCGACTGCTGTCAATACTGGATTGCCATCCACCCCGGGGGGTAAAGACGGGAGCAGAACGCAGCAAAATGTGAGCGCCAACATTGCCGGTTGCAAAAGAAAGAATGAGAAATAGAGTGACAGAGGAGTGGAGAAAGAAAGCAGACGACGGGTTAGGCGTGTTTGTTTAGCCGCGACAAGTTGAGGTTGGTCGAGAACATGTTAACTTTATTTATTTTCATACAATGCACAATGCCGGTGTTTTTATACAAAATAAAGATAGAAGTACACTATATATATAGAAACTTTACAAGTAATGCTTTTCTGCCTTTCTGTGTATATCAAAGTGTCACCAGCAATATGGTCCCATCACGACAACCGATGTTCGCGCCTATGCCCCGTCATTCCAAAGCGGCTGAAATGCGGTGGGACCTTTCCCTCTAGGTTATTTATCGACTCTAAGCCGTCAACAGACCCTTTTCGAAATTCAGTCTGGCGATTCTGATCACTATCATCATCTCGGTATATGGCATCCGTGCTAAACTAACGGCGGCCTTCTTGAGGCTAATGAAGGAACAAGATGAAGATACCATTGAGCGGAGGATAACGAGGCCTGCACGTTTCAAGATATCGATACAACACAAGGCACAATTAGATACAACGGCTGCGTAAGCGTTCATTTTGAGGTGCAGTCCAGTCAATCTCTCGGCATACGTTTGGCTCTAAAGCCTCTTGAAATGAGGAAATTTAACTGAGGGGCTTATGGATCGCAGCTTTGTACTGACCAGTCCTTATGTTCACTCGTGAAACTGGAACATATAAAAAAAAACAATGAGGTGATAAAAAAAAAAATTCTTGTCTGCCAGTCACGTGCGAAAGCAACGGTGCCCGGTGAAAGAGCCTCACGACTGCCATTAGTTTGTTGAAAGTGAAACTACTTTGTGGGCCTCGTGATGGCACTGAATTTTGGAAAAGGTCTATTACTGATTGCCATCAAGTGCAATCAGCCGCTCAGTCACCGGTGCATCTCCATTGATGGTAAAAAAGTCTTGACAATGTTTCACCAACAATATCGTAAACTCGCGCATCATCTGTCACCGCAGACAGATAACAGACGCAAGTTTGCCCCAACTATTCCACAGACGAACCTTTGTAAGCATACAACACTACAAGTTTTGACTGCATTGAAAAAACAAGCTGCCAGACAGCAGTGACGCTCTAGCTAACACTGACGATTTCAGACGCACTTAACCCTTTGACGGTCATTGCGGCACGTGTACGGTGGCGATTGTGCATTTGAGGGTGGCCACCCAAAAGCAAAACCGCGCGTACAGTGGAGCTGTTATTTGTCATGTCTTTGGCCAACTGTGAACGTTGCTTTCGTACGGTGTTTCACTTTGCTGGGGCTATTTATAATTTTCAAATTAGAAGCTCAGCACATGCGATGTACGCGAGATAGTCGCTTCACCTGTCGGCAGCTCTGGCAATAGTAGGAATCTAAGTGCCGACTCTTCTGATTCAGACTTCTATTGCTTCTCAGAATGAACTCGGAGGATGATAGCTGATCATCCGACAAAGGTATAGCACCTCCAGTTCAAAGCTCAAACCACCGGAATGTCAACGGTAGTGGACATGCCAGAATGAAACCGAAGTGAAGAAAGGTGATAAGTTTTCGCCCTTCAATAGTTCTATTTCGTGCTTTTAAACCTGGACTGCTTGCAAGCACAGTAGATGCTCCCGCTAGATAATTAAGAAAAAGCCTGGGAATTGACTTTTTCTTTGCACTATTTCTTTGGAAACAAGACCAAACCACTGGGAAGCATTTCTGGGGAATAAAAACACTTGACTGTCAGATGCTGAAGTGTAACTTGTTGTAACTTGTGCATGTAGGTGCTTCTTGACTTTGTACCTTGCCTTCTTCCCCTTATGTAAAGCCCAGAAATGGATAATTTTAAGGGTAATAAAAATAAATCTTTGGTTTAGGAAAAGGGAAAAATAGCAAACCAGGTTCAATAAAAAAACCTTTCAGCCTTTCCACTCTGGTGAAGAAGGAAGGCCACCGAAGCTGCAGTGTGGTGGGACGACTTCAAGGATGACTTCTTGGACGACCTCAATTACGACGTCTAGGACGACGTCTAGGACAACCTCAAGGACGACCTCTAGGACGACGCCTAGAGAAATTCAGCCTTTCTACTCAGATGAGAACCAGAGTGGAAGGGCTAGAAAGTTTGCCGCCATTTATGAGCAAGGCCGGCAAGCTAGTTGCCTGGTTGCCGCCGTCGCTCATAGATGGCGGCAGCTATCTAAAGCTTTGTGTCGACATATTTTTGGTAACGGACATGATCCTGGGGAACCTAGCCCTTAACAGCTCCGCCGTAAACATTGCTCAATAAAATGGTGGATTCCGGGATCCGCAGTAGCAGCCGTCCCACCCCAAAAAAAACAAATGTGGTTTGCTCACCGGTGTCCCAGGGGGTCATGCGTCCTTTCCTTGGGGCTGCACGTCAGGCAGAGCTGTAAGGTCTCCAGGAGGGAGGGTCCCACGCCTGGCACCCCTCCGAGGTCCTCTAGGCAACTGAACCCACCCTGGAGCTGAGAGAATAAATGGGCCAAAAGAGGTTATAACTGGAGTCACTAAGCAAGCCACGCTTGAAGTATTTAAACTACCGGGCATTTCAGCAAAGGCTTTCAGAAATCCCCCAAAATAGGGTGTTCAAGGAAAAATGAAAAAAAAACTCTTCCCGAGAATGAATTGCCAGCCATGGCGAACGCCAGGAATTGCAAAAATACATACTACTTAGGTAAATAATTAAATCAAATTTACTAAACCGCTTTTGATTTAGTGAAAATAAACATACGATGCAAACAAGAAACTTGCTAAGCATCTTCGAAAGCCACTAAGTCAACTTATTTAGAAAGATATAAGGCAGGGGCAGTCTTTTGCGGCGTTCCAAGAAAATGCTCAATTGGGACGCGTTTCTAGGATTTGGTTTCCTATCAGAGAACATCTCTGCCTCAGCGGTCTTGGTCCCCAATGGCCGAGGTGCAAAACCCCTTCCCCATCGCCTGTATACTCGCCGGCAGAATGAGAACTGTAGGGCGTGTTTTAAAAAGCTCGACCTGGAGGCGGGACAACCAAAGATCCTCCCTGCCATCCAGTCACCTCGCCAACGACCATAGCCAAGGCTCTCGCGGCAATGCAATCTACGGAGGCCCAAGTACCCGGGACAAATACTTACGGCAAAAGCGGCAGACATTTTTGTGCGCAAAGACTTTTTTGAAGCTACACCCACAATGTGGCATACGTCGCCACTTAGAAAAATAAAGAAAGGCTCAAGTGGCCAAGGACAGAATGTAACAAGGGTATGAAGATGGGGAGAAAGAGGGGGCTCCTCTCTCGGATATCCGGCCCACGTGCCTTGGCTACACATCCACGTTTGAGGCTACCGAGACGACCCGTTATTCTCGTTTCGTCGGCAACTATGGAGGGGCATGGGAAAGGGCTGGGGATCCAATGTTGCCGAGAAGAGGGCCACTCACCTTCCGGGCGGCCACAATGGCCTCGGCAGTGGCCCGGCAGACTCCGGCAACCTGTGCCAGGTCCCCGATGGTGCAGGTGTTGACGTCCACCAGGGCATGACCCCCCTCCTGGGACTCCTCTGCGGACATCGGCTCCCCGGCACGCTCAGGGAGACATCTGGAGGGAGACACGGGCAAAATCGAGTCAAGCCCGATGGGCGTTTCTACCAAATTGCTTTTTCCGAATTCCCCTGACTATTCCAGGATTTTTCCAATCGTTTCAATTCCGCGACCATTACACAAGATGAGAGGATCCGGAAATTAATCTGGGACAATCCGGCCAAGAATAACAGGGTGTCGACTAAATTTCGTCCTCCGAATTCCCCCACCTTTTCAGGTTTTCCCCGACTATTCCGTTTGATTCCGCAACCGTCACAAAACGAAGAGAATATGGAAATGAATCTTGGCCAGTACAGCCTAACTTTCTCCCGAGTTGCATTTTTCAGATTCTCCGACTTTCCCCGGGTTTTACTTTGATTAAATTCCTTTATCATAATGATGCTTCGGGCAACTGTCGCTCTGTGTGAAGGCTGTCTGCACAACCGCACGCCACACCCTCCGGCTGCATTGCACGTTACTACACCGCTGACAACAGTCCTTTTTCCCGACTTAATCGATTCTCTGAGAATTTTCCGGACAATTCTCTGAAAATTCCAGGCCGGTAGACACCCTGATTAAGATAAACCTACTTCGACAGTGATTTTCACAATTTTCACTTTAGAAAACAACCTAAAGGTTTCAAATACGGCCTAAAGGTTTGAAACCAGTGTATTGATGAACCAATCTCGATAGATGGGCATTGCTGTCGTGCTCGCCACAGGGTAGAGGTAAAGGAGCTGTTCCCATTTAATTTGGTTAATTGGGGGATGCCTTTCACCACCTAGTGGTGTTTTGAGCAACCATAACTCAGCACGACGGAGAATGTCTGAACATAAAAACCTTTTCAGCATCACTCTTGCCACTCTCATCAGTCTTTTTCCCTCCCTGACTTGGCCAACTTTTTTGCGATTTTCCCGACTTTTCCAGATGCTTTCAAATTCCCTGACAATTTCAGGTTTCCTAGGTCGGTAGACGCCCCGGAGCCATAGCTCTGGGTCATGTTTCATCAGCAGCCAACACAAGCTCCTATCTGTAGTGCGTCGGCAGCCGCGGCGTTGCAGGGCAAAAGACAGCGCTTTGAAGCGCCACGGAGATGTCTGAAGCGCCATCCAGAGGAGCTACTAAATAAACTACGCTTCCGAGCAACGAAACTCCGGACAGCATGGCGCTTAAAACCATTGTTGACAGCCACCCGACGCTCTATGTAAAATTGCAAAAAACAATTTTCCGTCCCCCAAGAATGTTATCGCAGTCAGCAGCTGCGTAAACCTTTAAGGGGCACTAAACCACTTTCTGCGATAGTCTATTTATGGTCATACCTCAATCTATGAGCTCTAACCATTATAAAGACCAAAGATTACATTTATGAGTGGCCGATTCCTCTGCTAAAATCGGTATCAAAGATTGATTACCTTGGAACTATTGCAGACACCAGAGGGCGCCGACAGCTTCTGCACGTCTGACGGCCACGGAAGGATGAATCCCCGATGCGTGAATGCAATGTTTGGGTATTTTAGGATGCTTGGAGCCCATAGATTGAGTCAGGATTATAAATAGGCTACCCTTCAGTGCCCCATTAAAGCCTTGGCTTGCTGACACCACACATAAAACGAAAGAAGTTGCACTATTGAATTGTAACAATCGTCAACTGCATCAGCTGTGCAGTACGCACCAAAGTGGCAAAGCCCACAATATAAGCAGCTTATTTGCTTATTTAGTAGCGGCTGCACCATCTATAGGCCATGCTTCAAACCTGCTCTTTTGAGTGACTACGGTGACGCGACATCTAGAAGCTGTGCTCCCAAACCAGCGCCATTTCTGGAGTTATCACAACAGTCGTCTCCAAAACGGTGGCACTTCAAATGATTAGAGGTGAACCTTTTGGGGGCTATTGCACGGAGAAGCAGTGCTTATTGATAGTTCTGCAAATGACCTAGTAATGTTGGCTTGGACCGATTTGGCATTTAGTTTGCCAGGCTACTTGGCGACACTCTGTCCCCAAACTAACAATGAGCAGGATATTAGATCACATAGGGAGTGTTTATTGGCAGCCATAGCTGTGTGGCGCTGATACCGAGCTTCCACAGTTCTTTTGCCACGTGCATTCCACACCATTAAGATTGCCGATCTTAGAAGCCTATTATGTGAGCTCATTACGAGCATGCATTTTAACTATCTCTCAAATATGGTGTCCAGTGACTACCCCATAGGCACCAAAAAGAGTTGGGAAGGCAAGCATACAGGTCAGCCTCCAAGCTTTTGCAGGCCTGTATACGGACAGCCTTTGCAGTTGCGGTAGACACCTTTTATAATGACACTTTGACTATGACAGCATAACTAGGCTAAGCCATTGACACTAGCATTCCAGCTTGCACAATTTGACATAAAATTAATACATCTGTTCTTGTGCATTGAAAATAAAAAATACTGTAATCCAAAAAAGAAACTGAAAGTGCAAATGTGAAAAATAAAGATGGAAATATGTGCAACAATACACACCGGCTGAGCGGTATGTGCAAGTTGTGATTTGAAAGAAAAATAACAAAAAAGAAAAAAAATACCGTGATGTCAAAATGTGTGCAGTTTACACAATGTCAGACCACTGACTCTGAACGAACTATATACGCAGAGCTTAATTATTTTCCTTGTGGGATGGAATGGTGCGCTGCTGCATTTCATTCAAATATTAAAGAATAGATATTGACCAAGAATGAGATCTTTGCATCCCGCATAATAACATCCCACTTTTTTTGTTAAAGATGGCCAGACCACCGACTATTAAAATGCTTTTTGCTGGCGTGCAATAAGAACAAGATCGCACCTTGGTCAGATTACAGCTCTTGCAACAACTGTTTGATATGCTTGAAATTGATTGCACGAGAGCTCCTTACAAATAGGGTTTAAATAACACCCAAAAATTTTCTTTTCAAAATCGGAGAAAAAAAAAAAAACGGAATTGGAGCTCTTTTTTAATAAAGAAATCCCCGATTTTGGGGAATTTTGCTGCAGCATTGTTTCCGTGACGCCGAATTGAGTCAGTGGCCTAAGTTCCATGGACCCTGGAGAGGTGACAACTTCATAGATATGCGGTTGCTTTGAACCTAAATTTGAAGAAAAAAGTAAACCCTAAGATCAGGGAACCCTACTTATAAACTCCCTCGCAAGGTGTTTTTGAATGTCTTTCCAACATCTTGTACGAAACTTGTTCAACACTCTTGTATTAGGGAGACATTTTTATATACTGTAAACAAGTTATTTTTTGCAGGCTCAGTATTTCGTGACTTAGATCAAAACTGAAGTTTTGGAATAATTCGCAGGGTCTAATTTTCGCGACGCAGTGGGATTCTCAATATAGATTCCAATGCATTTACATTTTACTGGAATTGTTCGAGGGACCTACTTTTCAAGAACTGTAGGCGATTCGCGAAAATTAAGTCGTTTACAGTATATACATAACGGCAACCATTGAGGTTAAAACAGAACAAACAAAAAAATTATGAAAGAAAGCGGCAGATGTGTTTGCCCAGATGATTACAAAACAACTCTCGATATGACAGGTGCAATAAACTCTAACAAAAGTACCACAGCGAACTGCTATTCTCTAAAAACCAAACAAAGGCATTTTAGAAATTATATTTGTGTGACATTTGTAGGGGACAAATTAATGGAGCATGCAACACAAGCAGAGGTTATCTGCTTGTACCGTGATTGTGCTTAGTATCGACAAAGATACATCAAAAGCATTCAAGCACCTCTATCACAAAGAAAAATTCGAGAAACGAACACATGATTCACATTTTTTTAATAAAAAAAACGAAGACAACGGACGAAAAAGGGGACAACACACACACCCTTTTTCGCCCGTCGTCTCCGGTTTTTCAAAAATGTGCAACATCAACCAGCTTGCCCGCCTACTCACTCAATCTTCAACACATATTTGGTGAAACCTTCAATGCGCGAACTGACTTTGTCATTCACAGTTAAGCGAAGATTAGGCCACGTTGGGCCGACGTTAACGTCAACAAAGCCCGTCAAAAGGCAAACTCCGACATTAGTGAAGTTGAAAACAAATCAAAGAAACGGAAGTTACATTCAAGTCGACAGGCATTTCAACACATGATATTTGGTGAAACCTTCAATGCGCGAACTGACTTCGTCATTCAGTCAAGCGAAGATTAGGCCAAGTTGGGCCGACGTTAACGTCAACAAAGCCCGTCAAAAGGTAAACTCCGACATTTCTGAAGTTGAAAACAACCCAAAGAAACGGAAGTTACATTCCAGTCGACAGGGCATTCTACTACAAGCGAACCGTGACAAGTTATCGGAAGCTAAGATCGTGGTGCGCTCGCCTCATAGCCAAATTTAACGCGATCACGCGTTTTTCAAAGCGACCACCCACGTTTTCTGTGTTCCAAAACAACCGAAAAAACGGAAGTCTCGCGTTTTATACTTTTTTCTTCTATTATTTAGAAGAAAGCCTATTCGCGAACAAACGGAAACAGAGCCCACCCCAATCAAAAGATCGCGTTGTATTCAACCGTGACCGAGGTTTCGGTCGTTTAAAAGAACACTTACTTTTTCATTCGGCCGGACAAAACGTGATCTCAACTTTTGGTGGGTTCGTTACAGAAAGGGGAGCTTCTAGATTTTGCCAAATGGGCAGACAATTAGCGACGTTCACCAAAGGTCGGCCAGAGGTCTATTGTGGGGAAGGCGATACCACAGTGCCTGCCTCGTGCAATCACAAGCACGAGAGAGAACATGTGCTACGGAAGATACAGTGGGATCGGCATCAGGTGCCCAACAAAGAACTATCCGTGGACTGGGAAAAAGCAGGCAGAACGTCGATTCGAAAGTAAGTGCCGCGTGCGAACTGCTAACGCCCGCTGGAAATGCCTCAGCTCGCTCCCAAGGCCTAACCCAGCCGTCACACGGGACATTTGACACTAGGTTTTCGGCACGATGCGTTCGACCTAGCCGTCCGAGTTTCTGGCGGACGAAGTTGCGACTTCGCGACAGTCTCCAGGGAAGTAAATGTTACTCACCTTGCGGCTTGGACTCACCAAACGCGAACAAATTAAAATGATAACTTTTATCAAAACACATCACGCACGGACTCCTGCCATGTTTCTTAGTGACGTCAGAAGCAAAATTAGAAGATTAAAAGCAAAACAAACAAGAAAAACACGTGCGTACGAAATAATTTGTTGTAAAAAAAAGACACGTCGTGAATATTGGTATGTTCTATTAAAAACTGCGTAAATGTTCTTATAAGTATAATCCGTGCCACTATTTGTCATTTGTTGAAGAGTTGTGGCCGCTACCCTAGGGTTAAAAAAAGTAACTCTCAATGTGCGGGTTTTTTTTTTGTTTTTTGTTTTTTTCCCCTCGTTGTGTTGTTTGTATCAAGAAGTTAGGGAACTATGCAGCACTATTTTTAGCGAACAGTGACATTTGGGCGAATCGACGTTTTAGCGAATAACGGCGTCCGACTATTCGCTAAAGCGTCATTCGGTGAAACGTAGGCGTTCGCTAAAACGTCATTCGATTTAGTGAGTGCCTCCCGAGCTCCTGACCAGCAAAAAGGTTACCTAACCTTTTACAAGTTGGAACACTCTGGGTTAATCCCTGGTTAATCCTTAGACCAGTTGAGGAATTTTTTTTTTTTAAATTCACCTATGGACAAGATGTGAGATATCAAATAAAATATGAAAAAAAGACACTGACCAGCACTTACTACACCAAGCAGCAAAATAAAGAGAAAAGTACATGCCTGGGCATTTCATGTTCTTTAAAATTATAAATCAACAATCACATTTCCATAACACTGAGGACAACACGTTTCAATATAGATATTGGCTAGTTTTATTTACAATCACGTTTCAGTAAAAATACACTTTATATATAGGGTGACCCAAGTCACCAGGCTCTATCTAAAATGGGCTGTAAAAATCGACGCCTGCACGTAGCAATCGAAAGTTTTCACCAAAGGTGTATTTCACAGGTAGGTTTTTTCTTGCAAAAAATCAGAGTGTAGCTCTCTTTCTGTCAGAAAAAAATAGGGCCAAGAAACTTGCCAGGGTCTACAGCGGGCGGCGACCAAGTCCAGTAGCGCGGTGTGTTTGGCATTCGTATTGATAGATGGCGCTACCTCCTTATCACGACCAGAGCCAAAGGCTCTGATCGCGACGGCTCGAGACCACCGTGGTTTCATATAATGGACATATTTTTGAAATGTACCTTTGGTTAAAAAATAAATGCGGACAATAAGAGCAAAACTCGAGTAAAAGAAACGCGTCTGCGAAACGATGGCACTTTTGATGCGAACAGATTTCGTCTGCGTGTCATCTGCTTTCGCTGGTCAGCTGCACCTTCGAACGCTGCTCCAGACGCCATCTATCAATACGAATGCCAAACACACCCCACTACTGGACTTGGTTGTCTGCGTCGCCTGTTTCTTACAGATACAGATCTACGCTTTGTAATTTTACATGCAAAAACTGACCTGTGAAATACACATTTGACGAAAAATTTTAAGATTGCTACGTGCAGGCGTCGATTTCTGCGGTCCATTTTAGATCGAGCCTGGTGACTTGGACCACCCTATACATGCTAAAAGGAAATACAAAATGTAGCCTTGCAGTTTGCAATGCAATGCAATGTCTCAGAAGACAGCCAGTTGCATGCACTTAGCAGCAAGATGAGCTGCAAAATTATGGTGAAGAAAAATAAATGAAAAGAACTTCATTAAAATATTTATATTTAAAGGGGCTAAACAAACGGAATACAAAAGGTCCGGAACATCTCAAAGCATCAAAGTGCCCAAAAACCAGCGATTCCCGCTCGTTGTCGCCAGGTGCTTCGATCCAACGAGAAACTGGCGAAATGTCACTTGTGACGGGTCCTCTTGCAGGCTGCGCTGCATTGGTATGGCGAATCCTGAAAGTATGTAAGGGTCTGCTTTAGTGCTGTTAGATTCAAACAATGGCTTACTGCGACTTTCCCCATCACGATTTAGTCACAGAAGGCAAAGATCTCCAATGGACCCTTTCCAAGATTCACTGTCATCTGGTGGCTCAAAAAAAAAGAAAAAAAGCAGTTGTACTTTTGACCAACTAATGGGGAACAAGAAACTTTCATCGGGCACCGTCACTTTCGCGCGTCAAGGGAAGATAATTAGTTTTTCTTCGATCTCCACATAATCTTTTTTTGATTTGTTTCAGTTGCAATGGTGTGAACATAAGTACTGACCAGTGCAAAGCGATGATCTGTAAGCTTTTCGATTAAATTTCTGCTATCAAAAGGCTTTAGAGCCAATACTGTGCCAAAAGATTGATTGGACCACACTCCGAAAGATGTGCTTTCATAGCCATTGCATCTAATTTGTGCGTCGTGCTGTACCGATGCCTCGAATAAACAGGCCTCGTACCTCCTTCCTTTGGTAGTACCTTCAACTTCTTCCTTCATGAGCCTCAAGAAAGCTGCCATTAGTTTGGCAGGGAAGCCATACACTGAGATGATGATAGTGATCAAAGTTGCCTAACTGAATTTCTAAAAATACATTTAGGCTTGACAAAAATAGCTTATTGTCAATGCACACGCAACGCCCATTATTGGTGAGGTGATTGAACTATGGGGTGTGCCCTGACCCGTTTGTTGTCCCCACACGTGTGTTTACCCAACACAAGGCATGTGGACATGCCCACAGGCATGTCCACAGGCACGCCACAACGTAAAATTACTAACAATAATTGTAATAACGTTTATTGTCAGTGCTGGATCTCTTTTGGAAGCGGTCGTCAGAGAATGCAAGCTTGACCCACTTCGGTTTTTGTGCTTAGCTGGGCACATGCACCATGTGTTTGTGCAGGCCGGAGTGGTAACAAGAGCCCCTCCTGCCCCCTCAGGCGACCGAATGCTGATGCGGTGTTCGGTTAAGTCAGCCGAGCGATGAGTCATTGTTATTTGTTGTCCCCCTCCGTGTAGTTCTAAAGTTAACCGCTTGGGGCCTCGTGGTCCCATCTCCTCCCCCAATACTAAGCGTCGACTACTTTCCGCTACCTTGTCAAGGCTAGCGTAGCTCCTGCTCCAACACTGTCCAAGATATTTGCGCGAACGCATGGCTTCGTTTGGCGAGTACTTTGCACGAGAGCGCATGCAAATGAGGTGCAAGAGAAAGCCAGATGCTCATGCAGCAACACAGGGCTGCAGCACTAATGAACCTACGCTAGCCTTGGTAAGGCAATACAAAACAGCTGACGCCGAGTATAAATTCAAAGGCCTGGATCCTGTCTTCCCGCACGTCGTTGGAAGTTTTCAAGCATTTTAAGCATGACAGGCAGATAGCTTGCCCTTGGTTTACTTTCATCTCTTAGGGTGGAATCTGTTCAAACTGACTTAACAGACAAGGCAAAGCCTTTTACACTTGTCAAAAGAGACTGCTTCGTAGATGTAGGAATCCAAGCTACCATCAGAGAGTCCATGGCTCCCAGATCAAGCTTAGACTCCACAAGTTACTTCAATTATTAAAATTATTGTGACTAATCTGTTGAAAATTTCTTTGAACCGCAAGATTTTGTCACTGGAAGAGTAATAATAATGGCGCTTCATGTATTTATTGTATTGGTTATGGAGGATGTGCCTCACACGACTTGTACTTTCTAAAACATTTCGATCAGTGTCATCATCGCACGTGAGTAAGGAAAAGAAAGTATGGGAACTTGATGTGGAAAAATATCCGGTTTCGAGTCAAATAATTTTACAAAAATTGTCCGACCCCCCCCCCCCCCCCCCTCTCTGTGGGTCGCGCGTACAGGAATATAAACACGCATAAGCGCAGCCCTTTAGTTTAAAGACCCACACATCAGAATATGCCACTTCCAAAGAGGTTACCGACTTTGTCCTAGGACACCAAAAAGACACAAGTGCTTCACAGATTCTGAGAATCCACAAAATATCTGAACGTGCGGCCCAGCTTATGAATACACACCGCCACCAAAGGTTCATCACTCTACAAGGGAAGGAGTGGAGCAGGCAGAGGAGTAAGGAATAAATTTCGGAGTTAGCTCTAATTCCTTTCTTCTCAGTGTTGATAATGCTCAGGAAAAATAATTACGAGTACTGAGGATGTCTCCTCTCAGTACTCGTAGTAATTATTTTTCCTGAGCATTATCAACCCTTTTCAATTCAAGAGCCTCCGGTTCCCTTTCCCCCCTTGCAGTGGTCGAGAGGAAAAAAGGCCTCTTTGTAAATAACTCGGGGGCATTTCCACTGGTTTGTTTGGCAACAAACTCGGTGGTGCCCTATGTCGGCTAGCGCTGGCACACTTCCAGTACTCGTATATTTCCTCATATTTTACGCATCATTTTTGAACTACAAGAGTGAATTACGTCTGAGAGTGCTGTAAGCGATCAGTTATCGAAGATGGCGCATAGATTTAATCTCGCAGGTGCTGCAGAACTCGCCGTCTGGTACAAAACCGGAAGTGTCTAAAAGCTACTTGCACACTGGCCCCCATTGCGCTTCAACTCGCACGAGAAAGATCGAACAAGAAAAACACGACGGGCATGAAAGCGACCTCTCGGGAGCTCGATCTGAACTCAGCTTCACCTCACGACGAACTGCGGAGGACGCCACAAGGCTTCAAAGCCATTTTAATGCACCGTGAATGTCATATGACCTTCAGGAGGGGCGCAGCGACGCTCGAGGAATGTAGTCGCGCAATACGTTTGCAGTGCCAGATTGGCTGGAATGGCTTGTCGCGTCTGCAACAGTCCATCGTAAGGTGAAACAAGGCATGGGTCGCAGCAGTTGAATAGAACCAACTTCATTGCCAGACGCTTTTTCCGTCCTCTTGATACGTCAAAAGTCTGCGACGGAACAGGACGACATGTCCCTAGCTTCCCCGACGCCGTGTCAAAAGCTCGGGAGGTCACATTTTTGGATTGCGAGAACTGCCGGTTGCGCCCGTTCTGCACTAGACACCCCAATGGCGGCACTTATGAGAGCATCGGAGAATGGAGTGCTGGTACTCAAAGTGTTGCTCATTTGGCGACTATGGCCCGTTGAGGGGCGGACTCACCAAAAGGCAGAGTAGGCGGCTGCTTAGGGCAGCAGAATTTCGGGGGCGGCCAATGTGTGGCCGCCCCCAAACTGGCTCTTTCTTTAAACCTAGCTGCGAATTTAGCTACTTTGGTGATTCAAGCTCTAAATCTAGCTACTTTTGAAAATTTCAACTCTAAACTTGGCTATTTTTTCCCCCAACCCCGCTCCCCATGGTCAGTGACCATGGGAACCGAGGGTTGGGGGCTGGGGAGGGAAAACGCTGTTAAAGGCTGGTGCAGCAAAATTCCACGTCCGCCCCAGAGTCTGTTGCAACATAAACGAAGGACAGGCTTCTCCCAGAAAGCCCTCCACCCTTTCCACTTTAGCAGAGCAAATGCTGGAGAGGAGAGAACAACCAGTCGTGGCGAGCAAAGGGCTCTAAGGGGTGTGCTTGTCCCGAGTTGTTTTAACCTGCAACAGCCTATAGTGGTCACGCTCTACCGACACCTTTGGACCTGTAATTCTGAAAACTGGATTATTACCCGATTCTTCGCATCCCTTCCGTTGGCGCCGTGTACGGGAGCGCTATTACCGCCCAACTCGCCCTTTGACTGAATTGGCCTTGTGAGCTGCCGGGTCTGGTAGCGCGTCCTCTGCCGGACGCCACCACAGTTGTCCGGGCTCTCAACGTCCCCGCCGAGCTCCCGACACCGCATCTGCAGACGACGCAGCTCCCGGTCTTGAAGCCGAACCTTCCGCTGAGCCTTCAGCCGCTCCGCCTCGGCCCTCCGCAGTTCCTTCGTCACCATGCCCTCCAGCTTGTCCTGCTTTCGGCCCAGCTCCTCGATGATCCGTCCCTGCTCCTGCGCCTGACGTAGAAGCTCCTGGCTCTCGTCGAGCTCGTGCTGTCGCTCGTTCACCACTTCCAGCAGCCGATGCAGGGTCCCCTGCCGCCGCCGCAGCCCTTCTTCGGAGCGCTCCAGTGTGCTCAGCGCGACCTCTGCCCCCTCGGAGTGGAGCACGAACTTCCTCAGAGCCTTGTGGTGCGCTTCCCGGAGTCTCTGCAGTGCACCCTCCACCTTGCAAGCGTGGAGCTGCGCTGCTTGAGCGGCACGGCGAGCATCCGAAAGTTCCCGCCGAAGACGGGTCAGCGGGGCGTCCAGCGCCGCCTCGAGTGCTTCAGTGGGGCCAAGCAGTCGGAGGCTTTGCCGAAAGGTGTCCGAGAGTTCAGTGCGGAAGTCGGTGATTTTGGCTTCTACATTTTGATCGGTCTGGTCGGTGGACACCTCATCTAAGTGCTCCATGGCCATCACTCGAAAGTGTCACTTCTTTGGTAAGACTGCTAGGCGCCGGAACGTTGAGACTCGTTGTGAGACACGGTAACTTGTGAAGAGACAGGTCTTCACGTCATGTCGGATGTGTGACAAACTAATTTGGTGTCTCACGTTTCCGGGATTCCTCGCTTGATCTCCGCTGCTGTGCACGCCTGAAACAGTATTGGAAGACACGGTGTACAAGTTTGCGAGGGTAAAAGTGCTAAAAACAACGGACAAGTAAAGGAAACGTACAACACAGAGCGCTACTTGCAACTGAAGTTTATTCTCAAGAAACACACATATATATATACACCGTGAAATCGTGACATGTACTTCAGAAATGCGACATCACCCAATCAGTGTTCGTCTGTTCGCTATCTACTTTAAGATTTCAAAAACCCCACCTCAGCGCCAAACAGGGCTATAGATGGAGCGCTCACACACGTTCCTTCACCGCACTCAGATATGAAAAAGGCTTCGGATATCTACCTTGTCATTTTGTTTCGGGCCAAGATAATGGTGTCGTCAAACTTCGGAACACACCCACATCTGTCACAATGCACAGCCAGATTTCCCGAGGGTGACGATCGAATTGACAGTGCATGCTCCCTGAGCCTATCGTTTATACAACGTCCCGATTGGCCTATGTATACTTTGCCACATGATAAATGAATCTTGTACACCACGCCCTCGCTACACTCCACATACCCGTCCTTATGCTTCTTTTGACAGACACCGATGCGTGTCTCTCCTCGTCCCACTTTTCCACACAATCTGCCCTGGTGTATATATATGTGCGTTTCCTGAGAATAAACTTCAGTTGCAAGTAGCACTCTGTGTTGTAAGTTTCTTTTACTTGTCCGTTGTTTTTAGCACTTTTACCCTCACAAACATGGATCACCAACTAGCCCAAGTGCATACGCTTTTACGGTGTACAACACTCAGTAGCTTGGAACACGACAGATGAAATCCGCCCTAGTTTTTTTCCCGTACTCGTGATGCAGGTTATCGGACGCTAATGCTTCATGAGAGGAGGTAACAGGTGACACTAGGGCCTAATTGGCAACAATGCCAGTCCTACCGTGACGTCAGGAGTTACTTGGCCCATCGTGGTGGCAATTTCGTTACCCAAGAACACGGCACAACTCCACGACTTCGACCAGTGCGATAGCAAATGATAAGTTGAAATGATGGCGAGCGAGACGAATCATGTTGTGCGGACATATGATACCCATCGCTCGACTTGTCGGGTGTCGCAGCTCCACTACGGCTCAGCGTTTGTCCCGTTTTAACGGCACCTTTGGAAAGCCACTAAGCAAATCCCTCAAAAACATGACAGAAAGCGGCCACCAATGTGTTACCGGCATTTCTGTGTGCACAGGCGTCGTTATCTAGTTCAGTTTTCGAACGCTTGTTGGGAAACGCGCCTTCCTCACATGAGCGCTATGCGGTTCTTTCCAGTCTTTGTGCGGTCACCAGCAACATTCGTGGTCCATGCTCGTCAAGAACAAACTCCAAAGACAGAGAGAGAGAAAAGAAAAAAAAAAACATACCGTCGACAATGTGAAAACGTCACTCAAGACCTCAAGAAATGGCGCGCACGTGCAATTCTAGCCGCGAACAGTCACTCCAAAAATCATCGGAATGTTAGTGATCTGTGCACATTACATGTAGTTCATTCACTTACAGTTTCGTGTACCGGAAAAAAAGAAGAAAAAAGATAGAAGACCTCCTCCAACTTAGCTCAATCCTTCAAAACAAACGCATAAGCGAAATAAAGTGCCGGAAGGCTGAACTGCTGACAACGACCGACCGAACCACTGAACTGACCGAACCCGCCGAACCTACAAAAAGTGCAGCAGAACCCAAAAAGCAACCAAAGATCAAAACAACGCCAACGCGCCAACGCCACCAACGCGGTGAAGATTGGATTAGACTGGATAACGTTGGCTAAAGTCTTTATTGGAATCACGGTTGGAACTTTCCAGAAGTGGTTGATGAAGCATAAACACAGGGTGGGTAAAAAGGCACAGTTGTCGCTTTATACGTCCATGTGTTTATTATTTTAACACGACAACATCAGATGACAACATCTAACCTAAAAAATTGCTGCTTATCCTTTCGAGTACGTATATTAGTTTCGGTTTCGTAAACACTTCTCAAATCAGCGTGGGCCATAAATAATTTTTATGAGTCTGCATAAACAGGTCAAAGTGCCGTGCATACACATATTTTAACTTAGTGTTCAATCCATCGTATAAAATCAACAATGCTTCATAAGTTCTTCAACAATAATTCACCATCGCGAACGCTGCTGCTAGGCCTAACGCTATTAAACCTCTTCTACTGCAACATCAACCCTTCATGCTCGCCCACAAACTGCATTTAAACCATCATTATATTTTTTGTCATTTATTTGTAATACCATGTTGTCGTCGTCGGACGCGGCGTCGTGGGCTTTAACTCATGGTGTGGGTGACTTGCCTTTCTGCGTCACCGCGGCCTTCGTCAGCCGAAATCAACAGTTGAGTTCCTACAGCAGCAAGTGCGCATAACCAAATGGCATAACCCAGCATGAAGGTTGAACGGAGAGACGGCCACACGGCAGAGCCGTGCCACACGGCCGTCGACGGTTCTGCCTCACTTCCGGGTGTGTTTTCCACACGGGCCTCCCTCCTTCAACGGGACTACGTCACTTCCGGCGTCGGAGGAGTGATTTGCACACAGCCCTTGACCAATAAAAATGGGAGGAAGCAGTCCCGAAAAAAAAAAAAAAAAACACACAAAAGCTTTTATATTACCCAACTAGACGGCGACAGCCCAAGCTCCGATGCATTAAAGACGGACGCATGATTTATGGATGTGGTGGTACTACTCCGCCCAAGCGGAGCAATACCACCTAGAAGACAAGGCCTGCACATGATGTTTTGTTAGTAGTAGAGTCACTGTATATACAGTTACTCTAGTAGATCCCTGCCCTGCCCCAAGCGACGAACAGGCTGAAGCCCAACGTTATTAGATTAGCTCAGTCACGGAAGTGCTCATAGACTCTGTATGCACAAGCAGTACCCCCCCACACTCACCACGACTCGCCTCACCACGACTCGCCGGGCGGCTGCTGTGGTAACTGCATTGTATTCTATGGGATACATATGTTACGAAGCGCAGCGTCTAGATGGTGTTCCACTGTTCTCTATGGAACACACAGTTTGTAAACAAAAATCTAAATGGAGTTTTGAACGACGAGAGGCAGACTGAAGTGAGGAGTGAGGTGGGTACCCACTTCCATGGGAGTTCCACAACTGAGGTAATCTAGTAATGTTGCTGAAGCCTGACGAGTAAGGGCCATATCACGACTATGTCACATTCAATGTTAGATTACCTCAGTCGTGGAACTCCCGAAAAAGGGGGTTGTCCCCTTAACTCACTTCAGTCATGGTGAAAGAAACACAGTTCTTCCAACTGGAGCCCCCTCTAGGGGGGCTCCAGTTAGGGTGGGCGTAACTATGGTGTACTAGAAGGGGAAATGTGCCAAACGCCCCATTGCTGCATTGGGAGAGAGGGGACCTTCTGTAGGATTCTGCCGCTCTGGCGCTGCTACATAGAATACAGCGTGCCACTATCTACCCCGCTTTGCCTAGCAGTGCGACGATAATAGATAGAATACAGCAGTGCGCTGTATTCTATTTATTTTAAGAGAAGCCAACTATTCTATTCTAAGAAGAAGCCAAATAAATATTATTATTATTATTATTCTATCTTCCCCGCCTTGCCTAGCAGCGCCACGAAACGACAGCATCCTGCGGAGGCTCCCGGAAACGGGCAGCGCTTGGCACACCTCCCCTTCTAGTACACCATAGCCCAACACAAATCCTGGAGAGCGTTTGCAATTTAATGGCGGCGCCTGAGAGGGAGGATTGGGAAAGGATATGCGCCAATGTTGCCTGCACAAGAGCAGACGCTTGCTCTGTTGCCCCATGTGCATTTCCTACTCTCGCCTCCCATTGCAAGCAACGAACGCCTTGGCCTTTCTCGCTTCCTTGCTGCTCGAGAAAAACGTGGAGAGGAGAAAGCAGGGTTGCCAGACAAGCAGCAACGTCCAAGTTGGCAGAATTCACCAATTTTCGCGTTAAACAAACGCTTAACCTACCGAAACAAATCTGGTGGCTATAGGAAAGTAATCATTTATACCTAGCATAAATTATTGAGCACATTTATGGGCTCTTATGACCTCAATTAGGAAATAACATGACCCTTTGTCCTGTAGACTCCCAGCAAAATTTAGAAATTAAATGGCGTCCATATCCCGTGATCCCTGATCTAGCATTTGCGCCCACCCTAACTAGAGCATCCCGTCATTGAAGCGCCATCTAGATTTTCGTTTCATAACTGAGTGTCCCTTAGAGTATGGTGGAACATTATCTAGACGCTATGCTTCGAAACGTATGTATTCCATAGAACACACTGTAGTTACCATAGCAGCCCGAGCGAGTCGTGGTGAGTGAGGGGGGGACTGCTCGTGCAAGCAGCGTCTATGAGCAGCTTCGTAACAGAGCTACTCTAATAACGTTTGCCACATTCACTGGCAAGCAGAGTCTATGAGCAGCTTTGTAACCGAGCTGCTCTAATAACAGTCGCATGCACTGGCGGCCATAGCTGTGTGCGCGACTGCTGAGCGAGAGCTTATAGGGAACCATGCGACACCATTAAGATTGACCGTCTTAGCAGTCTATTCATGTGAGTGCACATCAAGATTGCCGGTCTTAGCAGCCTATTAATGCGAGCTCGTTCTGAGCATGACCACTGAAGCAGGCGATGGAGCAGACAATGGTGCTCATCTGGGCCACCTAGGACGCACTGAGGGGATCTACTAGTGACAACGTTTAGAGGAGGAAACGCACAGGCCTTGTGTTCTACGTGGGTTTGGGTGTAGGGGTACCGCATTGGAATACTGAACGAAAGGTCACTGGTTCGACGCCAGCTGAGGGTCAAGGGAGAGAAGTCTTTTCGAAGAGATATGGCGCCTCCGCCGATTCTGGCACAAGTATCGCCATCTTGTGGTCCAGTGGCGAACCGTGGGTTTTGGTACCTTTCGTGTCGTCGACGTGTTTTCACTCAAGGACTTTGATCTCAACTGAACAATGAGACTACAAGGCTTTTTTTTTTGCCTTAATAAATATAACTACCGTAAAACACCGCAGTAGCGCCTACATTGTTCAAGAGTCCACTATTGCCATTTCCTGAACTTATGAATTCTGCAAATTATATGTTAACCGCCCGATTTGATCGGACAAGCGTCCATGTCTAGATTAACCTACTTTTCAGCAAAAATGGTGTAGGCGCTTCCCTGGTATTTTATGGTATACGCAACTTTCAGCGATGGTGGTACCGCAATGTGAGAATCGTGCTCCCTAGCTCTTCGATGCTTGCTTGGCCTCATGATAAACGGGCCTGACTATACTTTCTTGACGTTAAACAATAAAGCAAGGCTCCAATACTGCTCGTATATAGCAAAACTATACCTACGCGTCACAGACCCAGCCTCGTACTGCTGTTCTACTTTACGACAGCCATTCTGATAGGCGCCAGTGCACCCCCTACAAGTTGTGAAAGTTGCGAATATGACTATAGTCGGTTGCAAGCTAAGAACAATCTTTTAGCTCCACCCACAAGCGCATTGCGCCCATCTGAAGTGCCTCCACCGTCGAGAAAGTAGTTCGCTAGCAACGTTGCTTTTTCTTCCTCCAGGAAACGTGTCTTAAACTACTACAATATTTATTTAATTCATTCAGGACATTTAAATAAGTTAGAATATGTTTTTGTCAACGAAATAGCTGTTTAGTAAAGAAAGAAAGTCATGTACAATGTACCGTCTTCCCAATTCATTTTCTGTCCAAGATACTGTCTAACATACCGTCTTCCAGCTCTCAGCAGTGCTAAGCCTTGCGCCCGCTTCGAAATTTTCGTTGGCGATAGCGTCGCTGGATTCTCACGTTGTCGCGCAAAAACTGCTGCAAACGCAAGCCGATACCATTAAGATTTCGTGGCGTAACCTCGGGCACGTAAAACACGGTGCAAAAAAGCAGAATAATTGTCACGAGAAACTAGCGTCGCGTTGCTAAGGCCAGCAGCCATGTTGAGCTTTTTTTTTTTTCAAAAGGATTGCGATTGGTCCACGGAATCGTGACGTCATGAAAACGATTGGCTGGCGTTTCTCAGCGTAGGATTACATTTTCCTCTGAGAGGCATTTCCGGTTTTTTCTTAGCTTGCAACCGACTATAATACTTCAGTTCATCCCGTAGCCTTATATTTTTCAGACCTTGAAAACAATCCACATTTATAAAAGCATCAACTGTTTTATTAGGAGATGTCAGTTTTCTTCTTCCTGTACGCTTGCAAACAATGCTGAAACAGCGTTTATTGTCACCAAAGCGAGTAGTCGGCGAATGTCTCCAGTGACCCGTCGGTGGCATTTGGCAAGTTCTGCTTGGCCCAATCCCGCGACCGTCGGGGTTGAATCTGGCCATTAATCCATCGACCGGGGGGAACCGGTGTAATGGTTGAAGTTGTCGTGCTGCTGGTACTCTATGTAGGCGGGAAAAGAAATACTTGGTGCTGTTTCAAAAGTAACTTGGGCCCCCATTAAACAAAATTTGTAGCCTTCACAGGACTGAAACTGTGAAGGCATCTTTTGTGCCCATCACTGCCCAGGATATTAAAAGCTTATAGCAAAAGGGGATCTCCCGAAAGTGGTCCAATTACGATCTTGGACTGTGCCCAATAGATTGTTTCAATCTGACCTGAAGGGTGGAAGAAACCTGATCAGGTTCAAACGTACCGGAGAAGCATTAGTTACGTTGCTGTTGTCAGTCGGCTGTTTTTTCTTGTGCATTGCATACGCGATGATGGCAAAGAAGAAGATGAACATGATGGCAAGCATAATGATGAATTTGACAACCAGTGCTCCTGTCAAGCCGCGACCGCCGTGGTCGTTCTCCTTTTCATCGTTATAATAGTGCATCTTTGTCTTCTTCCTCTTCATACTAACACGCGAGTGCTAAAAAGATCTCAGGAAACAACAACGACAACTAACACGGAAGACAGATCCTGGGTTTAATGACCACTCCTGCCCGTTTCGATCTATAGTCCGTTGCAACTCAAGAAGGTAGGGCGAGGGAAAGGAAGGCCGGGGAGGAGGAAGCAGAGGGAATGCTGGAGAGGAGGAAGTTTCCTTCTCTCCTCTCCAGCGTTCCGTCCGCTTCCACCTCCCCGGCCCGTCTTACCCTCGCACTACCTTCTTCAGTTGCAACGGACTAAATATGAGCATCTAGCGGCGTGCACTCGTAATGGACTGGCTCAATTTCTCATGTACAGTGGGCAACAATGTAGCCATACTCTGGTAGCCAAACTCCTGCTGTCTGAACGACTAGTTTGCTTTTGTTATTTTTTGGCACAGGACACGGGTATGTTGAAACTAATACTGCGAAGCATAATATTTACCCGTTCATACTGAAAATCTCACGAGATTCGGCAGCACCGCTTTCAATACGCTATAAAACAGCGTAATATTATTTCTTTGTTACATATACATGCCGTGAATGAATGCTCATACGTGCACTGGTCATTGCCCCGCACCTGCAGGGGTCTTCAATGTACCTACAGTATCAATAAATAAAAAAATAGTTCAGACGGGACAGCCCCAAAGATTACAGTAACAATGCGCGGAAGATTGATCCATTTTATTTTGAGACCCACGTACGTACAATGTTGGGCGCATCTTGGAGGGAGGCTAACAGGCAGGAAATGTTCTGCAAATAAAATTGGAATTCCGTAAACCTCTATACAAAGCAAATGCGGGAAACGGTAAATCACTAGAGTTTAGAATCTGGAATGTACGCTGCAGTTGTTGACAGTTAAAGGGACACTGACATCCCCCAAAAATTAATTTTTTATTTTTTGTCAGGCAATTCATTATGGTTTCAGAAGACTACCCAATCAATATTTTGCCGACAGCGTCACATATATTTTTAATAAAGTAAAAAAACGCAACTGCTCGAAACTGAAACTGGACTGGGGAAGAAGAAGAAATATAGAAAAGGAGGGTGTTGGCAAAAGTCAGGTAACTGTGCAACATTTTTTTCTTTTTTTTTGTTTTTTCAATTAACATATTTGCAGCTTTTTAGAAGCCACAAAAAATGGGTCTCATACTTCTTTTCAATTTTTAATATTGAGTGTGTGCTTTCAGTGACCTGCGACTTTGATTATTTTTTTGTGGCTTTGCCTAAACCATAGAAAACGAAACGTGACCAGGAAAAGAGAGTGAACACAACACAAACCGGCCAGTTCTCAATCAGTGGTTTTCGGGCAAAAAAAACAAAACAATGAATTTCGAGCTGCAAATTGTATTTGGGGTAGTTGGGCTCTCATATCCCATGTAGAAATAAAAACCTTGGCGAGGAAAAGTACCCTGCCAGTGTCCCTTTAAGAAACGCGGGGCGTGGCTTTCCTGTGTTTTCACTTCGCGATTCGCTCCTCGGCGCTCTCGTCGGCAAATGCCGCGACCTCATTGGCTGCTGAGCAACAACGGGATGCCCGGAACTCGCCGCTCCCCGCATTTATTAATCTGTACGAGAATGCGGCGACAAGAGGAAGCTGTCCAGACGACAGGCGTCCGGGGGGAAAGCCGAAACTGGCACCCGCAACTCTCACCGTTGAAAGTGGGCTGTGGGCTCGGCGTATTTATTGCGCACCAGAAACGTCGCCACCGCTTCGGCCACCTGCGTGTGAGCACAAACAAAGCCGGCTCGTTCACAAAAACAATCGAGGAACCTCGATCGTCGACAAGATTAGGACGGCAGTGAGGCTCCCCCGCCTTCACTTCGAAATAAAAGTCTTTATGAATTTTCTTATTTTTCAAATTCTTTTCAAAATCGGTGTCAACCTACATACAGTAATATACCGCAGAAGCACCCACTTCGTTCAAGCGCCCACCATTACCATTTCACAAACTTGGGTAAAAGCGCCCGATTCGACCGCACAAGTGCCCATGTCTAGATTACCTCGGTTTTCAGCAAAGGCAAGGTGGATGCTCCCCCGGTATTTTACGGTATATTCCAATATTTTAGTGATCATAAATATTCTTTTTTATCAATCTCGGCTAAATATACTCGCGACTAAATATAGAGCTCATTCCTACATTTCTGTCGGCCTATATAGTAGCTGAGCAAATGACATAGTTGTGCTAATTTGCTCTGTCGTCATAATTACGCCATCCCTTTCAGGTCATGGAAGGGATCCCGCATCATTTCTGCCAGTCCACGAGGGATCACCAAAAGGCCAACGGTTGAGAGCCCTGCTCTATACCATCTCTATACACGAGCTCATCTCTGTGACGTCACGGCGCGGTGGTGGCGTGTCGGTCGCACTTCCGGTCTGGGGCTGTGGGCAGAAGTCCTCATGCCAGACGTGCATTCCTGCGTTGTTTTGATGGGAACCAGACAAAAACCTGCCTTCTCTTCAAAACGCCGGGACAGGGGCCTTACCAAAAGAGACGAGAAACGTTTGAAGGTCGGTTTTCATGTGCTCGGTTCGTCCGAGAATCTGGATATGTGCCGTGAAAAGGGAAATTGCAGACGCCGTCGGACAACGATTGCTTGGGCGGGAAGCACTTTGAGTTGAGTTCACGGATACTTGTGGTCATCAGATTTATATGCTTTATTCCAACATGAACGCCAGAAAACCATCAAGTTGTGCGGATTACCTGCGGACTACGTTCAGTGCGGCAAGCTCAAACGGCCGCCTGATCATTCAAACTGTTGTCTGCTCTTTCAAACGTTTCTGCTTGTTGTCTGCTCTCTTAGACAACGCCGGTCCGTAGATTAAATGTTGGCCCGGTACTTGCTATACGAAGTAAGTGCAGGCCTCAAAAGACATAACTTTGAAGGTTGGTAAGCAGGCTGGGGATGTAAACAGTGGATACAAGGAAATGTTGATCATTGTTACAAGTGACCATCACTGACTTACTATGCCTAATTGACTTGGTCCGATTCTGCTTTCGATTTTCAGTACCGACGTCGACTATCTCAGCTACGGTTCACGCTTTTGCAGCCCGAGCGGCATCGCGACTGAAAATTGCGAGCAAATCTCATCATGCGAATTAGGTTTTAGCGTACATACTGCGGCGTCCACACGGAATGAATCGCCACATGTCACATTATCCACGCGAAGTTTTGCGATGTGACGAGCCTCGGTAATTTCACTGGCGCCGCTCAAGGAGTCAGACATCCCCAGGAAGACGTAGAATCAACAATCCGAACGCAAAAAAAAACAGGGGGACTGACACCGACGCCGACAACATCGCATTTCAATGGGTTGTTTATGGGCGACGGCGAGCTTCTTGCCCACACACATGCACGGCGCCGGTGGCGTCCGCTAGGGGCGCTCCGGTTTGTTTGTAAACATGAGTTGGTGTATATTATTGCCTAAGGTTTTAGAGCAGCTTTTCCTTCAACAATGACGATGTGCTGATGATGAATTGGTAGATCTAGTCGACTGAGTCCTCGCAGAAGTTTTGCCACGTCAAAACGAAAAGAAGCTCTCAATTCGACTCGACATTACCAATTTTTATCAATCCAAGACGAAAGGAAACAAAGCTGTGGCATTAACAGAAGCACTTGCCTTGTCAGGGACATCTTCGTGCACCGCATGGCCACACTGGGGAAGCACTTGCATCTGGAACTTGCCTGGAAGAGAAGCACTGTCACTAACTTGGTTGCAGCCCCCCAAATCCACTCCACAGTTTTGTCAGCATCGAGGTAGCGCTGCATGTGCGGAGGGCCACACACTCCGACGTTCGCGCTCGTACAGTTCACGACAATACTTCAGCGCTCGTCACTCGTGACCATGCGGCTAAGAGACGCTGATCATCGTCTCCACTCTTGCGACCCAAATAGAGCCAGAGAAACCTATATTTGAATACAGTTAGTCCTTGCAAACCCATTGCCTTAGTGTACTGCAGCTCTTAAATGAGAGCTTTACAATGCCGTGGAAAAAATACTGGAACACTGTTTCAAGTTTGGCTCTGGTTTTATGATTTCAGATGGAGTTAAATGAACTCTCTTTTCAGTCGCTGCCAAAATACTAACCCTTACTTCCTGTTGTCACCATTTTCTGAGGGCTCTTTCATGCTCAACCAATGTTGTCAGCACCTATCTCTGCACATATTTAGATTTTTGTGACGATTCTTTTTTTTTTTTGTTAGCTAGGATAGGCAGTACAGTAGACTCATTAATTCAAACTCCAGGAAGGCACATATTTTGTTTGAATTATCAGAATTTCTGAAATTTATTTAAACATGATGCAAGATAAAATTATGATTTGGCATACGAATGGCAACACATACAAAGCAGATATTTGATCATTTCTACATAGACCTACTGATCATAAGCAGGCATGCCACACATGAAACACGTGTTAAATGTATGACACAAGTTTATTTATCTCTCAAAAATGTTGTTTATCGCACACTGTTTAGGCAGCACATGACAACTGAAAACAAAATTAAGTCTGTTCATCAGACAAAGTTGTCTAATGCAAACTATTAAGCAGGAGACACATGAGCGATGAAAGTGGGCACCGCGCGGTAGTTCTAATTGCAACTTGCACAGACGCTGTGGCATGTACTATCGGAAACAATATGAGCGTGAACGCGCCTCCGTGTGTCGCCGCTACCTGAGGCGCCGCCCTGCAACGCCATTGTGAAGTTTTGCGCATACGTGTAGAAATCCTGTCGCTGTTCTCGCTTTGACTGTCAACCCCCGTCTGTCGTCTGCTAAGCGCGCGCTGGCGGCCGCTCACGCTGTCGTCTCCTATGCGACTCGTGTTCGCACTGGCGTCCGCTCGTGTTGTCGTCTGCCGCACAACATTGCATGCTCGGCGGACACACGCGCTTTCTACACGACTTGTGTTTGCCCTGGACAGCTCGTCCCTATATGCTTGTATTATCCGGTTCACAGTTTTCAGCGGTCTTCCAGCCATGCTAGATATAGCCCTCTGAGAGTAGCCCCGGAGGGACAGCTCAACTATGTTGATCCGTTCGTCGTCAGGAACTCTAGCAATTTTTCACTCAACTGAATGTTTTCCGGGCTCACCGTAGTTGAACGCTAAGCTTTGCAGATATTTTGTCTTTATTCCATTTGTCTGTTGTCGCTGTATCTCGACCCAATGAAAGACGCCAGCTACTTATCACGTATCAAATGTGGGCATTACGTTACCGCACAGGAAAATCGTGAATCATGTTAAGTCGTTTGTCTGAGTTGTGACGGAAATACACGAGTCGCCTAGCAGACGACAGCACGAGCGGCCGCCAGCGCGCGCATAGCAGACGACAGACGGGAGTTCACAGTCAAAGCGAGAACAGCGACAGGATTTCTACACGCATGCGCAAAACTTCACAACGGCGCCGCAGGGCGGCGCTTTAGGTAACGGCGACACGCGGAGGCGCGTTCACGCTCATATTGTTTCCGATAGTACCTATGCCATGCCGCCACGTCGCAGCGTTCGCGCAAGTTGTTTTGGAAATTTCCACGTGGTGCCCGTTTTCATAGCTCATATGCGTCCTTCTTGAGCCCCGTTGAGTGTGTTTCTCACCGAGCACAAGTGCATGGCGGAGAAGCAACACCTGCGGAAGCAAGCTCCGCGGGTGTTGCTTCTCTACCGTGCACCGTTGCTCCGTGAGAAGCGCAATCAACGGGGCCGCGAGAACAAAAAGTCTGAATTGCATGTAAACGCAGTTCGAACTAGGCAGGTTATGAATACATTAATAACATAGCCGGACAACGAAAATTTTGAAATTTGTTTTAACCAGAAGTATGAAATGTCCGAGAAATGCCAATATGCTTTGATAGGTGGAGGAACATTGGGATACCCTTCATTTGTAGTCGGCAGATAGTCTCTCCAGACGGTGCTTTTTACTCGAAACGGGTTCATTATTTGTTTTAGAAACTTTTCTGTTCCACACTTTCGACGCCTTCGTAAGACCCTCACCTTGCATCTGACCGATGGTGAGATCCTTGTCAAGGCGGTCGACACCTGGAAGAGACAAAATGTATCACTGGTAGGAATGTCCCTCAACTATGCGACTGCTTGGAATTGCTAATTAGAATACAGGATTGCCCAACTAAACCAGAAAATTTTATCTCGCTAAAGTGGAAATTTTTTTTTTCCGAGAGTATTCTTTTTGGAAAGAGGGGGAAAAACAACTAAGGCACTCACCGGCCAGGAGAAGAAGTTTTGGACATGGTACCATCAGAAACAGAGAGGACAATCCGACAAACCAGCCTGCCAAAGATGGAAAGGAGGAATTTTATGTCAATAAACATGTTGGTGCTAATCTATTGCAGAGAATCTAGCGTTTACTCTTTCTGTAGCATCAAAAAGAGATGAATTCCAAAACTCGAAATACTGAATTTTTTGCCGCGGTGATAATGATGATTAATAAGAGTTTTGTGGTGCAAAATCATACTTAGGACAAACTGCTCCAAAATAGGTTGTTTTTTTTTGTTTTTTTTTTTCCGTTTCGCCACCACGAAAATGTCAATGACATCACTCAAGATCAAAGCCAACGATATCAAAATGTCTTAACATTCAAGTATAATGAAAAAACAGGTGGTAAAAACAATTTGTGAACTAAAACAAAAAGTGAACAAGGAGCCAATAAGTTCTAATATAATCTTGCATAACGGCTGTGCTCGCATTGCAACTTTGTGCACTTGACTGTCTTTTTTTTTTAGAACTAAAGAATATCATGTAAAGCAACAAAAAAAAAATATTATAATGATAATATGATAACAACATAATAATAAGCGACAGAAAGACAGAGCCGCACCTCTCCAGTATTCCTCCGTTCTGGATAGGTCTATCCGCCACACAAATTTGCCAGAGTCCTCCTGCAGCAAGAGAGCGCGGAGAGGTCAGCGACTCGGAAACATCGATTACCGACGCCGTCACAGTCTCCAATACCCAAATTTCAAAGGGTTCTCACATGACACTGCCCCTAATGTCACCCGAGCAAACGAAATAAAATGCAGCGAAATACGACCGCACATTTCCGAAAACATTCCGCGCAAGCCAACACTGCACACGCGGGCATGTTAAAAAGCTTCAGCCAACCCCGCCGACCAAATAGAAGTTCAAACAGGCTTAACAAGCAGAGCGAAAGCCGTACGCATGTCTATGTGGAGCACAAGTTCGTCTGCTTCTTTTACAGGGGGTTGTGGTGGCATCGGGAGGTTAAGCTCCAATTGGCTCCGATCGAAGGATAGTGCGTAAACCTCAATGCTAGCTGCCTCGAAGTCTACCCACTATCCTTTAGATCAGAGCCAATCAGAGCTCGGCGTTCTGACGTTGCCACAACCCCTGCAAAAGCAAACGAACATGCGCTCCGCATAGTTGCGGACAGAATTAAAATGGTAGGGAACTCTTTCGGTTTCCCGCTTCGAGCGCGAACTCCCCACCTTCGATATACTGGCACGTCTTGTAAGCCTCGGGCGTAAGCGTGCAGCTATGGCGTGACAAATGGTAATGAGCACGTGCGGAGGCTGGGCATTTTGGAGAGACGCTATGTCATTCTCTCATTCTCGTCCTGCCAGCGACTATTAAGTCAACCGCAACGTCAGTAAGCTCAACGGAGTTTTCATGAGCACTGTTGGGCAGTAAATAAATTGGTATAAATACCTAAACCAATAAACTGGGTGCATTGAAATTTTTCAGAGATGTGTGTTTAGGTGATGCGTTCATCATATTCACACTTCAGAAACGTGGGCTTTGGAAAAAAATGTGAGCCTAAAAAAATTCCAGTTTATTTTTCCGTGCACTGGGAGGAACATGGCAGAAACCTACTGGTTGATGTCGCTCCTCTGATATTGTACCACACACGCCTGGATCTGCTGGACCTATTTGCGGGTGTTCGTCTCAAAGAAGTTTTAACGTTTTTGCTTTATGTTGCGACATCCATAAGTAGCAGCGTCACCCAGACAAATTTTACCGTTTCTAAAAAAAGCCAGAAAAAACTAGGTTTAAAAATTTTTTTTTAAACCTACACTTATGAGACTTTGCGCGTGATAAATGCATCACCTAAGGACACCTCTGGAAAAAGTGTAATTGCACTTAGTTTACTGGTTTACTTACACAATTTTTTTTTACACCCAAATACACTCATTTCATTTCATTTTTATTATCTGAAGGGCCTCTTGAGGGAGGCATTATATAAGGGGGGTGTCATATTCAAGGTTCAAAAACAAAATAACAAAAAACAAAAAAAATTGAAGAAAAGCTCAGGAAACATTATATAAACATTAGTCAAACATTTTAGAAATCAGCCAGGAAAAACATTTATGGTCACTGGTATTTATGGTTGCCAGGATTATGGGCAAGCTATTACAATCTGATATGCATAATGGAAAAGGTGAGTATTTGAATGTGTTGGTTTTCGAAAAAATGGGTTCAACTTTACAGGGGTGGTCGCAACGCGAGGAAATATGATGGACCGGGGAAATAAAAGGTTTGGGGAGAACACGGGTTATAGTACAATCTCTGCATGAAAGAGAGCCGGTCTATTTTTCTAAAAGTGTCGAGCGTTTGTAGGGATATAGACTGTTTTAAGGAAGCATTCTGTAGGAAAGCCTACGTAAGCATTCCGTAGGAAAAACGCATATTTCACCAGTTAAATCAACTGCAGACCGTGTACCGGCTTAGCCCGCTACGAATTTCACGGGGACCGAGAAAATTTGACAAGAGCAGCTCACGGACGTTCGTGCGGCAGACGGTGGCTTGAAGGCCCCGGAGCCATCCTGCAGCGTAACCTTCTCCGCCGTGCCCACTTCCGGTTCCTCAGCAATCGGGTCAACCCGCGCCATTACGGAAGGCGCTTCGTCGTTCAGCAGACGTTTCTCAGCGTCCTCGGCCGCCGTCCGGCTGCCTGCCGTCTCCACTATGCTCTTTGTCGCCGGCTCGCCTGTCCTCGAGCTGTGGAAGGGGCAGAGTTATCAGTGCAGAAACCGCAGTAGCACGTGTGACACCATGCGGAGCACAAGTTGTCTGCTTTTTACGCAGGAGTTGCGGTGATATCAAATCGACACCGGCCTCCGACTGGCTTTGATTGAAAGGGTAGTGGGTAGACCTCAAGGCTAGATACCTTGATATCCACCCACTATTTTCCTTTTTCAATTAGCAAATAAGAGCGTGGCGTTCCGACGTCATCACAACCCCCATGCAAGAAGCAGACAAACTTGCTCTTCGCATAAGGAGGTTTCACGTGACATACTTCCCGTTCAAAAATCTTGTGGGATGCAGTGCTGATGAACGTTCACCCAACATCTTTCAATGCACAATGGCAGCATTTGCCAAATCGCTCGAGTTTTTTCGCGTTGCGACCAACTGTGCCAGCCAGAGTTAACTGCTGTTCTCGTTCTGTCAGTAACTAACTGTCGTGTTATTAAAAAAAAACTTAAAAGTGATTGTTTAAACATTTCAATGGGAAAGTGGATCCTATTCCTCGTAGTTGACACCGGACAGCTCCATGTGTCCTTGGGCTTTGTCGGCCACGGTTTTCCCAGCGAAAATTTGCAAAAGTCACTTGTAACTTTTGAACCCGATAACTGCAAGCTCTGAAACTTTGGAGTCTGGTTCGAACCGCTAGCGCTACATTAATGTGGCAGAGACTGAGCGTTTAGAAATGCATAATTTATTTTTGAAAAAAAAAAAAAAAAAATCTGTTATAATTTTTTTGTGGACACTTTGTACCTTTTTGACAATGCACTGCCGAGTGTCCCAGGCGGGGGCCCAGTTCCCCGGTTAATCGTGCCCTTTTGGCCTTTCGTTCGCGTGATGCAAGCTTCCTCTACGTGAGATAATTAAGGTGCAAGGACAATGCAGATGGAAGTGTGGAGCCTCACTTTTTTAACTGGGCAGGCATCGAGACTCTCGCAGATTCCAGGTTGCGCACTTGACCGCTCCGTACGCTGCAACGAGAAATTCCGTTTGCATCCGATGACGACACTGTTGCATGCCAAGTGCCAGCACACTTGCGAAAATATAAATATAAGAGCAAGACAATTGTAGATATATAATGTAAAAAAGACTTGGAGAACATAATAGCGCTTCACGACAGGGACGAAGAGTAGGAACGAGACAACACAATGCGCTAAAAAAGACACTGTCTCAAAAAGAAAAAAAATTGTCTTGTCACATTATACTTTGTTTTACTATAACTTGGTGAACTACGGAGGCTGCAGCCAACACGACCCATAGGAGCGTTGGAGCAAGTCACGTGGTAACACTCCATGGTCGAGGCCACGAAGGCCTTGTTACCGCCCCAGCCACGGCGCAGTCCGCGACAAAAAGTAGTATGACTGTAGTTCTTTTAATGGCAATTGAGCTAGTGCAATTCCATCTCTACCGAGACTAAATAAAAAATAAAGAATAAACATTGGTAAATTAACAAGTTTCAATTATATTTGAACCAAGAAAGTAACACCACATCCATATCCACTCCCTATTTTTCTTCTTGTTGTAGAGCCATGGCCGTTGGCAATGGACTTTTCCAAAACCGACGCGCCCCATCGCGGCGAAATACCACGCAGTGCACTCTGGGAACTAGTTGGCCACTCAGTTTCGGTTTCGACTGAGCAGCTTCATCTCGTGCTATCACGCCGCCACCGAACGCGTTGCTTGCGTTTTCGATTATCTGACTTTTCACGAACGTACAATACACTCATTCTCGAGCGATACAAAACGAAGACCGGAGCACTTTCCTTGGTTCCCGAAACACCGTATATTCTGCGTGCGTATGCGAACGTAGTAAGTCGTGGCTTAGTCGCCTCACCCCACGAGTGCATGTTTGAGCTCAATTTCAATAATCCCGTCTAGTACCAGTGAACTAGAACTGAAATTTGTTCATCTGGAGCCTTACACGTATTTTGTTTGCCTAACGTCCGTTTCTTGTTACTTCATTGGGCGAAAAGCAAGCCGCATCCTCACAGGTTATCAATGTTGAGCCCAGCTTTTACGCATGAACTTTTAAGGAAATGCAATAAATTCGACCTCACTACTGCACAAAAGTTACTATGATGTCTTTCTCGTGTACTCATATATCTCCCACTCAAATTTTATGCTGATAGAAGATTAACTTTTCGCAAACGCTGAGATCGGCTAGCTACGACGGAGACCCTAACAAGCGTCCCCATACTCCTCGCTAAGCCTTTTTGGGCGAGCTTTTACTGACGCCCAAGATCTGTGCCTGAACGGTGTGTGAAATTATCTCGGCATACTCGGGCAGGAAGAAAACAAACACATAACAAATATTATGGCCATTAGAAACCGTAAAATGCGCTTTGAATTCGTTCGAGCACTTGTGTGAAGAATGTCGCACCGGGAGCCGGACGGGCATGAACCCCTTATATGCGGTGCGCATAGGGGTTCATGCCCGTCCGGCGCACTTCCGGCAAACGGTGCGACATTCTTCACACAAGTGCTCGACTTTTGCTTTCTTCAAACGGTCTGTATGTGCGAATTTGCCTATATGATTGCAGGATAACTTTATGCGCATACGCGATGTTGAATATTAGTGCAATGCAAGCGGGTGGGGACTTCACTTCGTGCAGTGCTGCGGGTCAGTACAGATAAGAGATAAGAAGTGTGTTAAAATTGAGCTTTCCAATGGCGCCACCGAGTTTTACCTCGCATACTCAGGCGTATTAAGAAAAACAGTAATGGCAAGAAGTAATATTTCGTGTATGGACGCGCGAAACAAACAAACTTCCTGATCAACAACACTAATGTGAAGGCGCGAGCTCGATGTATGCATACGCATTGGTTGCTACAGCATGTTGATTCATACACAAGCAAGATCCCCGCGCTTCGCAGCGTCGAGATTCCCAGCACTGGCTCGTCCACATACCTCGATTAGAACGCTAACAGGAAGGCTCAAGTACAAAAATACAACAAGCATGTGTTAAGACAAGCTATACGTCTCGGGCTTGTGCTAAAGCTTCGAGGTCTGGCCATTTAGGTTAGTTTAGAGACCACAAATGACGCTCTCGGGACCAGAAAACAATCTCGTGTCGACGTGTCGATCGAAACCGAAACTATGCCACCCTCCTCCCTGGCCAACTAGTTCCCAGAGTGCAACGCGCGCCGTGTTGCATGCAGGGCTTTATGGAAGTAGTCTATTGCAACCGTGTAATCGACCGCTTCCGCTGAAAACATCGCCCTAGCAACAGCACCCACCACAGATTCACAGTTAACTTGAGCGTATGGTTCTCTCATGAACTGTTTTCGAAGAGCTCGCTGCTCTAGCAGGCAGCAATGTTGAGGCGGTGGGCGTTCATCCGAAATTGGTTGGTTTCTCAGCAGACGACAGTCGGTTCCTTAGCACAGTAACGCAAACGCTCCCGTGACGTGGCGTCACTTGCTCCGACGCTCTTATTGGGCCGCGGGGGCAAAAGCTTTTACAGTTTGCCAAGTACAGTGTAGACCGCATATAATGTTTGTCGCGGGAGTCGCGAAAATTCGCACTGTAAGCAGTACCGCGCTATAACCAAAACATCAATTTTTCAGGCCAAAATGCATGCCATCAGACAACTTACATTTGGAAAAGAATTTATTTTATGTCAGATGAAAAATAAAGCTTAGTTTGAGGAAAGTCTTTATTTCACCAGACTAGTACACTTCTCTCTCAAATGTGTCACACATTTTGAAAGAAATTAGCAACTTTTGCCTGGCGCAGCCTTTTAACAGCGTCGCAGGTTGCGGACGGACGTTGCGAGCGTTGAGGATTGCTAACCCTAATCACTTTTCTCCGGCGATGAAAACGCGTGAAAATTCACATCCTTTATACGGTATGCGCCAGTAATACCTTCAACTTTAGCACAGGCGTGAAATGTTCCAAATAAGAAATCCAAGCGATGTTCGAAAACACAAATGCTTAGAAAGCACCACTGCAGTCGAAGTAAACAAACACGACGACACGGGCGTTTCTGCAGTCTTGAGAGTGCCGCCACAACATCGCCGCACAAGTAGGTGGATCTTCCCTTCTAGTACACACAACGAAAATTCACAGTCAAGGATAGCGCTTTTACGCGGAACGATGAGCTTCTACCACGCCGTCTACATCGACTATCAAAACCGACGCCACGTTTACGGATAGAAGCAGCCGGCCGGCCGGCCCGCGACCGGCATGCAACGCGCGCGAACACTTCTCCTCGACCTGCGATTGGTCTGTCGTTGCGGTTGTTTCCAACGCAGCGAAGGGACGCACGCACGTGAACGAAACGTGGTGCATCCCTCCGTCGCTATGGCAACTGAAGCCTCTCTCCGCTTCTCCCGGCTTCTTCAAGCAACCTCCTTGCCCCGCGAGTGCCGCTTGCGGCTCGCGCCGTTATCTAGTGTCACACAGGGAAGCGTGCTCTCTGCGTCGGTCAGTCGGCGCGGTCGCCGGGTTGTTCCGAAAACCGCACTATAACTGGTATTTCCCTTCGCGTGCCTGCATTTTAAGCGGTATGTAATTACATGGAGTTCTATGGGAGGCGAACCGGTGGTTTAAAAAAGCCGCGTTATACCCGGTCCTGCACTATAAGCGGTTACATTGTAAGTGGTCTATACTGTAATCGTGGAACGAAGTATAGTTACTATTGACCAATGAGATCCACAAGATGCAGCAGTGGTTGTAATTATCGGTGTGTGAATATTCATTAAATTAAATATTGCTCAAATAATGTTTACAAATGAGGTATGCATTGCTTTGCTCGCAATGCTACATTATGTTGTTCTAAATATAACCACGCAATATTTTTTTATGCAATGAAACTGTTCCTTTTCACAGACATGTATTCTAGAAAAAAAACAAAAACATTTCCAGCCGTGATATATTACGTAATTAAAGTAGTTATGCTCAATTCGTAAGAAACATAAAAATATTCCAATTTCCGAAGTCATGAACCAACTCGCTTGCATCGCCACCTTAAATGTATCTGCATTCGATTTGCAGATAAAAATTTGATGTTTTCTCATCTCTAGTTGTAACGAAAGGCCTACACAAAATGTGGGTCCCAACTCATCCGGAGTGCTTGGGGCAAGACGAAAAGCTATCCCCCAAACTGAGATACCGTAGAATATCAGGCATCCGCCCATTCCACACTTAGCGCCCATTCTCAAATTTGTAAGATCCGAGAAAATATGCACAGTACATTGATATGCAAAACTAATGACCAGACAAGCGCCCATCCCCCATTTTTTCGCGATTATCATCAAATCTTGAGTTTGGTGGGTATTTTACGGTAGATAGAGTTGCAATGTTTCGATCGAGATTCAGGTCCACCGAAAATGTCGAGCATATCAGACAAATAGAGACACTTCTTTGAAAAATCATTCCTTAAGACGGACGGCTTACCACCACTCCACGGCATACTCGAGGGAAGAGAAAGAGCTCGGCCGGCCCCTCAAAAACGTTTGCATGCTCTGCAGGGCGTCCATTGCCGTCCCTGAAAAAATGGTAACGGCAGAAGTGGAAGCCACTCGTACGCTCTCTTTTGACATTCGTTCAAATGCTGGCACCTCCCATGCGGAGCGCAAGTTTGTCTGCTTCTTGCACAGGGATTGCGATAACGTCAGAACACCGAGCTCTTATTGGCTGATTGAAAAAACTTGTGGTTAGACCTTGAGGAATCTAGCATTGAGGTCTACCCACTATCCTTTCAATCAAAGCCAATCGGAGCTCGGCGTCATTCTGACGTCACTGCAACGCCCGCGCATGAAGCAGACGACTTGCTCTCCGCATAGACTTTTTCAACAAGGGCTTGCGGAGAACCCTCATGAATCTTGAATTTTTGCCACTTCCAGTATGGGCGTAAACAATGTTTTGCCATCGCCGCGCCACCAGAACACATTTAGGATATAAGCATAAAGGCCCGTTCACACTCTTGCGACCGAGTACAATGTTTTTAGAATGAGGGAACACACTGGCATTGTGGCGCCATCTATGTGGTGACCCTGGAACTGCATTTCACAAGAGCGAAGGTTTTGCGGGATTTCCAAGGTCAAATGTGCGTAATACTCATAGAAAGGCTCGTTTATAACATTGACAAAAGTTTTTCGAGCCATGAAAGAAAGGATAATGCGCGAGAAATAAAAAAATATGCCGGACCGCCTAGTTTACACTGCTTCCCAATAGATGGCACCAGTGTGTTCTCTGGTTTAAGAAGTTTTAAGGAACCGAGGTTTGAGGTCGCAAGAGTGTGAACGGGCCTTAACCGTCACCGATTCTCGTTTTGCCTCCCCTCTATTTTTTTTTTTGTTCTTGTTTTTTACTCTTTGTAGGGGTAATGTTTTATTATTTTTTCGTCATTGATACCAGATATGCCTACCAGGTGGCTGAGGACGTGAGTAAATGTACGGTTGTGCGAATAGTGTATTTTAATTTCAAATTGAATTCAAAGCAAATAGTGATCTTCGCCGAATATTTTCGAATCGAATATCAAATACTTAGTGTTCAAAAATCTTGGCCGCAAAGTGGCATGCAAGATAATTTTTGCATATGTGCAATTATTAAGTGGACAGCTTTGTGAGAATGAGGCCATAATTAATTCACGTATGACGTATTTATGGGAATACAAACACCAAAAAGCCTAACTGGAATTAGAGTTAAAAATGATGGAACAAAAGAAATAAACCTGCATAATGAAATTACGCAGGTTATGAAAATTCTCTAAAGGTATTTATTTTTACCCTAACTTGTTTTTCTAACTTTGTGTCTGGACGTGCCAGTGGTGCGAAAAATGTGTTCGCTACCAGGGCGCCAAGATTGGCAAGGATGGCACCGGCGTCTCTGGAGCTCGTTGCTCAGTTTCTTTCGCCCGTTATTAAAGAAAGTTGATGAAATGACTACGATGAATATGTTTGAAAGTTTCCACCATAGTATTTGTACCGTTTTGCCGAACGTGTAAGTATACTTTTGATTTTAGAAATCAATCCTCACTGACTTTCAGACAGTAAACAAACTCGCGACTCGAGGTTGCTAACACTTCGAAAAGCATGAATACTACACAACTGCTCTCAAAGCGAATATCGAATAGCGTAATATTCAAAAATTTGAATATTCGCACAACACTAAGTAAATGTAAAAGGTCTATACTTGGTGCCAACTATTTCATGCTACGTTTGGGGTAGTGAGTAGACCCCAAAGCAAGCTGCCTTGAGGTCTACCCACTATCCTTCAATCAAAGCCAATCAGAGATAGGCGTTCCGACGTCACCACAACCCCTGGAAAAGAAGCCAATGAACTTGCGCTCTGCGTAGACAATACATCATTAATTGCAATAGTTTGGAAGACGTTTGGATATATGGGGTATGAAAGAGTACAAAACAGTGTGGGAAACTGTAAGAAGAAATGGGACTAACCTTCGACGACATCAATCACTATGAGACCAATCAGATTCGGTATGACGTTCGTGTAGCCGGCGTGCACAGCAACGGCGCCACCCATGCTGCAACAATAATCGGTTTCTTCACCGTTCGAATACCGGGATTTTTTTTTTCTGCACACCAAACGCAAATCTTGGTCCCAAGCAGAAAAACTGTAACATGCTTTATGAAGTATGTTTTATTATCAAAGACACCCGATTTATGGGTTTGAAGTTGATCAATGTCTGCATGCCTTTAACCTAGGAGAGCTTTCATTCTCGAATTATATTTTTCGAGACATGGTACTGTGCAGAGACGCATTCCGGCCTCGCATTCTGGTGCGACTCATTTTGAGTGGCCCCCTTAACAGGCATTTTCTTAAATTTCATAATGGGACTTTTTTTGTTTAGTTTGTTACTACATTAGGTCATTTCTCTTGTCTAGGTCTCTGTGTTCACCATAAGACGAGAGGTGAAACGCCCTACATTTGCCTTTCTGGAGGTGTTATCACAAAGCACAGCTCTATATGTAAAAAAAAAAAAAAAATCGAAAGCCCAGTTGAGAGAGGCAGGAAGCAGATCAAAACTGAAACCTGCATTGGTGCGACACTTGAGGAATGAAAAAAAAAACCACTAAAATCAAAAAAGGTGTTTTTTTTTTGTTTTTTTTAAAGGGCAAAGATGGGTCACATTTCATTTGTTAACACTGAGCTGAATGAAGAAGTACCCGTAGGGTCCCAGTCACCTTTGGTAAAGACAAGTGTATCCTGGGAGGCTTTAAATATAGCAAGTGCCACGTCCGAGTACTCCCTGGTAAGCTTGCAGCCGGTGCTATGTAAAGTTACACCACACACAAGATACCCAAGGGGAAAGGCACTCGAGTCCAGTAACTAAACACACCGTGGAAAAACCTTAGAGTTTGCAACACTTCAACAACGAACGTAAAAGCGATCAAAATCTTGGTAAAACCGCATGTCTGTTATACGGAATGCAAGTTTGTCTGCTTCTTAAGCAGGGGTTGCAGTAACGTCAGAACGCCCGAGCTCTGGTTGGCTCCGATTGGAAGGATGGTCGGTAGACCTCAAGGCAGCTAGCATTGAGGCCTACCCACTACCTCTCCATCAGAGTCAATCAGAGCTCGGCGTTCTGACGTCAGGGCAACTCCTCCGCAAGAAGCAGATGAACTCGCACTCCGCAATTGACATTGAGTACGACTTCTCAAAGCAATTACACAGAGAGGAGTGCTGGTCGATGGGACATTTCCCATTATGGTTCTTCGCTAAATAAATGCATCCATCAATGACTTGGCAATCTGCAGTGAGAAAGAGAACCAGTCCCGCACCTGGCACCCTAGACATTTCCAGACGCCCAAGAGCAAGCAACTACCGGAAGACAGACAACTTCGGCGTGTTCAGCAATGCAAAAAATCTTTCTTTCCTCTCCCAAGCCCCCTGCCTGAAAAATGGGAGACCCCTGTTTGTGACCGCTTATGACAGGAGAACAAACACTATGGCTGTGTTCGAAATCTTACCCAAAACGTTTCGAGTTACTCAAGCGGGTCGTGTCACGTGATAACACAGATAGAGCGACGCAGGACGCGGGTAGGTTTTCGAACACAAAGGTACAAATCTCTTGCCCTGGAATAGATCGATTAAAATTCAGAACACTGCCTCTGACACACTGGTGCTATCTATTGCGTAGACCTGGAACTGCATACAACTAAACTGAAGGTTTTGCAGCATTTGCGATGTCAGATCCACACGCCACCTATGAGAAACAATCACTTATAACATTGTGAGAATTACTACCAGCCCACAATGAAAGAACGTGCACAAAAACAGGAAATCGCCGTAAGCGGTCACAACATACTCAGTTATACTCAAACGTAAATGTGTGAACCAGTCTGAACTGGTGAGCTGATTCGTCAAGTTGAGTAAGGAGGCAATCGATCACCTGTGGCCCACCAATACGACGGGAGGCTGGTTCGAGTCGTCGGGATACATTGCGCTGTAAACTGCTCCAATGTCCCTAAAAGCAAGGCGAACGTCGAAAGAAAAAGCAAAGTCGGAGTCAACAGCTTGCAAAAATTGAAAGTTAGTATGCCTCGTGATATTCCTTCTACACAGGAAGCGAGGAGCGAGTGAGTGCATCAAAGTGAGCAAACCGACCTGGACAGAGTCTCAGCAGACAGGTCGTTGTCGTTCGTAGTCATGGTTTCACCTTAAGCGGGGAAAACAGGAAGACAACCAACAATGTGGCAGATGGTTGTTTCTTAAGCTGAATGCAGCGGCGCCGTCTATACAGTGCAATCCACTTATAACGACACGACATATAATGATGTAATGCTTATGAACATCACTACCTAGAGTTTCTAGACTAGATACAATCAGCTTCCAGTCCAGATACAATGATAACCGGTAGTAACGATTGAATTTTCGGGTTTTCTGATTATCGTTATAAGTGGATTGCACTGCATACATATTTTGAGGATGTTGCTGGTTGAGCGAACACAAGCGCTTGCTTTCTCGCGCTGGCACCTAAGCAATGGCGGTTCAAATTAAATTTCTTGCCCTTTGCTCGTCTGCTTCCTCACAATATCAATATAAGGCCATGCAAAGGTGAGCACACTGAATTAGCTGAATTTAGTGCGCCCATATTTAAGGGTCTGTTTAACAACATATCTTTCCTCTGACTGTCACGATGTGAAATGTTGCGACCGGGGACTAGTTGCAATAGTAGGGCACTCTTCAGTTTGATCAGCCTATTCGGCAATTGTCGCAAATAATATATCCTCTTTGTCGGGCATCTTTGAACCAATATTGTGCCTGAGTTTATGTTTAAAAATGTGTCATATAAAAACAAGAAAAGATTTTTATGTTTTTTTGTTGCTTTTTTTTTTAGTAAACAAAAATTTAGAAAGGCAAGTTTTGTTATGATTGCAAGCCTAACGAAGGTAGAAATCTACAAATTCAAACACTTGATACTCTCAAGTGCCAACAACAAAAGAATACTATAGCATAATAAAAACAAAGATCAAAGAATGGCAACTTACCATGACCACGAATGTCAAGAGCAGCCACTCGACACTCAACAATGTGGCACATTTCGGACTGAAAAAAAAAAGAATACAATGACAAAAGCACGAATTATTCAAACTCAGCACCGGTACAGTATCCCATACATAGATTCAGATCATAAAAAGCACCTGCTCCCTGTTTCTATAAATGAGAAGACCTTCGAAAACCTTGTTTGTACCAAGCTACCGGTGCAATGGAAGACAAGCAAGATGTGATAAATCAGTTAATACTGCGTGCCCACTGTTAATAATCATAATAAAATAAAAAAAATAACAGGGCATTACTAAACCCAAGAGTCCGCCCTGTTACAAGACTATTACTTAAAAAAAACACACACACAATTATTGGCCATTTAACTCCTACGAAACAAAATGTAGTCATTTTGTCTCAACTGCTTTTTCTTTTTTCATATCCTAATTCTAATTTCCAATTCTGTAGTCACAGAATTAAAATTCTAAATTCCAATACAAAAAAACGCAGGGCATCACATTCTTGCTTTGTGATTCGTCCTTCAAGGCTCATATCGGCTAATGCCACCGTCTCATTGGCTGCAGAGAGATAATGAGATGCTCACGACTTCATCGCATAAGCATAATCTATGCAATGTGTGTGTTATAAAATGACTTAATTACTCACAGTGAAGAGGGACCAAGTCAGGCCACTGTAGCCACCTCCATGAAGCAGCAGAAGTAATGGGCCCGTAGTTCCTTTCGTGTACACTCGGAAGACCTTTAATTATATTTTTTTTAGAGCAAAGTTTGCTTCGTCAAGGTACTACTGAAGGATGAAGGACATCCTTTCGAACGTGCAATATACCAGATGAACCTCCTTTCCCACATTCCCTCCCCCCAAAACAAACTAAAAAAGAAGGTTCTCACCATCTTTTTGGTTAGGACAAGTCAATGCGAATTGGATATATTTGTGGAAAATCGGTAAAGTTTCTTGTTTGTTTTGCATCTTTTTACTGTCTTTTTTGTTTCTTTCTTCTCTTTTGTGTTCAGTCATGTCAGATAAATTCACAGCTCTCTAAAAGTCTTCACACTTCTACTGTCCCTCATTTCATCTTAGTCCCAAAGTTCTTTGCAATTATGTTCCACTTAGACTGGCTCGTTTGCGCACTTACTTTTTGATCAAGCACCTCATTTTTGTCTCACTTTCGACATTCAGACTGTGGATATCCGGTGAAAGCTCACATTGAAGTTTTATTCTATTACCAGTATATACTGTAAACGACTTATTTTTCACGGGCTCAATATTTCGCAAATTATGTCAAACCCCAAGTTTTGGAATAATTCGCGGGTTCTAATTTTTGCGACGCGGTGGGATCTCAATATGGAATCCAATGTATTTACATTTAACCGGAATTGTTCTCGGGACCTATTTTTCACAAATTGTAGGCTATTTGCAAAAATTAGAACCTCAGAAAAATTAAGTCATTCACATTGCATATTAATTAATGTATCAACATTAATTAAATTTCCAGCTCTTTTATTTTTCTTTTTGGCAGGGATGTCATTGATTTAACTACATAAATGAGGTGCCACTTTGCCCATATTGATTTAAATTAGTATCCGGTCTTGAGAACAAAGACGTGCGACAGTTGTCTAACTACTGCAAACACGACTGGCAACAAAGACACTAAAGACTTTGCAGGCAGTTGACGGGCATCCACATGCCTCCAGCTCGTAAAGCAAAGCCCAACTCGACAAAGAGGATACATTGCCTTCATCGGTCTTGACGTCTTTGGCATCCGTGAAATAGCTGCGCCAGGTCAGGGGAGAATAGTCTTTCTTGCGAGAGCTGCATTTTCCACGATCCCTGCACATGTGGAAGATTATAAACCGCATTAAACTCCCGAACTTAAAAAATACCCAAATAGCTCACATTTTATTTATTACGACAAGGCCGGAGGCTTATATCACCGCTGGCCTGAATGCTTTACTTGGTAAGCAATGTAGCCACAGAAGCACAAAATATTAGGACGGCCAAAAAAAATGCTGGAAACGGTCACCGAACAAGTATGTAGAGTGGCAAAAACATACTAAAAAGTGGGAGCCATTTATTCATGGTCTTATATGACAAAATATATATTGCAAGTGACATTACATATCAATAAAAAAATCAAGTTTAGAGAGCTGTCACTGATCTAAGGGGATAAAAACAGAACACTTGAGCCCCCCCCCCCCCACACACACACACACGAAAACGCCTGAAATAATGTAATTTCATGGGGGGGATATATCTTGTGACAAATGTTTCATAACTTTGCAACATGAACTCGAATTAATGAGCTTAAAACGATCACTGTTGGAGCACCGCAGTGTTGAGGGCATGGCTAAGGGGCCTCGTTTTTAAACTTCCCTCGGCTGGCGCCGCAGGCACGGAACCCTGCAGTTTGTTATGCATGCCCCACATATGAAACTGCGCCCCCGATTTGGAGAGTGCAACAAACGAGCGAAGTTGTCTGATCACCCGTTGCTACCTGTAGATCGACGTACGAGCAGAGTTTTAACGACGAAGCGTGGTGTTCAATGAAGACTGTGTCGCTACCGAACAGCTACGATAAAGTTGCGCAGGGAGGAACGTTCAACAGGGAATGGCCTGAAGCCAGCTCGTCAACTTGACACCAAACTTACGGGACACGGGCGAATGGCTTCGGTCGCATCGGAGGCAGCTTGTTCTTCAGCACTTGCTTTTGTAAAGACGACATGTAGCGCAGTAGTCGTGGTCCCTCGGGGAGATAATTTGCTGAGTCTTGGGTTCAAGTTTGAGAGTTTGGAGACAGCTCAGAGTGCGAGAACCGAGGTTTATTGCGAGATATTTGACCAAAGTTGACCTGCATTCGGTGCGCATGCGCGGTTCTCCTGGCAACAGGGACGCCTGTGCCAAAGCCTTTTGGTTCCTCAAAAGCCCTTCCTAGATGGCGCAAGTTACCGTCCAATTTTTATTTCTTCGCGTTTTCCACATTGCTTGTGCGACTGAAATTTGAATCCGATGCTGCCACGAATGGCCACGAACGCTTTCAGCTCTTCAGCGTTCGCGCATAGCACGGAGGATCAAAGAGGTTCTGGAACTCAAGCATTGCGCCCACTGATTGTGAACTTGTCAAATGCTTAAAGGTCCTGTTCCGTACACATTTCTTTTCATGCACATCTATTACGTTTGGTTATAATATCTCTTTAATACCAATGTACTTATTTTTGCATATAATATGTCCATAATATCAGCCAGTGGCGTCACAAGGGGTGGGGGGGGGGGACCGCTTCGGGTGCAGTGCTCCGGGAAGTGTCGCGGCGAGCCACGAGGGAACGCCGCGACACCTCCCGGAGCACTGCACATCTTTGGGATGTCTTACACATCCCAAAGATGTGTAAAAACAAGTGACGATTCAAAGCAAAATTACAATCAAAATGAATATGGAGCGAGTTCAAGGCTGGTCAGCATTCCGGTGCCGCTTGCATATTGATAATATGCCAGTCCTGTCACCATATAAAAATGATCCCGTCGTGCATAAGCGGATAAAAACCTTCAAAGCGTATAGAATAAAGTCTGTGGGCTATGAAAGGCCTCTCTTCGTATTGATTTCTCTGCCGGGCAGCTTTTATTGCGCACTTGTTCTCAAAGATATCGAGCGCGCGGGTGATATTTTGAACGTAGAACAAGCAGCTTCCCTCGGGGCAGAAAGAATAAAGCGGTACTTACTTATTTAAAATCAGAATAGATTATGTGGCCTTCAATTTATTTTGATCGTACATGCACTGCGAGCTACTGATCCAGTGTTACTGCATAGTTCTTATCGTCGCTCTTGATTTTCCAGATTTGTTTGGAACGTATATCCCCCATGCTGGAAATCGCCGATGCTGCGTCCGAGCTAACAGTGTCCGACAGTGCACATAAATACACATACGAAGTTGTTTCAGCACAGTTTTTAATGCGATGAATTCGAAAGAAAAGCGCCGTAACTGACCAATTCTTTCGTTGGCCTGACTGAGAAATGTTCCAAGCTACCTAGTACGTACAAATTATTCGGGATATTTGCTCTAATGATCGAGCGCAGAGAAAAAATGCACTCACTTTTTCCCATAGAAATGCATTACAGGAAGTCAATTTTCGAGTGGTTGCTGTCTGCTTCAATTTGCGTCAGCACACTAGCGCCACTTGAACCTCTAGCGTACATTATAATAACTCTATGGTGGCGACGGACAGAAGGTACATCTTTTTTTAAGTCGTTAGACAGTTTACCGAATACCACACACATAGCTCCTTATAACTGAATAAGTGATCAGTGGTCTGGTTCATTATCAAACGTGACATCAAGTTTCAGCACAATTCGCCTAATTGTGATTGGTCAACCGATTGCACACGACCATATGGGCCGCGCCAAGATTTTCAATCTCGCCGTCTTGTACTTTTGCCTTCTAAAACCATCCTTATTGCTCCACAGCGTTGTTCTATTTGTGCTGCCATGTGATCTATTAGATCAGATTTGGAACATCTATGGTTAATAGTGCATAAGAACAGCTGTACAGATTTTTTTCCCCTCTTTATTGACAACAAATCGCCGGAACAGCTGGACGATCCAGAACACCGTGGCCGATATATAATACAAAGACATGTTGATATATAATACAAAGACATCTACGCGCAACACACTTTCAAAACTTTGCCACGGCACCAATTCTTGATCGGTATGCAAGTGTGTGAAGGCACAGAGATGCAGCCTTTCGGCATGCCAAGGAAGCTTTGATTATGCCGCGAGAGTCCCAGTGTTGCCAGGTCTACTGATTTATCAGTAGATCTACTGATTTCGTTTCGGGTCTACTGATTCACTGAAAAAAAAGAAAATCTACTGACTTTTTTTTTTAGTAAACATATCAAAATTTATTATTTGGCCCCTTCAGTTCCAAGGGTCGCCCATCAAAGGAAACTCATATTCTCCCAGCATCCCACGGGCTAAATGGCCCAGAAGCCCGTTCTATTCGAGTGACTTAGCCGTATATTCATCTATCTATTCACCCAGAGCAGGTTCGACGGCAATCCAACGGTGACAGGAGTCAGAGCCTTATATGGGGAGAGTTTGGCTGGTCTACGACCTCGCCGCCGTAACGTCGCTCTCCCGAGTGAGCCAATCAGCCTGCGTCGCAGAGCGAGAGGCGTGTGCGCATGAACTCTCGGCTGCTCCCACCCAGCTGAGCGGAGAGGGCCGCCATTCTCATTCATTCGCCCGGCGGAATGCATGGGATCGACATCCAAATTTCGGTTCTTTACTTTTATCAGGCAGGCTCTGGAAAGAAAATTATATAATATGTTATTCCTCGGTGGCTTAAAAAGCTAACGAATTAAGTTTTTCCACATTTGAACGCAAACTTTGAGACAGGTGAAAAAGAAAAAAGCCCGTGGCAGACGACGCGTAGCCTCAACAGTGCTCCGCGCCGACAGCGTTGCGTCAAAAACCTTCCACAGCCCAGTAAGGAGAGATGGCAGCTTGCAGAAAACTTACATTGGACATGTACGCGCGCACCATAGGCGCGCACTTGCCGGAACGTCTTGTTTTGGTTTCGTTTCAATAACGGCGACAGGTGGATGTCGCACTGTCGCCCTTATCTGTTGATCCCAAAGGTGGCTCAGTCTCGATTTCAAAGAATAATCCTCGAAATCGCAACACTAGTCAACGCTGATAAAAAAAAATAATAAAAAAAAAACGTTCACGGTGCTATTTTACTTTGTCCTCCATAAAAAAAATTACTCATAAAATGTTTTTTTTTTCAATTTTATTGGTGTTTATTACCATGTTATTTGTTACTATACTATTTCTTCGAAGTGTGGTTTAATGAAAATAGCAAAACATGGCAAAACACAGATTTCGTAGAATCTACTGATTTTTGTGCAAATCTACTGACTTTTTGGGGATCAATCTGCTGACTTTTTTTTTCTCCGTCTGGCAACACTGCGCGAAACCAACGAAACTTGCTTTTTAAGAGTTCTGCCTTTTTCCTGCGGCACTGCGCTTTCGTAAAATTTTTCATGTGTTCTCAACGGCAAGTCTCAACGCTTACACAGGGTCTTAAAAAACTTCTTTGGCGAATGACGACGAACGAGTAGAAAACGTGTCTTCAGCATGCTGCGGACAGCCTCTGCAACGCTAGCAAAACTGCAATTAGTCTACGAGCAAGATGGTTCTCCGGTGGCTTCCCTTGCAGGAGCAGGAAGTGCGATCCAACAATTGTCATAGAGATCAGTGGTCTCCTACGTCAGCAGGCAATATGTGGCTTGCGCGTGACGTCATTTCCGATGTATCCAGAGAAAATGGGAAGGAGGAGCTCCCCTCTTATCAGGATACTCCTTTGTGCCTCCCGGATTTGCACAGGTGTCGCTATTCTCCTCCCAGAAGATTATAGAAGAGTAACCTGTCACTCAAAATTCTTACAAAAGCAGCTTCCCTCTCCTCTTTTTACTTGGTGTTCAAAAGTATGCGATACGACGTCAGTGCAAGGAGCCTATACCACGCAACATAGCGAGTAAACGATCCGCGACTCCATTTTGGAATGGCCGGGATAATCACCTGGATACTGCGGATTGGCTTCGTCTTGGGCTACGGCAAAAATAAAACAGCATCGATGATGGAAAATAGCAGACAATCTCTTTTGCATGGAGAAACCACTCGAAGTGACAATAACGTTAACCGCTTCAAAGTTTTTCTTTGACAGTGAAGACGCAGTGTTTTCTGCGGTGGCTTCACCAGCTCCTTTTGGGCTGTATAGTGAGATCAAAATTACTTACTCTTTCCACTAACACCTCAAAAGTTTTGTTTTTATTAATCAGCGCAATCGCTGCAAGTCTAGTCAAAGTTCCCTAAATGCATTGATCCACGCATCATAAAGCGCCGTTCACACACTAGCAACCGAGTAAGACCAAGAGAGACAAGACCGGATTTCAAGCCTTTGGCGACGTCTTAGGACCAGCCCCGCAGCAGCGCATCCGGTCCCAAGACGTCGCAAGTGGCTTAAAAGCCGGTCTTGTCTCACTCGGTTCTAAGTGTGTGAACAGCACTTAATCTGCACCGATTAAGCGCCTTTCACACATTTGCAACCGAGTACAGCCGAGAGAAACAAGACCGGTTTTTAAGCCTCTTGCATTGTCTTAGGACCAGCACCGCAACAGCGCATCCGATACTAAGACATCGCAAGGTCTTGTCTCTCTTGGTTGTACTCGGTTGCACGTGTGTGAACGGGGCTTTACTCTTTGCGGAAATCGCTTGTACAAGTTGTAGCGGCACAATACGGGGGGGGCGGGGGGGGGGGGCTGTTTTTAACAGTGATATGTAACTTATGTTTGCTTTAACCCAAATAATACAAAATCGTGGAGCACTTCCAAACTGCTATATTTCTTGGGGAGGGAGATGGGGTGGGGTTGTTGACTGGTCATTTGATTGAAATCTTCGAAGCCTTTACTAGCTTTACAAGCGTTTTCCTCGCATTATGCAGTCCGTCAAACGATGGGTGGCTTATCCGAGGCAAGTTCTGGCCTTTGTGTGTGTGGGGGTGTTACTGCCAATACCACCTAGCAGACAAAGCATGTGCGTTTCCTCCTCTAACGTCACCTCTAGATGCCCTTGGGACCCATAGGTAGCTCAGATGAGCAACATTGCCTGCTTTAGTGGTAGGCCTGCCAAGACCGGCAATCTTCAGGGCGTCGCACGCACGTTGGAAATGAACTGTGGAAGCTTGCTATTAGCTCGCGCTCAGCAGTCGCAGCTGCACATGGTTCATACTCGTCGCGCTTCATCCCACTTTGCCATTAGGGGCACGTTGGGGATTTATTGAAACATCATGCACAAGCAGCCTTAGGAAGGCAGTGAG